CTTGATCAAGACTTAAGTGTTAATAAAATATTTAATATTGATTGATTTTTACAATATGTTTTTTTTTGTGCAGATTGTGATGTGATGTGAAATGATGAAATGTGAATGAAATGTGAATGAAATGTGAAAATTTGTTACTTTTAACATGGTTGTTTAACTGAAATGAAGTTGTTAATGTTAATCACATTTTATTACAACACTATAACAAAGATGAGTTTTTTAGGTAATAAATCAATGGAATGTTATGACTGGTTTTTGTTACTACTAACAGGGTGTTTGCCAAGGAATATATTTTTTACTGTGTTTTTGATAGGCTGAGAATATATATTTTTATTGTTCTACAAAATATTGGGAATTTTTTTTTGATATTGTCCTATTATGTCACAAAAAAAAAGGTTATTTAACCTTAAAGTTGATTAAGGTGCCCCAAGAAGTCCTTACGGTCTTATCGCAGAAAAAACAAAGCAGAAAAGCATTTAATAGGAAGTTCACACCTCCTTCCCAACCGATGTCGCAAAACTTGCCCAGAGGTGGGGTCTGAACCACGGATCTTACGTTTCTAAGGCAAGTGCGCTACCACTGCGCCACGGTTGCTCATTTTTTTTTGCTATTTGCTATTTAATTTGACTTTTTGCTAATTGCTATTTAATTTGACAAATATTTATACAAGATGAATTACTTCAGAAATTATTACAATTTTTTTTTTTTTTTTTTTACTTGACTCCGCTAGCGAAGGCCATTATTTTTATCAAAGTTGAAGTGTTCTTTAACGTTCCTGTAACATTTTTTTAAAATTTTAACCATTATCATGGTGAACAATGTGGAGTTGTAAATTGTAAAGGAAATTATGATAAACTTAATAAGTGTCGTATTTTTATATTACCGAAAGATGAAATTGAGAAACAGAAATGGATTAATGTTCTTCCTTTACGTAAAAATTTTATTATTGAGCCATCTAAATTTTTTATATGTGAAAAACATTGGCCAGAAAATACAGAAATGATTAAGCTAGCTGGTGGCTATACTCGACCAGCATGTGCACCTTGTATTTTTAATGTTCCTTTTTTTTGTTTACCAACGCCAAAGCCTGTGCCTCGCCAATCTAAACCTGAGGACAAGAAATTGAATTATTTCATCAAAAAAGATAGAACAAATTTGTTTTCTGATTTTTATCCTGACAATGAGTTGCACAAAAAGTATAAAAATATAGTAATATCTCGACAAGACAATAAATTCATATGCATTTTTATGTCAAAAGATTTCAAAGAGAGTTTTGTGATGATTATTGTTTATGATAAGTGTACCTTGTGTTCACCGCTAACCTTTTCAGCTTTTAAACATGGAATTTCCGTTCCATTAGCTAATATATGGCTTAATCTTCTATTCACAATTTTTTGAAGTAATCAATTTAGTTCATAATTATAATCTGCATGTTAATGATGTTATTGAAAAGGTGACAAATACTCTTTCAGAAAATGAATTTGAATTAAATGATGATAAGAAACAAAAAAAAAAATTGAATTTTATTACAAGACTCAAAACTCTTGTCTAAAAAAAGTTTCTTTTTATAACTGCAACTGCAATCAACTTTGTGATTTTTTAGTCCTTCCAAGTAAATGAAAGCTTCAGTCTATAATTTCTGCCACTAACATTGACCATGTTTTACAAAAAACATTTGAAAACGTAAAGAATAATCAACAGAAAAATGTTATTTTGATAGTTGACGAGGTAAAAATTAAGCCAACAGTTGCTTATTTGTGTGGAGTTTTAAATGGGATGGCAAGAAATGATCCAGAATCCAAAGCAACCTCTATACTATGTTTCATGATGAAATGCTTACATGGTGGACCTAGTTTAATGATTTCTTTTACCCCTGTTCATAAACTAACATCATTGTATCAGTTCATTGTTGTGAAAGAAGCTGCTATTATAGTTAAAAACATGGTGCAATAGTTTTAGGATCTGTAACTGATAATTATAAAATCAATCAGCAATACTGCAAAATTTTTAACAGAATAACTCACTATTAGGCCATTCATCCAGTAGACAATCAGCGTGTTTGTTTCTTTTATTTGACACAGTTCATCTACTTAAATGTATTCGCAATAACTGGATTTCTAAAAAGTGTCAAAAGCTATCTCTCAATAATAAAACCATAGCTTCATTTTCAGATGTGAAAAGTCTATATCAATACAAGAAAGATAACATTTTGAAAACAGTTCCTTTATCTTATGCTGCTGTCTATCCTTCGAGACTTCAACTACAGAATGTGCAGCATGTTTTAAGAGTAGCATTAAAAAGCCGAAACTATAAAATTTTTTCGAAAAGCGATAATAGCAAAGGTGATAATGATAGAACTATAATAATAATGAAAAAATAAAGTTTAAAAAATCATTTTTAAACTGTATTTTTTTTTTATATTGCCTAAAATCATAAGTTGCCTTGTGAACTGCATTCATTTTTATAAAGACTTTAGTGCTAAATTTTTTTTTGCTTGTAAAAGTCATTCATGCCGAAGTGTGCTTTTTTTTACAATTAGAAGAGCCAATATTATTAATATTTTTAATAATTATTTGGTTTGCAAAAATATTTTGTAGTTAACCCAGAACACTATATTCAAAAATAACTTAACTTTAGGAGAAATACAATAATTGCAAAAATTTTTTAGAAAAAAAAAAGTTAGATAAATTTTTACTCTCAGCCGCCTGCTGGGCGACTGACCAAAATAAAACTGTATGCTACTGAAAGTGTTTGTATAATAACAATTAATTTATAACAAAACAATAATTTAGTGTGTATCAACTTTAAACTATATGATGACTTTGAGTAAGTACAAAATGAGTTTAAGCAGCAAAACAAAAGCAGTTATAACATTTAAAAAATAATAATTTATTTTTTTAAATATATTTTAAGATTAAAAATTAAATAGAAAACAATGATAACACAACTATAGTCAATGAGTAGCCTCATTGTAGCTTCCTCAGCCTCCAGTCATTTTATTTCAAACTAGCAGAAAAAAAAAGAAAATATCAAATTATGTTTTAAATTTTTTGTTTTAAATGGTATTTACCTACCCAAGGTGGAGAAAGCCAATACAGTCAAGGAGGCTACTTAATTGTGTTTACAACCCTCTCTTAACTCTTTAATTCCTAAAAATAAACCTTAAGGAACAAAGTTGCTGCGCTAAGAAGCATGAAGTTGAGCATGGTACTACCAGAAAGGTGGTGGGGATTGAACTGGGAAGTTCTTGCTTATAAAGCAAGTACTCAACACTACACTACTACCGTCTAATGTTATTGAGGTTATGAAAAATTAAAGAATTAAAAGCACATCATGTTTATGAAGACAAAAAAAATTTTTTTGCTTTAAAAATGATGTTTGATATCTATGTCTTAATTTGTAAAAAAACTCCGAAAAAAATTAGTCGAGATGGCATCACAAAATCGCAATTATTTTTAACATCAAAATAACCTAAAGTATGTGCATTTATTAACTTACATAAAGTGATGATACTCTTAAAAAATTAATATTGATATTTGAGGATTGTCAAACAAATTTCAAGTAAAAAATTTCAAGTTAATACTTCGTTCATTTTTTTAAATATTGTTGTTTAATGATAAAATAAATGTCAGCTTAAATTAGAAAATTGAAACCTGAATATCTGTGAATATCTCCAAAACCATATGGAGTTGGATACTCAAACTTTCAAATTTTTCTAATTCGAAATATTTATAAATAATTTGAATTTGAATAAGCCTCATAACATATATAAAAACTAATAAAATAAAACCATAGGGTGACAATGCCTGCTGATTTGAACAGGAAATGAAGATAAACAAAAAAAGAAAAAGAAAAAAGCATGAACTAATTTTAACTTTTACTTTTTTACATTAAATGAAATTAAATACAATAAGAATTTTGTTTTGTAGAAATTGTTTAAATATATTTATGAAAATTTTATTTATAGTTAATTTAAGCTTAAAATTTTTAGCATTTTACATTGTATTGTAGCAAAATACAAATCTAAAAAGACTTACTTTTTATAGCTTATTAAGGCTAAAGAAATTAACTAAATCACACACAGGTTCCAAATTACTAAATACATTATTAAACTTTTTCTAAATTTTAAAGCAAAATTGACCTGCTTCGAATTAATTAATTTATTTGTAAACAGAAAAACTTGCATTACAGTTTAGTTAAAATAATTTGTTCAAATTATTTTAAAAAGTTTATTAGATGGCAAAAGCTAAAATGCACATCACAGCTATAGGCATGTATATTTATCATCTTAACATCATTTTCATGTTGACATTTTTTTTTTAACTGCAAAACACAAACCTTGTCAAAGTTCTCTTCACAGGTTCAAAAAACACTTCACAAAGTTACAAAACATCTTTTCACATTATCATGAGTCTTTTCGCAAAATCACACAAATCTTCCCTATAATCTAAGTGCAGTGCTTTATGGAGATTGCATTATAACAATACACTATTACCAAATAACCATATAAGGGTATGGTATGATTATTTACACAAACTTCACAAATCAAAAACACTCTTTCATAAGCTCATAATATAGAAAATTAGAGTCAAGATTTTTCTTAAATAATTGGCTGCAGTAACAGTTATAAATCAATAATAATAATAATAATAATAATAATAAAAACACAATACAAATAATAATAATAATATACGAATAATGGTACGAATAATATTCATACTTTTTTCTTTTCTTTATTTGTTTATCTTCAATAGCAATATAGTAATGACTATAATAATATTAAGTATAATAATATTTTATTAAGCTAGTGATTGATAAGTTGTGAATCTAATCAAAAAAATAACACAAATCATTGTTATGTAACTAATAACAAACATATAAAAGAACATACATAAAAACATAAAATATTTCTGAGTATGTATAAGTATTATTAGGTGTTAATTGTGCAATAGTATACCAGAAAATAATGCTACTTATTATGTTAAAAACAAAAAAAAAACACCTTTCCCAAATACGCTTTATTATTTTCATTTAACTTTTTATTATCATGATTCCATTTTAACTCATCATTCTCAGAGTCTTCTTCTTCAATACTACAACTAAAATTTAAAATAATATTAATAAATAAAAATAATAATAATAAATAAAAATTTAATTCACTAAATAATTAGAGTAATAAATAGTCAACAAGATTTTATAAAATAACATACTTTAAATGTGAACGCCTTCGTTTTCTCTTTTTATCTGCTGGCTAAAATTAACATAAAGTAAAATTATAGTAAAAATTTTCAAAGTAAATAATAAATTTTCAATGTACAACAATTGTGCAACAGAATTTTACCATAACTACCATTGATGAAAAGTTTTCTGGGTCAGTTAAAGGTAAGTTATCTAAGTTCTGAAAAAGAAAGAACATAGGGTTGTAAGTTATATATATATATATATATATATATATATATATATATATATATATATATATATATATATATATATATATATAATTTATAAATGTAAAATTAAAAAAAAAAAGATAAAAAAAACCTCATGCTCATTAAAATGTTTCTCCCCCATAACACAAACATTTGTTCTTCTAAGAGTTCGCTCATCTCCATCATCAAATACTTTAAAAAATTTAATAATATTAAAACAACAACAAAAACAACAGCAACAACAACAACAAAAAGGAAACAAAATTCAAACAAAAAATCCAAAGAAATATAGATATATTTTTTACTATAATAAAACTTACCAACAGTATACCAGCTATGATCGTTTATTTTTTGTATAACAGCTTCTTTTCTTTCATCACCTAATAAAACTTGAACAACTGCATTTACCTGCGACAAACAAAGAATTCTTTAAAGAGAAAATCTAGTAAGAACGCATGCTGTGATAAATAAAAGGATTCATAACTTACTCAACCTAATGAACAAATAAAAAGTGTGCGGAGTTTAATTTTTTTTTTACAGGTGTATCATTTTGTACAAACTTGTAAAGCTTAGGAAACTTGATCTATGTACCATGTGATTTGATGTGCATAATGCAAACATATTTTTTTAATTAAATGAAAATTATAAATTTAAGATTTTCATATTTGCCATCAAATACTGCACTGTAATATAATAGAAAAGTAATGGTTTAATTTGCAAATTAAACCATAAAACAATTGTATTGTATAACTAAAATTATTTTTAAACAATATATTTATAGTTTTTTAACAAATATGTTTGTATTTTTCAGAACCTAAAAATTAATGGTTTAATACTTTTGTTAATAAAGCTTCTTTTATAAGGGTCTGCAAACCTTATAATTTTACAACACCATTGTAAGCTGTGAATAAAATAAAAATTATGGACTATCAATTAGTAAGATTAGAGTTTTGAGCTTTATTTTTCAGAAAAAAATCAAAAATAATACTTTCTTAGAAATATGTTTGAATACTTTATTTTATTTAGATTTTTGCCCAAAGATAACCCATGGAACCAAAGAACTTACTTCATAAATAATATTAACATTAAATAATACTTGCTGGCAAAATTTATTTTTCTCATTTTTTTTATTTGTAAATTAAAAAATGTTTTTTACAATGTCCAGAAAACAGATGTCAGTTTACTATTGCTAGAAACCATTATAAAAAGATTTTGTCTAACGCCAAAGCCTTCATAACGCTATTCTTAGGTCATGAATTCTCGTATTTCATCTCAAAAATTAGGCTCTTGTGACTTCTGGAGAATCTTTAACAGTATCAATAGTAAGGGCAAACCTGTTATTCCACCTCTCTTGTATGGTTCAAACTTTGTCACTTCACCTAAAGAAAAAGCTGAATTATTTGTTAAGAACTTTTCATCAATATCATTTCTTAATTCTACTAGTTGCATTCTACCTGATATAGTCGGCAAACAGGTTGATCAACTGCTTGACATTTGTATCGCTCCAGTTTCTGTATTCTGTGATTTCTGCTTAGACTCTTCAACAGCTTCTGGTCCGGACAACATACCTGTCATAGTCTTGCAGAAGTGCTCTCCGGAGCTATCGTCTATAGTTTTAAAACTATTTACCAAGTGCTTATCAGAGTCTTATTTTCCAGCCTGCTGGAAAGCAGCATCTGTTATTAATATTTTCAAAAATTCTGGAGAGAGATCTGACAAGGTTTTTGAGTTGTTAATTAACAAACACTTAATCTCTTATCTTGAATCTCATAACTTACTTTTCAATCATTAATATAAATTTTGATCTTCTAGATCTAAAGCTGATTTGCTAACAATAATAACTAATAGGTTTTATCATGCATTAGATAGAGGTGGTGATGTTAAGGCTATTACTCTTGAAAAGCTTTTGATAAAGTTTGGCATGCTGATCTTCTTCTTATGTTTTTTTTTACAAGTGTTTCAGGTAACATTGTTAAGATTATTGAATCCTTCTTTTCAAATCATAGTATAAAAATTGTCCTTGATGGACAGCATTCTTCTTCATACTCAAGGTTCTATCCTTATACTCTTTAATTTACATTAACAATCTTGCAGAAATTCTTACATCTTGAGTGGCATTGTTCACTGATGATACTACCATTTATTCTTGTCTTGATAAGAAACTAACACTCTCTGATTGCTTGGAGGGGACATTTGAGCTTACAAAAGATCTCACTTCTGCTACAGCACGGGGCTCACAATGGCAGGTGAACTTTAATTCAGATAAAACTCAATTTTTTTCAGCCAATCGTTATTGCAATAAGTTAGATTTTCCTTTATTTATGAATGGTAATATACTCAATGAGTCATCTACCCTTTATCTTCTAGGATTAACTCTTACTTCTGATCTTTCTTGGAAACCATATATCAAATCCATTGCAAAATAAGCATCTGCTAAGGTTGCATCTCTTTATCGAGCATGAAACTATCTTACTCCAGATTTTATTCTCTATCGCTATAAATCTCAAATCCCGCCTTGCATGGAATATTCTTACTATATCTGGGGCCAATCTTCTAATGATGCCCTTCTTCTTTTAGACAAGGTACAAAAATGCATTGTAAACATAGTTGGACCTGCTTTTGCAGCCAACCTCCAACCATTATCACATCGTCGTAATGTTGCTTCTCTTTCTCTTTTCTACAAATACTATAATGAGCACTGCTCTAAAGAGCTAGCATCTCTTGTGCCATCTGCTAAAATTCATTTTCATCTTACTCGTCATTCAATTAAGTCTTATCCTTTTTCTGTTACTGTTCCTAAGTGCTCCAAAAACTCGCATTCATCTAGTTTTTTCCTCGAACATCAGTTCTTTGGAATTTGCTTCCTTCATCTTGCTTTCCTGATTCATGTAACTTGCAATCTTTATTTTGCTCTATAAACTTCATCTTTTCTTTTCCAGTAACTTTCAACTTAATAGTGGTTGCTTGCAGCTTTGTTGAAAGCAAAGATGTTGAAAAAAAAAAATGTTAATATTAACTGGAAAATTTACAAAAGGAAATGAAGTGAATATGCAAACCTTTTAGTATATTACAGGGATCAAATTAACGCAAAAAAAATCTAATCGCAAAATAAAATAAAAAATTTTACCCCTCCTTTTATAGGGGGGGGGGGGGGTAAAATTGTGAGGAGGAGGAAGGGGGGAAGTTGCGTTAGTATATAATTGTAACTTTTATATGTAATTGTTCTATTTTTAACATATTATCTCTCATATTCAAATATAATCTTATAATTTTCCTGATTTTTAAAATAGCGTAAGTTACTGTTATTATTTACAACTTAAGTTATAACTCAAAGTTTAAGTTGCAGTTGTAATAAGCAATAACGTTTTTAATACTATTAAGATATTTCTTTTAGTAATTGTTTTTATTTAACATGATATTTAAACATTACAATCTAAATCACTTTAATTAGTCAAAGAAAACTATTTAATACGTTCATGTTGACGTTAAAACACGTGTTAATTTTAAAAAGTATTTAATTGTTAAAAGCTATAAAACAACATTAAAAACAACTGCAAAGTTGTTTTAAATATATAAAGAGTTTGGGTTAATGTAAAACAAATTCGTGACGCTGTTTCGTATTGATTTATACAGTTTATAAAATAAAACGCGTTTAAAATAAAAGGAAGCAAATAAATAAAATCTAGTTAATAAACTAAAACAAAATTTCATATTTGCGCCTATAGACCTATACGAGTTTATAATCTATAGACCAAACAAGTAAGATCAAAGCAAAAAAACTTTAGATACCATGTCTTTTATAAATTATCGTTTCCTGATCAAGTGTACTATTAAAAATTTAAGTATAATTAAGTTTTTCATTCGAATGGTTTTTAAACCGATGTTTTCATTCAATTTTTTTTTATTCTAATTGTTTTCCAAAAAAAAGTGAAACAAAAAATTTTGTTTAACAAAATCGAATTATATTAAGTATAAAAATATGCTTAAACTATTTTTTTAGAAAAAAAATTTTTCGAACAGAAGTAAAATAAGTTATCAAATTTACTTTAAATTTTTTATAATTTTTATTTTAACTTGCAATTTGCAATCACTGCTTGGATGTTTGCAATAGAATGTTTCTACTTTTAAAACTATTTTCAAGAAAAAATATATAATTCAAAACATTAACAAAATTTACAATTTACGAAAAAACTTTCTTCTTCATTCTCGCTTGTTTCATCAAACTTTTTTTTAATTTTAAAATTTTTTTTTAATTTCAAAGTTCAATCACAAAACTATTTGAATAAGTGAATTTTAAGGCTAAAGTTCTTTTGTTTAAATAGATTTCTTGTTAAATAAAATTCCTGAAAACAACTTGCGTATTTATAGAAAATGTTTAGTCTAGATGACACTATAAATAAAATGAAAATATAAAAAAATGGTGTCGCCTTTTTCATATTCTATTTGACAATTTTTGTTAAAATAATTACTAGTTAGAAGCTTATATTATGTGTTTAGAACATGAAAAATCTAAATTGAAAAAAGTCTATGGCTAACTTTTATGAGTATATTAAATAAATTAATATAATTGTTAAATTAATACTTGAGTAACTTTAAGTTACTATCTTAACTTAACTGGTTGTTTTGATTTAGGTTATAAGTTAATTTACTCTGATATACTCTATCCATTCAGTAAAGTTAACTAAATATAACTTCAATAGTTTCAAAGTCTTTAAAGCGAAAAACGTGAAAGCAAAAAAGTTGCTGGTTTCTATTAGCACAATTTTACTAATAGAAATTTTATTTAATAAAAACGAATTAATATATATTTTATTATACTTAAAGTAGTAAAAATAATTATATAAAATTTTTTATAAAATAATAATTTAAATCATTATTAATAAGTTAATTTGGAGCAACGTTTTTTTTTTAAAAAAAGATAAAAATGTTGTTTTGTTAAAAAAAAATAGAATAAAAAAAAAATTCTTTTTAACTTTTGTCTTTTTAATTTGCTTCTACGCAGAGATTTAAATTAAAAAGTGCTTTATATTGAATAAAAATCTCCGTGCGCAAGAGCAAATGATCATGTTTCTATTCAAAAGACAAACTTTGCATGACATACTTTACTATGAAAACATTTCTTTTAAGAATTGCCAAAAAAAAAAAAAAAAAAGCAAAATAAGAAAAATATTAAATAAACAACTAAAAAAAGTAAACCAATGGCGAATTTATGTTTTAAGAAAAAACTAATCGTGAAGGTGTAAAAAGCAATCGTGATTCGCTTAATTCGAGCCTGTATTAGCTAGTTAACTTCATCCGCTGTATATATGAATGTATATATGTATAGTTAAATTGAATAGCATATTTTTAGGTTGATATAATTGGAGAACCATTGAAATAAAATTTATCTTTTTCAGCGACACAATAAACCTATACAGATGGTAGCAGAATTTATGGCGAAAAGTTGCCAAGTTGCAATAATGTAAAGTAAAACTACCCTGATAATAAGCAACAATTATTTTTTGCAATAAATATAAAACTTTTTAAACATAGTTGCTTAGTCATAAATAGATTTTTACATCATTAAAATGAAAATAACAATAATATAATAAAAATAATATAAATCATAAATATGAAATGCAGATTAAAAAACCTTTTTATTTTTATTTCACATATTTAGAAAATCTTATTTAAACTAGGGAATTACAACTATATGATAAAAATTTAGTCTACAGTGTACTATGAAGTTTACCATATAGTATAATGTAAATTAAACTTGTTTATTTATAATATTTTGGGTACAGCTGTAATAGTAGCCAGTAATATTCTAGAATAATCATACTATATAAATTTTTATATAATTTATTATATAAAATTATTATATTTTATATAATTTATTATATAAAAAGTTTCTTAACAGTTTTTCCACAGCAACAGAAGCAATGAGAAAACAATTATAAAAAAAAATGTTTGTTAAATATTTGTTTATTATTCACAGACCAAGGAGTCTCTAAATAATAAAAAATCTAATTTTTACTTATTTTAATTTCAGAAAATAGATCAGGTTACTAACTAAAAAAAGGTTTTTAAAATTACAACTCATAATATCTGAAGTAAGGGTTAACAGAACACACACAAAGCATAAAATCAAAACAATTCTAAGAACAATTTAAATAAGAAATAGTCAGATTAAAATAAACTTGTTAACTAAGAAGAAAAAATTAAATTGTTTACTAACTTAAAAGAAACTTTGTAATGTTTAATCAAGAAAAGATTTATTTATATCAAACCACAATAGATTTGAATTTAAAAAACTAAATAACATAAAGCATGATTTAATATGCAAACCTTTAAAGGACCATCAATTGCATCATCATGAACAACTGCTGAACTGGATATAACATCTTTAAACTGAACCTAAAAACGAGAACTTTTTTTGCCAATGTTGTGTGATAAATTAATGTTATTTTTAATATATTCAGTGAAAGGTTTAGAAATTCTTAAAAAAAAATACTCTAAAACTGCATGTTGTACTTTATATTTAAAATATTTTTAATATATTTCCTTTTCTCTTTCTTAATTAAAAAGCTATAGCAACTTGTGAATGTAATGTTGTAGACATTATAGAAGACTAACTAGATATAATCTAATCCAGTCTAAATGAACTTTATTATGTGGTTTACTATTAAAAAATTTCATATCAATTCTAACCCTCAGCAGTTCTTAATATGGAGTTAGGACTTATTGTTAAACGGTTATAGCTTTAGGAAAAAAACAATCTGTCACATTTTTAATTACAAACAGTATCTAAAAATTTGTAAACATCAAGATGATAAAGGCTTTGGGAAATACCTAAATAATAGATCAATTTACTCAAAATAAATTTACATTTTTAATAATTTATCAAATGATACATATTAACTTAAATTCCTTATAACTAATGTACTTCTTTTCATTTAAACTTGTTGTGTATGTTTCTTAAAGACTAAATATCATCTGCTTATTATGTTTTTCAAAGAAAAAATATCAGAGTATTAAATAAATTTAATCTAAACAATTTTTCTTAAGAAATTAGCTCAAAACTCAATTGAAAACTCTAATAATTTTTAAAATGATATACTCAGCAAAACAAATCCCTTCTTATTGGTAAACAATTTGATTACTTTCAAATTAAACTTTGCCATTTCAAGAAAGTGTATGCAAATGTATTATTTGTGAAAAAAAAAAAAAGTAAGATACAAAGCTATAAAATCTAGGGGTTTTGGCCTAGTTTAGATAGCTGATAGAGCTTTTTCTTTCTTTTAACCTCACATAGATAAAAATCATAGTTTCATTATTGCAATTATTTTAAATATTTTTATAAAAAAGTATAAATAATTGATTGCCTTACTATATTTAAAAATTGTAACATTTCCTAATACATTTATATATATTTATATTATAATTAAAAAAAAAACTTTTACTTAGTTTTATAATAAAATTTTTTTTAAATTTATATTTAAATTTTCAATAAAGTAACACACTAATAGTAAAAGACCCAGATTTAATTCGAAAATTTAGTTTTAATAACATTACTTATAAAAAATTGTTTTTAATTAGATTAACTTTAATTATACTTTTTTTCATAAAAACTGTAAAAATTTTAAATGAATTTTTTACACTTAAGTTTACCCCAAACACAGTCGAAAGATTTAAATTAAGTATGAAATAAAAATATATAATTTTTTTAAATTGAATTGGTAATAGAATATGCATGTGTTTGTATAAAAGATCTGGGGAAAAAACATTTAATTTTTTTAACATTTTATTTGGAAAAAAACATTTAATTTTCAGTGCTGTTAATGCTGTTTATAAAAACATGAAAGCAATTATCTTTAATGAGATTCAACTTAACCCTAACCAACCTGCATTTTCATTTTTAAATATAGAATTTTTTATAAAATGAATTTGAAATAAGCATTAATTTGATAAAGATTAGAAAAAAAATTTTAATTTTATGTTTTAGGGTAAATCTAGAATGCTCCGTATACAGAACATTTGGTTGTTCCAGTTGCACAAGGTGTATTTTAATTTGTTCCATATACGGAACATCTGGCATTAAAGATACTATTTTAATTTTTATTTAACACATGTAACATTTTATTTTTTGAAATAATTAAGTGTCATTATTGTAAAATGAAGTAATTTTTAAGTTATAATATGTTTTTAATCAAAATATTCTGAAACTTAAATTCTAATCATTGTGATGGTATTGATAAAAGCAATTAAAAGTTGGTTTTAAACATAGAACAACTTTGCATTTTGAACATTGTACTGAGGATTTCAAATCACAATCTTTGTTTGCACATCAATGTCTTCCTTTAATAAAATCTGGCCAATGATCAACTCTATCGTACCTTATATCGACATTTACTTTCCTTCGCTTTGGATTTGGATGAAAATTTTCTTCAATGCTACTCTTGCAAGATTTGCTGCAGGTCTTTTTCGTCTTGGTAGATCTAACACCATTTTATTAGTCAACATTAAACTATCAGATACTTTTAGAATAAAGTCTCTTATATTATATTAGTCTCTTATATTAATATATATTATATTAATATATATTATATTATGTTAATATTATTATATTAATAACAAGTATATATTATATTAATAATATATATTATATTAATAATAAGTCTCTTATAATAATATTCTTATCTTTACCATCTTTATTAACAATTTTGTATATCAACCAAGCATTTGTAGTACACACGCTGAATAAATAGTATACTATGTGATCATTATATTTTGTACTTTTGCGATCAATACGATATAATGAATGGTACATATCACATAAGTCAACACCGCCCATGTACTTGTTGTACTCTTTAATAATTGCAGGGCATTCAATTTGAACTCTTTTTTTAGCTTTACCATCCCATCGACTGATTGTTGACACTGGATCACTACCAACAGAAGATGACAACAAATTGACCAATTTGTTATCATTCCAACGAATCAAGCAAATATCATCATCTTTATTGACATACAATTCAATAGTACTTCTTGGCTTTTTTCAAAATTTGGAGTTAGTTTTATTTGAACTCTATTCAGTCTAATAGTAGGTACGGATTGGTAACCCATCTTTTTCAAATCAATGGTCAGTGTAGGAGATGCGAACCAGTTGTCAAAAAATATATTGAAATTTTTTGATTTAGGTATACTTCTAATCAATCGCATCACAGCAGATGTACCAGCTGGTTCTAATTTTTTAAAAATTGTTGAAGCAGTATTATTAAAGTTTGCTCCAAGCATTCTTTTTGTTGGCGGTGTAGAGGTTCGATTTCCAGCTTTGTACCATATTGGTCTTCTTAATGGTTTACTGGAAGCTGATGCTGAAGTTTGAAGAAGTATGTTAACTGAGGTTTTTGTTTTTTGAGAGGGATTATTATAAAATCGAGATACTATTATAGATGAACAAATTGTTTTTTTAATGAGCTTAGATTGACCAGTAACTTGTACAATACTTGATGAAGCCATAGTGTTTTGTGTTACAGTAGAAATTGGTGCAATATTTGTTTTCTCTGCGCCAGTATATAGAAAAAAATCATAAATGACCCCAGATGTAGCACTGCCATAAGTTATGAATTTGAATCCCCATTTACACATTTTTTTTGGATTGTATTGCTGCATAAAGGTTTTTTTTACCTTTATAAGGAACAATCTGCTCATCAATACTATTATACTCTTCTGGATCAATAGTGTTGCAATTTAGTAAAACATGATCATACAGTTTACATAAACAATTTATCATAATTTTGATGATCTTTACCAATAAGATCATTATTACTTGCTATATGGAAACTATTTTTGATATCTTCAAATTGATTCGGTTGCATTGTATCAGCTATTTTTGAATATCTTGTATCCTGTGCCCAATACATACGAAAAGATGGCATTTGAATAACTCCCATATGGAACAGGATACCAATATATTGCTCAATTTCAATTGGTGTCACATAGATTGATTTGCCTGTTTTCTCTACAGAATAAATGTAAGTTGTGTTAGCAAAATGTTTATTCATACCCTTTTTAAAAAAATTGAAAAAAAAAAACAATTGGTAAAGATCTACTAGTTTGGAACTTTTTATAATCTGGTATTTTACCAAAAAAATCTTTTGAGCCAGTGTTTATAAAATTTCCATTTGACCACTTAGCAAATTGTTGTTGTTTTCTGCAAGAGCTTTATATTTTGCGGAAATTTTTTTAGGTTGTTTTATCTTCTTTTTTTTTTGTGGAGTTTAGACTGTTCATTTACACATTGTTCTGATGAATCATTGTCAAGTGTTTTGCTGTTGGGTGCTTCACTATCACCTAAATTAAGTTTTTTATTCAATTTAGATTGCATATCATAAACATTATAATCATCATCTGAATTCTCATTGTCCATATCAGATTCATCCGCAAATGGTAAATCACATATTATTGCATCTCTCTTTTTACTTTCTCTAAGATTTTTAATATTATTCATCTGAAATGAAAAATTATATGGAATTATGATATATACATTTTTTTTCTAAAGAGAATTTACCCCCCCCCCCAATATTCTGTATAAAAAACACAGTATAAAATGCGCAGTACAATCGTAAATAATTTTAAAATTATTTTCAAAAAGACAACAAATCTGGAATTGTTCAACTCAAGTTTCTTCTTCTATAATAACCTTGTGTCATTTTAAATTATTCAGGTCACAACAAATTTACAATTCTAAAATCAAGATAATCCAGTCAAACCAGTAATACAAAAGACTGGGTCTTAAATTATGACAACATATCCAATCAGTAACAAAAAAAATGTAATAAATTATAACAAGAAGCCGTAATTAAATAATTCACTTTTAACAACGACAGGAACAACCAAATGTTCCATATACGGAACACACATTAATTGCTCTAGAAATATTGGGAAAAAACAAAAAAATAGTTAATTTTTTTAATAAGTGAAGTTATTACACATAATTATATAGTAAAAAAATTATTTTATATAAAAAAAAAAAATAATACATCCAAAAAATATAAGCCATTAAATCATGAGTCAAATCTTTGGAAAAATTCCAAAATCAATCGCAAATTTCATGAGTTTAAAAAAGATAAACATTTTATTAATGGTATCTGAGGTATGACTTCTAATTTCAAATCATGCTACCAATGACTTCATTTAAAATTATTAAAAAAAAAAAAAAAAGCAGAGATATACAGCATAAAAATTAGTAATGAAAGCATAAAACTTTTTATACTTTTCTTTCTGAAGAAAGATAAAACTGATATAAGAATTAAAAAAGAGCAAACTCAAGTTTAAAATTAAAAAAACTCAAGTTTAAAATTAAAAAAACTTTAAACCTCATAATATCAATTTACCACTATACAACATCACATTATATGTGTTGTTGTATAGTGGTAAATTATATGTATCAAATATTTATTTATTGTAAATTTTAAAAAAAAAGAAAACAATTTTTTATACTTAGAAATCCCCACATTTATTCTTAAAAACAATACTTTTAAAATTGATATACCTTATAAAACACCAATTTAAAATTATTTACAATAAATATTATTTACAATAAATACAGAGGTCGGCTTTGTCAACACTTTGCAGCTTTTAATATATAAACACATTAACATAGAAAGACCGACCTTGATTGCTTGTAGCTCAGCTTTATACTTGGCAGTGCCGAGTACCAACCTGGATTCACAAGACTGCTATAACTTTAAAAAAATCATTCTACTGTAAATAAAGTGATCGCAAAATGCTATGAGATGGAAAATTCTAAAAACTTACTTTGCATTTTACATTTTTTTTCAATGATTTGATAGTAGCTTCACAAAAAGCACCTTTAAATTTAGCACTCACTGGAGTACCAACTTCCAAGAATGCTGGAACATCATTTGCCTTTAAAAAATTTGATTGTAAATGTAAATTAAAAACACATATTTTGAAAATAATTGTAGATGGTTAAAATAAACATAAAAAAGCATACTAATGCATGTTTAAAAAAAAAAAAAGTTTTATTTAAAAATTTCCATCAAAGAATAGAAGCTAAAAAATTCTTAATAAGAATAAAAATTAAGCTCCAACACTCGGAATTAGGAAAAATGAGGTCGGCAATAATTTGCCAACCTCAATCTTTTAGAGGTCGGCATCAGGTCGACAAAAAAAATTAATACAAAGGTCTTACCATAAAACATTAAAACAAGGTTGGCAATTTTTTGACAACCTCAAACATTTTTAGGTCGGCAGTCGGCAATGCCGACCCTAATTCCGAGGGTTGAAGCCCTCATAATTAGAAAAATTAAGGTCAGCAAAATATTTTTTTTGACAAACACAAACTGTTTTAGATCGGCATCAGGTTAGCACAAAGTTTTTAACACAATGGTTTTACTATGACAACATAGAAACGAGGTCAGCAAAAAATCGCCGACCCTAATTCTGAGAGCTGTAAAAGTAATGGCTAATTGCTTTTTTGAATAAAGGCCGCAGTATTTGGAATATTAATCAAATTTAAACTTAAAACAATTTTATAAAGTTAATATATAAACAACATGAAAGTGAAAAATAAATGTAGTTAATAAAAGTTTTTTCAAATCATAAATAAATAATTCATTTTTAAGAGCAATAATCTACAATTATCAAAAAATTATAGAACTTGCAAATATATCAACAATTTTTAAAATATTAAATTTAAGCAAAAATTACTTGGGGTTAACCCTACAACCAATCGTTAAGTAATAAAATAAAAAAAGTCATATCTATATTTAAAATCTATAATTTTATCTATAATTTTAAAAATTTTCAAGTCCTTGATAATGTAATTTCTTTTAAAACTTCTTTTTAAAAGTGAGTTATAAATGGATTTTTAAAGGTTAGATTAAATTTTTAAAAAAACCTGTAAAATATAAATATTAAAAATTTTTTTCAAAACTAAATTTGGATAATCAATTGTTTTCAAATTTTAGCAATATTAAAAATAAATTTTGGTATGATTGATATTTGTAAAAGCTGTCATATTAAAGATATATTTATTATATATAAAAACTTGATAAAAATTGGTGTATTGAAAATATATCAAACTGTTTGTTGACAGTATCATACTGGACCAAAATATCATTTTTAGATAAGTAAAACATTAGATTTAATTATAATAAAAACAAAACTTAATTATACTTTTTATGTATAATTACTGTAACTGACTAATGATGTACCTATTGCACATTTGTGACTGTTGCTGATGATGATGCAGATGGACTTCTTCGCTTCCAACAAGGCTACAAGCAACCACCAATTAGAGTTAGAAGTTACTGGAAAAGAAAAGATGAAGATTGTAGAGCAAGATAACGATTGACAGACGACTTAAAAGATTGCAAATCATACAAATCAGGAAAGCAAGATGAAGGAAACGAATTCTAAAGAACTGGTGTTAAGGAAAAAAAACTAGATGAATACAAGTTTTTGGAGTACTTAGAAACAGCCACAGTAAAAAGGTTAAACTTAATTGAATTCACGCCACTGGTAGTACCGCGCTCAACTTGTTTTTCTGCGCAGCGGCCTTGTTTGTCAAGGTTTGTGTTTCGGAGTTAGAATAGCTAGCTCTTTAGGGTAGTGCTCATTATAGAATTTGTAGAAAGGAGAAAGAGAAGCAAAATTACGAAGATGTCACAATGGTCGGAGGTTGGCTGCAAGAGCAGGTCCAACTAAGTTTAGAATGAATTTTTGTACCTTGTCTAAAAGAAGAAGGGCATCATTAGAAGATTGATCCCATGTATGGCAACAGAATTCCATACAAGGCAAGATTTGAGATTTATAGAAATAGAGAATAGAATCCAGAGTAAGAAAGTGTCAAGCTCGATAAAGAGATGCAACCTTAGCAGATGCTAGTTTTGCAATGGATTTGATATATTGTTTCTAAAAAAGATCTAAAGTAAGAGTTAATCCTAGAAGATAAAGGGTAGATGACTCATTAAGTACATTACCGCTCATAAATAAAGGATAACTTATTGCGATAACGATTGGCTAAAAAATTTTTTTAAAAAAATAAGAGTTTTATCTGAATTAAAGTTCACCAGCCACTGTGAGCCCCATGCTGTAGCAAAAGTGAGATCTTTTTCAAGCTCAAATGCCCTCTCCAAGCAATCAGAGAGTGTTGGCTTCTTATCAAGACAAGAATAAATGGTAGTATCATCAGCGAACAATGCAGTTTTAGATCTGAGAATATATTAAAAAAGAGTACTGTCCATCGAGGACAACATTTATACTGCAATTGGAAAGAAAAGATTCAATAATCTTAAAAATGTTACCAGATACACCATAAAAAGAAAGCTTATGGAGAAGACTAGCATGCTAAACTTTATCAAAAGCTTTAGAAATGTCAAGAGTGATAGCCTTAACATCTCCACCTCTATCTAATGCATGATAAAACCTATTAGTTATTACTGTTAGCAAATCAGCCGTAGAACAAGAAGATTGAAATCCATATTGATGATCATAAAGTTATTAGATTCAAGATGAGATATTAAGTGTTTGTTAATTAAAGATTCAAAAACCTTGCTTATGATAGGAAGAAGACTAATGGGACGGTAGTTAGACAAATCAAATCGCTCTCCAGAATTTGTGAAAATAGGGATAACAGATGCTGTTTTCCAGCAAGCTGGAAAACACGGCTCTGATAAGCACTTGTTGAATAATTTAGACATCATCTCCAGAGAAATTCTGAGAAAGTATAGACATCATCTCCAGAGAACAATTCTGCAAGACTATAACAGGTATGTTGTCTGGGCCACAAACTGTAGAAGAGTTGAAGCAGGAAATCACTTTAGATACAGAAGCTGGAGTGATATGAATGTCAAGTAATGGATCAACCTGTTTGACGGCTATATCAGGTAGAAAGCAACTAGTGGAATCAAGAGATGATATTGATGAAAAGTTCTTAGCAAACAATTCAGCTTTGTCTTTAGGTAAGATGACAAAGTCTGAATCATACAAGAGAGGTGGAATAACTGATTTGCCCTTATTATTGATATTGTTAAAGATTCTCCAGAGATCACGAGAGCCTAATTTTTGTAATGAAATACTAGATTTCATAACCTGAAAATAGCCGGCTTTGGCATTAGACAAAACCTTTTTACAATGGTTTTTAAAAAGGTTAAATGAAGAAGGGGTGCAAGGCTGGTCAACAGATAGAATCTGTTTATCCCTTAAGTATTTGCCTAGGAGGCCTTATACAAGCAACCCTCGGAATTAGGGTTGGTATTGGGCAATGCCAACTGCCAGCTTAAACGCGTTTGCAATCGGCAAAAAAAATTTGGTTTTGCCAACTTCGTTTTGATGTTTTATGGTAAGATCTTTGTATTTGCCGACCTGATGCCCACCTCTAAAAGATTGAGGTCTTATAGAGGAATTTTATTAATTCCAAGGGTTGTACAGCAGCCGGATGCATTTAACATCTGCCCAAGATGAGTATTTTTATCAAGACACCATCTCTAGCCTTTACTCTTTACTTTACTGCTTACTTTTATTCAAAATGTAAATACTTATATTAAAACGTAAATTAAATACGTTTAAAGGGATCCTAAACTCCGAACACATGTTGTGTTCATATTAAAGATAATGTTAAAAAAAAAAGGTTTGAACCAAGTTTTTTTGATTAAAAATAAATAATGAATGCATACCGAGAAAAACTAATGTTGTTGTTTTAGCCAAAGCTCGCCTTCTCCATTTTTTTCAATAACTCGGAGTCTTTAAATTATACGCCGCAACCTACAGACTTTAGCGATTCCTTTGAAGCGCGTTTAATTCATAAAAGTTTTAGCATTTGACGTCACAGTAGTTTTTTAATAAAAGAAAAGTGTAATTAAACAAAGTTGCGTTTTTTTTTACTTTAATTCAAAAAGTACGATGTAGTAATTTTTTAACATACAGCAAAACAACTTTTACAACAAATTTTTATAAAAATCAAAAATAATAAAAGCTTTTTATTTCATAGGAGGAACTTTTTTTTTTTTACCGATATCTTAATAATATTTAGATTTATATATCTTACTTATAATTCTTTTGTTTTTAAATCAAAACAAATATTAAAGCTTTACTTACGAATCTTTATGATTCCTTATGATTTTCATACGAGTGTTTTAAATTATATAGAACATTATGTATGCGGTCTCGTTTTTGTACAAGAGAGCACAGTATTATATATTCTGAATCTTACTTATTTTTTGATTTAAACAATGGGAACTTTTTTCTAACTTCTTTGGTTATTTTTATGCTATGATATTTTTTGTTTTCCCATTGAAAAAAAGTATTTATTAACAATTTATTTCATAAACTGACAGTATTAATTAGAGATATTTGATGAATTGTGAACTTTTTTTATTATAAAAATTTTTTGATTACGCTGATTTATTTTAAATAGCAAAATATGCTGAATGGGATACGGGTAGAAAGGAAATATCATTTTATTTTACATTTGATTTTCGATAACGAAACTTTTAAAATGTTGCAACTCCATACCAATTAAAACCTTTTAAGGTTATGAAAAAAAAGTACAAGAATACACTAAACAATACAGTTGACAGTAGTATCAGATATGAAAGTTCGTGAAAGGATATGTGAGATCCTGGTTTTGCATTAAAAGTACAATTAATAGCAACACCAGTCAGCATTATAAATTTTGATTATAAGTTTACTGTTCAATATTTTATAACCATCAAATGAAAAACATGAAGTTTGTATATTTTTGCCTGTTTTATACAACTAATATTTAACAAAAATACGGACAAATTATTATTATATAACGCAATAATTAACACATTAATGGCAATAATTCAAGATAAATGATAATTTAAATTGTCAAAATGTCATAACACGCGTTAAAAAACATATTATTTTTGGTATTTCCCAATTTGTGTCGTATTTGGCATTTGTCTCTTAACATGAAAAACTTAAAAAAATTTTAAACCACAACAAATACAAATTTTCAAGCTATTTTCTCTTCCAATTTTCATTTATTCAAAGAAAAGTTACTATTAAACTTTTATTTCTTTCATCTAAAAAAAGAACGAGTAAAGCAAAAAAAAAATTTTCTATACAATTCTTATTGATTTGAAATTCGGTATTAAATTTGAATAATACAATCTTATTGATTTGATATTTTATTTGTATATATATATATATATTATATATATTAGTAATATAGATATAATATTGATATTTATTTGATTTGAATAATAAATTTGAAAAATACAATCTTATTGATTTGAAGTTTAAAGAGATCCCTAAGTGCTCCTAACATATGACCTCATATGAAAGAGCATTAAAAAAAATATGTAAGTTTTTCTTTTTCACTAAATTGTAATAAATGCATGCTAACAAAAAGCAATTGCCGAAATCACTAAAAAACAACTTATAGGCATTATTAGTACTTTGCTATCTTCCAAAGAAATCGAGCAAATTCATAGATCTACAGGACATTATGGCGTGAAGAAAACATTGTACTTCGTTCATAAAATCGACCCGTCAGTGAGCAAAGAAGTAAAACAAGTGGTTAAGAAATGCATAGCCTGTCAATCAATTGATCCAAGTCCAATAAAATGGTTAAAAGGGGAGATAGAAGTAAAGAGAACGTGGCAACGACTTAGCATGGACATAACTTATTATGAGGGGCAGCACTATCTTACTTTAATCGACTGTGGACCTACACGGTATGCAATATGGCGATATCTTAAAGATCAAACCAGTGCATGTGTTATTCAGAAATTATATGTAATATTTCTTAAACGAGGAGGTCAGGATGAAATACTGATGGACAATGATACTGCATTTTGAAGCACATTGTTTTCTCAGTTTGTAAATAAATGGAGTGTTAAACTTCGATTCAGGTGCGCCTATGTAGCTTCGGGAAATAGAATTGCGGAACGATGTCACCGAACTGTCAAAAGAGCGGCAAAGAGAGTTTGGTGCAGCATACTGGAGGCAGTTTATTGGTATAACGTTAGTCCAAAGGATAGTTGTAAGTCTTCTACTGCACCTGCAAATAAGTTATATTAATATGAAGTTAGAGTAAGAGGTATTGATAACAACAAGAGTGCACATGATCCTTGTAGGAAGACAACCAATGAATTCAAACTTGGCGATAAAGTATGGGTTAAACCCTCGGATAGCCGATGCGAATTTCAATATAAGATTGAAATAATTACAGGAATAATCTTTGTTCAAATGGTAGAAGTGGACAAAATGTGTCGACATGTACGAGACCTAAGAAAGTAAGAGTTGGCAACGATTCAAATGAAGATCTTGGACAAAGAAGAGGTGACAATGATTTAAATGAGGATTCAGAAGATGATGAAGAATTATACATTGTGCTGCCTGGAGAAAAAACAAATAAGATGCTAGGGTTACGTAGAAGCACACAAGAAAGGAGGGGAAGTGTAAAGTGTAATTATATTTTATGATTGTTAACGATCGATTTGCATTAATTGTAAATAGTTGTATATAATATTAAGTCATAGTTGTAAATACCAAGAGAATATGATTATATATAAATTATATTGAATTACATTAGAAGAGATAAGGCGTTTTAACGCTTAACTAACAACGTTAATTTTGATGTGAAACTACATAATTATAAAATTGAACTTGCAATAAATGTGAAATATAAAATTTACAAGCTTGTATTTCTTATTTTCAAAAACTTATCTATTTTTAAAACATTTCTTTTGATAACACAATTTATTACATGATGATGAGGGTTTATCCATAAAGGACGTCAAGCAGAATTTAAATAATAATTTAAAGTAAAAGATTATTAGCTCTCTTTTGCTGAGATTTTCATTGAACATAAATTGTTATATTACTATATTACAGTGAAAAAGAAATATATATTCAAAAGAATACTTTTGAATTAAAAGTGGCAACGATTTATTAAGATAAATCAACTATATTATTCTTAATAATAATAAATTTATATACGCTGATTATTTTATAATAGAAAAATATATAATTCCTAATATATGTTTGGAAATCAGAGGTTAATTTGCAATGTTGTTATGAAACCACATTCAATTTTGTGTTAATTTTATATTCATTTTCGATGTTACAAAAGGCATTTCATTTTATTTTTGGCACTATCCAATCAATGTATGCAGCGCTGAAGTGGAGTAGAAAAAGAAAAAATATAAGAAAAGAACTTTAGAACTTTTTCAAAATATTAGAAAATATTCTGAAAAAGTCCCAATTTCGTTAAAACGCTGCATCAAATTTATTCCTGGTTAACACCCTGTAGTGTATCGCAGACCAGAAATGTTAAACAAGATAATGAACTTGAAAAAACATAAAACAATAAGCTCACTTGATGACTGTTATTTAAGTTATTTATGTCCAACTTTTTTGGACTGATTTATTGTCATGCTTTTCAAACTCCAGTTTATGAATTCTCTTTTTTGTGGTGGTTTTGGTTTAGGTGGTTTGAGGTTGGCATATAATACTATTAAATATCTTTAACAAAACTAAATAATAGCATTTAATGATAAAATCAATGAATCTAATTTCAATTATGGTAAAACTTTATTTCAAAGTAAATTGTGAATAAACTAAAAATTTTAAGCTCAATCTCAACAAACAAACAAATAAACAAACAAACAAACAAGCAATAACAATATATTTCGTGTTACAGATGTTACAAAAACACAGGTCATTGCAAATAGTGATTCACTAATAAAATGCAATGTTCTAAATAAGATAAAAAAAAAATAATAACAATAATAATATGTAATAAGTAAAAACACATAAAAAAGTAGGTTATAAAGGGAAGTTAAGTTAAATAAGTTAACATAATATTAACTAATAAAAGTAAAATTACATAAAAATTTATTCAATTATACCAAAAAAATCAGACTTTTTGAATATATATAACATAATTAATATAATGTACATTTACATATGCACATATATTTAAACAAGAACTATAATAAAATAAGTAAATTATAATAAAAAATAATTATTTAAAATAAAATATTAAAAATAAAATTATAATAATAAACTATAATAAAAATAAAAATATAAATCAAAAAGTAGAAAGTAAAAAATTAAAAAGTAAAGTTAAGCGTAACCTTTTAGGTAGGAAATGATGGAGGGACTTTAAGAACAGATTCTTGAACCTAAGGATGAGATCTGATTTTAGGGTGTTCGGAAGGGAGTTCCAAGAAAGGATACACTGGTATGTAATGGAATTAATTCCATGTTTACTTGTCTGTTTTAGTGGGAGAGTTAAGTTGTTATAAGTGACTGATCTTAGGTTATGCCCACTTGTCGTTCTATTATTAAAGTAGTTGTGAAATATACTAGGAAGAAAACCATGTTGTTATTCCCAGACAAATGAACAATTTAAGAACTGAATTAAGTCATAGAAACAAAGAATTTTGGATGTAAGATATAGGATGTCAGTAGGGAAATTTCTTGGTCAAAAATGAATAATTCATACCGCTCTATTTTGAAGTGAAACAACTCTAGAGAGATATACGGTTTTAGATTGTCCCCAAAATTGACATGCAAATTGTAAATGTGAACCAAAAGTTGAGTGATATATAGAGAGCAATGTTTCAAAGTTAACGTAATGTTGAACTTTTGCTAACATGCCTTTGGAACGGCTTAACTTCAGAGTAAGGTCAGATATGTGTGTTTTGAATAAAAGTTTTTTATCTAACACAACACCAAGATAAGTCATGTTACTAGACAAGTACATTTTTCGACAGCTTAATCGAAAGTTCAAGTATTTTGGAATATTTTTCTTAGTTTTTTTAGAAAAGTTAGTATTTCAAGTCTTAAATATAATTATTTCTGATTTTTTAGTATTCAATGAGATTTTTGCTCTAAGCCTGTGAACAAGACTGGCCATATCCTGATTAATATATTTATTAAGTTTTTTGAGAGAGTTTGTTATTAATCGAAGATTAGTATCATCAGCAAAATGTTTTTGAATGTTTGATAGAAAGATTGAGATCATTAATATAGATAATAAAGAGAAGAGGACCTAATATGGATCCCTGAGGTATACCAATTGAAACATTTTTAATATCTGAGCTAGTTCTATTTATAGTTTTAACAAAAATGCTCATGTGAGTTTAAGTATAACCATATCTTCAGAAGCAAAGCAAAAAATAAATGTTAACTTGGTACAGTATGTTAGACAAGATGATACAAAGAACAATTCCTATTGCTCTGTTAAATTATTAATAAAATAAATTGTTATTAATGATAATAAATGATATTGTTAAATATACAATGTTAAATTTTTTTTTTTTTTTTTTGTACAAATTTACAAAATTTAAACCTCTTAATTTATTTAATAGTGTGTGGATTATTTTTTAAAGTGAATAAGCATTTATTTTAACCTATGTAAATCTCAGCTAGTGTAAACATTTATTTTTTCAAATTTAGGTATTAGTCAAAGCAAGACTAAAATAAGAGCCAACTTAGAAAAACGAGCAGTATAAGAGAATAGATAGAAAAAATATGTCCTGCGTGATCGATCGGAGCTGCATGAGAAAATACTAGCGAATAACCTTCTGAGACGTTCTGAGTGAATTATTCAGACACGTTCTGAGTGAATTGTTCAGAAATAAAGAACATTAAGTCTTTATGATGAAAATTTCATAAACAAATTATAAATTATCATTATATAGGTAGTATTAGGTTATTTACCTTAAAGTTCAAAAACAAAAACAAATTTTTTTTGGCTAAGCATTTCTAGAACTCAGATTATTATAAATCAAAGAAGCATAACTTATAAATATTAGGCTCCAAATAGCAAATCATTATTTGTAAAAACATTTAACCTACCATTTTAAATGATAACTAAACTCTTTTTTAACAAAGACAATAAATACAACTATATTCTTCAATTTGTTTACAATTTTTCTTCAAATACAATATTTTTTTTAGTTTGATCCATCAACAACTATTTTGTCTATCCTCTTGTTTTCTGGAGCAAAATTATTATTGGTTCCGTTAAATTAGTGTCTAATTTCCCAAGTTATGGTCTAGTTCACCGAAACAAAATTAGTGAACTAAGTACTAATATCTTCGCCACATTTTGGCTTAACTCTGCAATTCAGTTATCTGAATCACATGAATTTAAAATGAATAATTTTATCGAAGATATTAGAAATAAAGTAAAATTAGAAGAGTTTGCTGTCATAAATGTAATAAGTTAAATTAATTTTGAATTACGAAAGTTTTTTGCTGAAATGTGTGTTTGTTTGTACACAGAAATGTACGGGTGTCATCCTGTTGTCTTTTCAAAAGCTGTGTTTAAACCCCTAAATGGGATGAAATTTGGACTTTTAAATTTACCAAGTGTTGAAAATAAATTGAATTTCTTAAATTTAAGTTTTAACAATCTAAGTATATTATATATCCACTTAATGCGGCGCTACTACCCATAATTTAATTATCTAACTTTCTAGCTAAATTTCTTCATCGGATTTCAGCCTTTTACTCTTGAGTTGAATCTTTTATCAAATCTGTGTTCCATAAGGATCATATTTAAGATAATGTACCAATATGAAGCTGTATCATCAAATAATGTGCTATTATTATCATCCTTATGATATGTATGATATGTACTCTTGATAAAATTTAAAATTGGTTTAATTGAACTGGTGTAATTGGAATTCTTAAGGGGTCTCAAAATATATTCGAAATACTAGACTTTTCAAATTATAGGATTTTAATTCTATATATTAAATCTTGAAGGTAACAGAATTTATTCGATTTAAATGACCTTTTGAATTAGGAGCCTGAATTACAACTATTAAAAAAACTAAACCATGTTTTCAGATTTTTATCATTGTAATTTGGAATTTAAGAAAATAAACATAAAGAAGAAAGACTTGGTATATTTACAACATTATCAATTGAACTTCAACATTTTAAAAGATAACTAGTCCAATATAAGAAGTGTTTGATTTTCTAATTAGTAACGAGATAATGTCTTTTATTTTCGTACGTTTTAGTAGTATAACTTGAAATTGCTTAGTATTTATTAGTACATTCACTGCATACATTGTGCATAATATGCATTTAGTTTTATTTTGTTTTAATAAGATTTAGTCTTCAGTTTTAGTTAAAAATAATTTTTTTATATATATTCTAATCTCTTTATTTCAATAATAAGTTCCAATCTTTAAGTATTTGGTTATTTGTCCAAACAGTGTGTTTTAGTGTTATATTAAAAATAATACAGTAAATAAAAAGTTTAAATAATTTGCATTAGAGACTTAGTATATATTAGTATATATAAAGTACTTCAGTACATATATAAACTCTCAATTGCTATATATATAAAAGCCCACACATATTAGTAAAAGGTTTGGGCTATACCTTGGTAAGGAGGTTTTTTTAACAGTCACTGGCTATATATAAAGGGTTTCATATTTGAACTTCTTTGATTGTCCTGATTTTTACATATTTTTATCTCCATTGTGTAGATAGGTTAAATTTGAAAATTTAGACTTCCAAATGCAAACGTTTAGAAAATATAAGCCTATAAACATGACACTGGCCCCCTCAATATACAATGGATAAAAATACATTGGTCACTCTAAAGCCGTATAACTTTTTCTAACTTTCAACAAGTGTTTCATTTTTTCTAGAACTATTTTCTGGATAGTTCTGTCTTTAAATAAATGGTTTTTTTATGATTTTATCTTATTCAAGAAAAATTATAACAACCTCAACTTTGGAATAAATCTGAAAATTGCTAAAAAATGCCATAATGAAAATAGCTGCAGTACTTTTCTATTCATCAACAAGTCTTTACAGGTAAGTTTTCTGATTAGCTACTACTTTCTACAATAGGCACAATATCAACAGCTTGTTACAGTTAAGAACTCAAATATATCTAAAATATATATTGTTTATTTCCCTAAAAAGTCTGATTTTCAGCCATTTTGAGAGCTTGTAAATTTTCCTAACACTTTGTATTGATCTAATAATAACAGCATATACTATTTGACATATGCTTAGACAATTGATCTAACTATGTAAAAGTGTAAATATTTTTAACTTGTTGTGTTTGTACAAAAAATGGCAGTTTTTTAAATTAATCCTATTTTTCGATTGGATTGGAAAACAAAAAATATTGTTAATGAGAAATGGTTGACAGAAGACTTGAAAAGTTGTAGGTTGTATGATTTGGCAAATCATAAAGATGGGAGAGAGTTCTAAAACATTGGCATCCAAATCTCTCTGACTTCTGTTGTTGAAGTTATTTCTCTTATTAACTCTTCTGCTGCTAGTCCAGAAAACATTATTGTCATAGTCTTACAAAAGTGTATTACATATTTTAATGGATTAAACTGTTTCTCTTAGGTAAGGCGTTTTAGTAAGAATATATTCAATAGATTCAAGAATATCAAATTAGGCCAAACAAAATTTTCAAATATTACTGCTTTATCCTTGGGATATGTAATAAGATTAGACCCATAAATTAGAAATGGATTGTTCAACTTACCTTTGTTAATCAACATCATTTCTGAAGATTTTCCAGAAGTTTCTAGAACCTAACTTTTGAGATAAAATAAGAGGTGTAGTATTGGAAGTTTGAATATTGAATATTGGAAGTTAATGCCAAACATTTTTTTGCATTGTTTTTTTGCAATAATATAAAGGCGTTTGTTCTCTAGAAAATTGTTCTGGTAAAAAACTTGAAAAAAAATATTAACACTAAAAAAAGTAGCTGCACAAGAAGGTGGAAACCATGGGGTAAAATAGGCCTTGACTAGTAACCCACTAGAATAAGTAAAAGCTTTTATGCTTGCCTGATGTAATTTTCTATTCCTTTTTTCAATTTAAAAAAATAGCTTACACTACAGCCAAGGTACACTATTGGTGGTATACCTTGGAGATATGTTTGTTGTACCTTTATTATATGTATATTGTAGATATGTATATTGTACCTTTGAGGCATTATTGTTTTAACAGATTAAGTACTCAACATGATAGAAATTTGATATGTTTACTTATACAGGGTTCCCACTGCTCCTTAAAAACCTTAAATATACTTAAAAAAAAAAAAAAAAAAACTCTTAAAAGTCTTTATATAACTTTTTTAAATGTTAAAATTTGACTATTCTCCTTAATTTCTTATTATTTTTCTTTTTTATCTATTAGAAAATTATGTTGAAGTGAATAGGTTATGCTCATCATTAGAAAAGCAAATAGTTAATGATTTTAAATACTATACTTATAATTAATATTATATATATATATATATATATATATATATATATATATATATATATATATATATATATATATATATATATATATATATATATATATATATATATTAATATATATATATATATATATATATATATATATATATATATATATAACACAGTTATTGTTGGCAATTTAAACTGTTATAATGGGTCAAGATTCTATGAAGAATTTTCTTATCTTGCTTTAGAAAATAAACTAATTAAATTTGATATCAATTGCCTTGGTAATGTCTGTACATATGTTAGTGATGATGGATCTATTTCTTCCTTTTGGCTCACATTCTATGCAGTCTAATTATTGATAATCTAATTATATCTATATCAGTTTTAAATAATGTCATTGCACCATAAACCACAAGCGTTTCTAATTTCTTGCTCATCAGCAAACTCATCTGAAATAAATAACAGCTAACCTTATCTTAATAAGTCAACTAGAACTTCTAACTGGCAAATTTATGACAAAGCCACCTTCGTATGTTATGAAGAAAAAAGAAGACTTTTTATTGAAGTTTGTATATTTACCACTCTATCTGCTTACTAAAAGTATACCAAGGGCTACAATACAACTTACGATATTGTCTTATTTTGTAACAGTATCATATATACTTTTCAATTAGCTGTATCTGATTTTTTAAGAAAAGAAGAAACAGAGTGATATTTTTGAAAACATGAAGCAATCTCGTGCTACTTTTAAATTAGCTCTTAGATATTGTAAACAGGCAAATTCAAGCTGGTTTATGTGCAAAAAATATAAACAGTACAGATTAAAAAAAGTTCTGAAACAATGTAGGTAAAATTAGTAACAATAATGCAGTAAACTTTGTTGCTAGTGTCGGAGGTGCTACAAGTGATAGTAATATTGTTAAAATGTGGAAACAACACATTCAATAATTGTATAACTCAGTTAACAATGAAAAATAATACCTCAACTTCATAAAGGAAATAAAGCTTTCCACAGAAAGCTCATATTTTATTGTGAGCTACATTGACATAAATATTACAATAAAAACTCAGAAACTAGGAAAAGCAGCTGGACCTGATGACTTTTTTATGAAATCTTTTATGTACCGTGGAAGTAGACTGCAGCTTTTTATTGGTATTTTTTTTAATTTATGATTTACCATCTACATTTTTCAAGGCCACTATTATTCCATTAGTGAAATTAAAAATGGCTGATTTAATGATGTATGATGTGAACAAGTATAGAGCCGCAGTTGTTTCCTTTGCTATGTCAAAAATGTTTGAAAGTCTTTTATTGCAGATAATCAATATGCACAACATTAATAAAAATGATAATTACCAATTTGGCTTTAAACAAAACCACTCAACAACATGCTCAAACTATTTTAAAAAGACTGTTCAGTAATATACATCTAGAGGAAGTTATGTATTTGCTCGTTTTATAGACTTTAATAAAGCATTTGACGGTGTTATTTACTGGCTGTTGTTTCAGAAATGGCTAGATAATGGGTAACCCAAAAAATTTGTTTGCTTGCATTTTGGTATAGTAATCAACAAATGTCTGTTCGATAGCGGGAAAATAGTTTCTCAAACCTGCGTATTGGATGTAATATAGACATCTTTATGAATCTGTTGGCTTATGCTGATGATATGGTTCTAATTGCACCTTCTTGGTTTTCTCTTCAAAAACTAATTAGTTTTACAAAAAGGAATCTTATTCAATTAACATGTTCTTTAATAACAAGAATATGGTGTTTAACCCGACTTAAAAATCAAAAATTATATCAAACTTTTTCCCAGAATTATGTGTAACAGGCTGTAAAATTGCTTTTGTTGAATCCTTTTAATACCTTGGTTGTATAATTAAAAATGACCTAACTGGTGATCTTGATATAACCAAGGTGATGAAGGGTCTTTACATATGTGCAAATATTCTAATTAGATGCTTTCATTTTTGCTCTACCAGAGTAAAGCTTAAATTGTTTATATTGCATATTGCATTTGTTTATATGGCGCTCCTCTGCGGTAAAGTTATGCTAATGCTAAAACAATGACATGCCTTCAGTATTGCTACAACAAATGTGTCAAAATGTTCTTTGGTATTTTGATAGTATATCTCTTGTGCTTTTACAGCACAGATTAACATCTTTTAATACAATTTTTCTTTTGACTTCTTTTGATGATTTAGCTTTGAAAAGATTTTCCAGGTTTTGTAAAAATGTGGTTGTTAATAACAAAGAGGTATTTTTAACTTTTTATAAAGGTAAAGATTGTTTGGACTACACTTTGTAGAAATACAATGATTTTAAGATTTATTTACTATAATCTACAGCATAATTTCAAAATTGTTGTCATTTTATTGCATAGACAAGCTTAAGTTGAACAAGGATTTAGCAGCAACTAAAGTGCAATTAATGACAATATGTCCACAAACAATCTTTTATGTACCATCCGAGATTACCTAACATTTCATGAGCTTAGGGCACATAAAGTTGAAATAACAAAAGATTTCTTAGATAAATGAACAAGTAGACAAGAAAAAAGTATTTGGATTATCAAAGATCAAGAGTCTTGTCTGCAGGAAAAAAAAGAAAAAATAGAAGCATAAAAAAAAAAGTGTCTGTAGCGAGCCTTGTTGAAAAGAAAAATGAAGTTATATGTATTTATTTATAATAATTTATCTGTATATATTTAAAATTTATTGAAAAAAGAAAAATTCTGTTTTAATGCAATCGTTTTCTCAATTCTCCTTATTCTTTTTTTTTTTTTTATTGTCGTTCGCGACCAAATTTTCCTTAAAATCCTTACATTTGAATTTGTGCCAAGATAAAAACTCCAGACCAGATTTTTTTTAAATCTGAATCTTTCATAACTTCGAAGTCTACTTCTGATTGAGCAGACTCTTTGTCCGATACTACATTTTCCTCTTATTCTGTACTTTGCTCTAAAAAAAACTAAACTTTTTTTTTCAAAACAGGTATCAGTTGATTATTATTAATTTTGCTTTTTATTTTATTTTATTTGTTTTCTCAGCTTTTTCTTTTTTAATTTGAAGTATTAAGTGACTGAAAGTTAAAATGCAAATTTGTTTCTCAGGATGACCTTTTCTAGTTGGTTTCTGTGGTTAAGCTTTTGAGTAGCGTTTATCTGGTTTGTAAAAGAAGCAGGACTGCAGTTTGTCAACTCAGTATTGATTGAGGGCTCAGGTCTGCCCAAAAAATCTTCAATATGCTTACTTTTATTTATAGGCTGGTCTTCAGACACAGGCTGCAGTCAATCTGTTATAGTGGATGACAAGAACTCATAATCTTTTGAAAATGTTTTTATTCAGAGGATGAAGGCTACTCACTTGAAAAATATGTTTAATGTTACTTGGAATAATAGCTAAGGGAAAAGCTTTTCCAACAATTACTGATATATCATAGATTGTTGCCGGTTTTTAAGAGAGGGTTGCATTTTGTGACTAGTGTGTGGATGAAATGTTACCATTGTAATCTTATTATATTTTGCCAGCTGGATTGTTGGTATTGATGTATGAGTCTTTTTTTTTTTTTTTTAATTTGCATTCACTCCCAACAAGGCTGCAAGCAACCACTATCAAGTTGGGAGTTACTAGGAAAAAAAAGAACAGAGTTATAGAGCAAGGAAACGGTTGACAGAAGACTTGAAAAATTGAAGGTTGTATGAGTCAGGAAAACATGAAGATGGGAGAGAGTTCCAAAGGATTGAAGTGTGAGGAAAAAAACTAAATGAATAAAATCAGGAAAACAAGACTCAGTCAAACACTTGTTAAATAGTTTAGAGAGAATTGAAGAAAGTTCTGGAGAACAATTCTGCAAGACTGTGACAGGAATGTTGTCTGGGTCACAAGCTGTAGACAAGTTTAATTGAGATATGACTTTAGCAACAGAAGCCAGAGTGATTTGAATGTCTAACAATGGGTCAACCTGTTTGACTGGAATGGAAGGAAGAGAATGTCCATAAGATTTAAGAGTGGGATTGGAAGAAAAGTTCTTTGCAAATAGTTCTGCCTTATTCTTGGGAGAGGTAATAAGATCAGTCCCATGAATGAGAGATGGAATGTTAGATCTACCCTTGTTAATAATGCTGTTGAAGATTTTCCAAAGGTCTTTAGAGCCTAACTTCTGTGATAAGATGTGAGATTTAGTGAACTGAGAATAATGGAGTTTAGCATCAGAAAGCACCTTTTTACATTGATTTCTTGCAATAATAAATAGCCGTTTGTTCTCAAGAGAGTTGTTCTTTTGAAAATGATGAAAAAAATGATTGCAATTGGATATAGCAGCCGCACAAGAAGGAGAAAACCATGGAGTAGAATGAGGCTTGACTTGAAACTGACGAGAAGGAATAAAAGCTTCCATTCCAGCCTGAATCCAGGAGGTTACACATTTATCAGCTGAGAGAGAAAAAACATCAGTTACAAATAGTTTCATAAATCCTTGAAACAATTTTTCTCTTGACCATCCCAATTGGTTTGCTCCACTGAGTGTACCTTATAAGGCCCCTTTTAACATAAATTCCTTAAAGTTCTTACGAGGTAAAATCAATATATAATCACCTCCAGCATTTAATGTTTCAATTAATTTTATACTCGTTCACTACTAGTCATTCCACCAACCTGCTTTTTGAGGCATATAACCACCTCCAGCATTTAATGTTCCAATTAATTTTATACTCGTTCACTACTAGTCATTCCACCAACCTGCTTTTGACCTTTTTTGCTAAGATTTGAAAAGAACTATGAACAGTGTTAATACCTTGTGTAATACCTTGATTTTGTTCCAGCCCAAAAGCTACTTCATAATAATGAAAATTAAGTGCTATATTTTTGATATTAAAAGCAGTCGACTTACCTCAGGCTTTTTAACTGATAATTCTTTAGAATATTTTTTTCGGAAGATTTTGAGCTAACCTCAAACCTTTTCCAGCCATTTGGTTTCTATCCCAAGATGCATTGTACTTTTTTTGGTTTGCTTTCCAAAGGAATTGATTTCTGTGTCTTCTTAAGGTTGTTTCAGAAATGTCAAAGTCTTTAAAAGGTCTCTAGATAGACACTTCATTGTTTACTATAAGATTTACAGCTCTTTTTAAATCCATTCTAATTTCTAAGCATTTTTTTAATTTTTTTATTTTTTTGTTTCTCTGAAAATAAATGAAAAACATTAAAAACTATTAAATATCTGTACAATTAATTTTTTCATAAAATGGTAAGACGACATTTTCATAAAATGGTAAGATGATCATATTATACAAAAAGAAATTCTTAATCAACAAAAAAAAATCATAATAAACTATAACAGCATATTACATTAAAGAAATACTTTTATAACAAATTTTACTCATAATAGTATTTACAAAATCATGCAAGTGTACCTGTCGTGTTAATCATGCTAGTGTACGTGTTGTGTACCTTAGTGGTAACACCAAGGTACACAATAATAGCTACCTCCGAGGTGCACCACTATCATAGTTTTTACAAAATCGCTACCATATATTCATAGGTTAAGAGTTTAGCAATTTCAAACATGCATAAATATAGCTGAAAACATGCTTTACAAATTTTGATAATCAGTTTTAAATAAAGTTTATACTTACAGATCTAGAAAAAAAAGAATACGCCCTAAAAAAAGTACTTTTTGGCACCAGAAACAAATTTTTATTTTTATTGCAACAACGCATGCATTAAGCAGTGGTAGAACAACTTATTTTAGGCCTCTAATGGCTAATAAATGCAACTAACATTTCAGTTTGAGTTTATCACTCAAGATGGCAGCACAATTTATGTGTCTCCAAGGTACACACACCTCCAAGAAACACAACTCTCCTCTAAACATATTCAAATATATAAATTTAGTAAATTGTGGCGCTGTGTTCTCCTACATAAATAAGAGTTTTCTGGTCATCCTGTATTTTTCAGTTTTCATATCAGGACTGAGTATTTTTCATTTTGTACTGCCACAAGTTTTATCTCTAAATATATATAACATATATCTATAAATTATTTTGAATCTGAAATTTTAAGAGATTTCAATTTGATAAGTGAAGAAATTAAAATATTTTCTTGATTTGAAAAACGTTTAACCATTTGAGTATGGTCAATAATGAATTTAAATTTTTTTATGACATTTAGATTTAATTTGAAATACTTTAGAAAAATGTAATCATTTTTTAATGGAGGTAATCTAAAACCAAACTTTTGCTTTATTATAATTGTTGATGCTTTTTACCATGTAAAAAGCAACTGCAATGATAATAAAGTAACTGTAGTTGTACTAACAATATCAGTATACCCCTTAATATGCTTTTAAATTCTTGTAAAGAATTTTAGATTGGTAAAAATGACAACTTTTGTTAAATTTTAAGTCATTGTGGTTGTTATTGGTAAAGACATTATCTTATAATATTATTAGTATACATATTGAACAATTTTTTTTAAATATGTATAAATACTATATTTTGATAATTTTCATTTATTTTTAAATGATTTTCAGTAATCAATACGTGCATAAAAACCTTAATTTTAGGTAAATATTAATACATATTAGGAAATGAATGTATATGGAGAAAATAAGTTTACATGGTTTACAAAAAAAATATATGTTTAAATATAGTTTTTGTTTTGTTTTTAGACAGCAGGATCTGCTTTTCCTGGAAGTTATACTGGATATGATGATTCGTGGAACTTCAAAAAGTTTAAAAAAGTATTAAAAGATTATATATTGATAAGCACATTTATGCAAACATACATACATACATACATACATACATACATACATACATACATACATACATACATACATACACACATAATGAGCTAATGACTATTATATTAAAAAAATCTTTTGTTGATATTTCTTGTTACTTAAAGAATTAATAACTTTTCATTATCATCTTAATGTTTTTTATTTGCAAAGTGTTTTAAGTGGTGTAGTGGTAGTGGCGCTTCACAAGCAAGAGGTTCCGAGTTCGATCCCCACCACCCCCTGGTAGTACTGCGCTCAACTTGTTTCTCCGCAAAGCAGTCTTGTTCGTCGAGGTTTGCGTTTTGGAGTTATAGATTTAAGAGAGGGTTATAACCACAATTAAGTAGCCTCATCTGTAGTGGCCTTCTCGGCCTTGGGGAGGTGAATTAACATAAAAATAAAAAGTGTATTAAATTTTATTGCTTTTTAAAACCTACAAAAAAAAACTAAAAACTAATATTTTATATTTATCTTGAAGTTTTTTAAATTTATACTTTTAATGGCATGGGTGGAACCTCATGGTTGTCCGGTAGCACAACACAACTCGTTTTCTCAAAGAGCAACTTAACTTTGAAATGTATCTAAAAACATTTAAATGTTACAGTTACATTTTGAATCATGTTTTTTTTTCTCAATTCAAAGCAATTTTCAATTCATTTTCTTTCAATTCAAAATGCTAATATATCATTTTTTAAAAGGTATTGTTCTTATTTTGAATCAGCTGTTTTATTAACAACATTGAATCTTTTGTTTTTCATTAGTAAAATAAATTTTTATTTAAACTATATCAAACAAAATTAACATAATAAAAAACACTAGTATTTCGGACCAGTAAAATAAAAATGGGGCTTGGTAAGTTTACATCAGCCATTTCTATTCTTATACCTTACTTCAATTTTTTTTAGTAAGCGGTAGAAAAACTATACATATTGTCTACCTTTTAAAGTTATGAATCAAAAAATAATTTATAACATAACTTTAAAAAATTTTAAATGGGCTGGTAGTCGTTAGGCAAACCACTTATTAATTATTAACAGAACATTAATTGTTAATTCAAATCTTGTTTTGAATTATCAATTAATGTTCAATACTTTATTACTTCTTATTGTAAAATTGTAAACTTCTATTTAAAAAAATGGGTACAGACTTATAGATTTTTTATTTATTTTGTTTTTATTAAGTTTTTATTAAATATTTTTCCAGACCATCCGGAGCTTATTAGGAACCTTATTTAATTTTGAAGAAAATAAAAGTTTGAATGATAAATCTTTTCTTATAAAAAAAAGTTTAATGTGTGTTGAATGTGTAGACTTTTACCTAAGCACATTAATAGCTTATGTATCTCTATGGTGACATTCAAAAAATTTCTACTGCTGCACTGTGGTTTCTGACACTTGATTATTTAACATAAATTTCAATTTAAACATAAAATAACTAATGATTTTAATTTCTTAAGATAGGTTATATGTTCTAAATGTGCTATAACTAAATTTTATATGATTAATATATATGTTTGTATAACTTATTTAATATGATTTGTATATTTAATATATTTATATACATTCAATATATTGTTATATTTAATATAAAGTTATATTTAATATGTAAAGAAATATCATTAGATGAATTTATATTCAAAAAATCTGTTAAATTTCAACTACATTTCACTATCCAATTCAATGAAATCTAAATAGTTAATAGAAATTAAGTCCTCATCAGAAGATTCACCTACATATTCGTCATCGCTGTCATTACCTTCTTCGCTTTCGCTATGTTGATTTTGCGAGACATTGGATGGCATTTCTGTTAGTAAACTTTTAACCTCAGAAGGTAGAGGAAACTTATGATGATTCTGACTTCTTCTGTTTAAATCAATACTAGAAATGATAGGATCTGAGGTATTTAAAGCTCTATGAAAAATATCTTTTAGATTTTTTCTTCTGCTGCTTTTGTGTGTATGAAATTGTCTATCATTTTTATAAATTTTATGTCTTGCTTCAGACTCTTCTTTACCAAAATAACCAATTGGTTGTACTTCATTTTCTAGAAATTGTTTTCCATGTACTAAAACTTTGTGTACAGTTGCAGGCATCAGATACCAAGGATATTTAGACATAATGTTTTGCCATCTCAAAACAATATTTTTCAAATATATCTAAATTAATTTGATACTGGCAAGAGATGGAAATTAAAATAATTTTAAACTTTTTAATGAAGTCTACGTTAGTTATTTTCAGCAAATTTTTCAACATTTTTAAATGCTCGACGTGCAGTATTGCCGTCATTGGTACTTCCAAAACATTTTACTATTGGTTTATCCACAAGAAGGTATAAATTTTCAAAGAATTTGTTGTTTTATTTCATTTTTTTCTACATAAAAAGATTTTCTTATTATTAGTACCTTAAATTAGCCATTTACACAAATCATATCTTTATGATATGTGGACAATGCATTTAAAAAATTGTATCCAAGCATGTAATGGACTAATGCCATACTGTAAAGTATTAGGTTTAGGCTTAAATGATTCTGTGGTTTTGAATTCCTGCTTTTTAAGAAAATTATTGGGAGTAGCTCCACAGTTCGGACAAGCTTGGTTTGATTATGTTCCTGTTAATATATTTAAAGTTTGCCATCAATTAGCGTCTAAATAAAGTAAATCTGATTTTAATTTTTTTATTATCAGTCAAAGAAATCATTATTGACTCTAACTTATCTATTTGTCCATCAATGTCGTTTATTTCTTTAAAAATGTGTTCTGTGGATTCTATTATGTATTCAATTTTAAATGGTCTACAAAATTGCACAGATTGAGGAATGCAATTACTCCATAAGATCTTTTTATCTTCTGAGTTCAAACAGAGTGGTACAAAAGTTGTCACAAATAAATTTGAATCAGAATTACAGCCAGCAGTATCAAATTTTTGTTTATAGGATAAATGACCAGAACTGCTGTCAAAACTAACTAAATATTATCTTGGCTATAATTTCCGTTAGTATCAAGGATTCCATTTGCTGAAAAATCACTTCTTTTTGTAATTGTACAATACGTATCACCGTATGTTTTAATAAATTCATTAATGGTACTTGTGCAACAATATCGGAAATTGATATGCTATTCGGTCTATATGCAGATTTAACATAGTTTTAAATTTTATTTGTTTCTCAAATCTCTTTGTAATCAGGATACAAATTACATCTTTTGGTAACAGCTCCTTGTCTAATGTTTTGATATTGTTGTTTACTTTAATTGGAATCCAAAATTAATTCTAATGCTTCTTCTGCTGTATAACGTACTTTTTCTTTTTTGTTGAAAATATATAATTTTTTATTTTTAGTTGTCTGAGATGGTCTTTTGTTTAATTCTTTTAGAACTAATGCTAAATCACATTTCTTTTGATGTGTAGCCATATCTGCTGTATAAGAGATGTTTGGTGCGAATTATTCCAACATAACTCTGACGCTTCCAATCTCTTGGCCCGATCTGATTTTTCGGTATATGATAAACTTGGTCATCCAAAAGATCTTGATGGAATTGACTAACAAGAAGATGTTGATGGAATTGCATTATCAGAAAATGTAATTTCTCTGTTCAACCAATCTGAATTTTTACTTTTAAATCAGCCCATTGTTCTTTGACTATTTGACCATTTTCGTTCGAAAGAGTTGTACACACGATAAGTTTTCTTTTGAATATTATTGCTAATTACTACTGTTATATCATTTCCAACTATTTGAATGATGTACTCAAAAACATTTGAGTTTTTCTCTCTTTTTTTTTTTTTTTTTTTTTTCCAGCCATAATCCTTGTGTTTGAAACAGTGTATCACTGGAAACAAACAGATATATTTTTAATTGGGGTACAACTAGGGGCAAGTTTTGAAAATTGGAATATATTTCTCAACATTAACAAAATTTAATTGTGTAAAAAAAATTTTTAAAGTCAATTTATAGTTTTGAAAAAAGTAATGAAAAAAGAAATACTTCTATGTGCTTATTGTTTTTAAATAGTTAATATGATAATACAATATTTTAATTAAGTATTTTACAATCAAACTAAGCTATTGTTTGAAAAATAGGCCACATTTATTACCACTTTGCTTTGATGGACCACAGAAAAAATCTTTTTTAATACTTAAAAAAATGGGTTTCTGACAAAAGATCTGGTCTCAGAAACCATATTGTGCTGTTTTGATGTTTATTGCAATTTGAAACTTTTTAAAAACTCTCTCTTTTGTTTGTTATAGTATATTATATCTTTATATATCAACAATAGAACTTTAAAAATGTTTTAATTTGTAATTTAGAAAATTAGAAAAGATTTAAAAAGCTTAATATGCAAGCGACAGGATTTGAACCCTCACTTTGTACTTCGGAAGCGCAGTAAGCTAAACACTTTGGCCACTAAGACACACTAATCCTTAACACTATTTAAAAAAACAAAAGATAAAATAACTTTATAAAATGGCAAAAAATGTTTTAAATCAAAATTAATAAGATTTTGCCACCATTTTTAAATAAAAGTAAAAATTGAACTTCAAAAATGTTTTATTTTTCATTTTAAAAAATCAAAAAAGATTTAAAAAAAAAAATGTGAAAGAGCAAGGATTTGAACCACAGCATTTCACTTCACAATGCTGCGACCTAACCACTTCGCCCACTAAGCCGTATTGATCAATGAAAGTTTTAAAACTGTTTCATAAACAAAAGACTTTTTAAAATGGCAAATGCTATAAATCAAAATTAAGAAAATGTTGTCAAAATTCAATTTTAAAGTAAAAGTAAAACTGGTAAACTTAATATATGTTTCAACATTACATAATTAGAAGTTTACATAATTACATAATTAATGTTTCAACATTACATAATTAGTAGTTTAGATAAGTCAGATATTTGCATACACTTTTGTTCACATTTTCTGATACAAAAAGTGCTTTTTAACCATTGTTAAAATTGACAAAAAAAAAGGAAATGAAACAGGCATTAACTACAACAAAAAGAAATGAGTAAGAATATTATACACCCCTTGGCTTACAGAATTTTTTTTGGTTGCGATACTCAAAATTAAGCAACTTATATCCCAAGCAAAGTGAAGACTTTGTAAGCATAAAGTTATGGCTGCTGCTTAAAGAAAGAATAACAGGGGAAAAGCAGATGACTTAAGATAAAAGCATTGATTATTTTTATTGTTTTATTGCTAAAATTTATTTTACAATTAATTTTGTTATTTTTAGCTTATAAGAAATAACAAACCATTCAATAAATTTTTTATTCAAATTTTTGGTTATATGCAAACTTTTTTTTTGAGAATTTGGTGTAAAATAATGTTTAGTTTTAAGTTTGCCTCAAGAGATGCAAACCTAAAACTATGTTTAGTATAAAAGATTTAAGTATCGTGATAATTATTTTGACTATTACCTTCATTTAATAACAATTAATAATTAATAGGAAGTTATAGCAAAACTCAAATGTGCTTTTATTGTTTGTTTTACACTTGATTTTTATAAATTTTTCATTTTATATGGTTCTACAAAACTGCACTGTGGTTGCCTAGGGTTTTTGCCTCAGTTTGAAATCCTCTGGCATAAATGATATCAGTAATTCTTTAGAGGTAATTAAAAATACAGTTAACATTTTGGGTTTCAAAATAATCCAATTAATTAATATGGTACTGCCATATTTAAGATAGTAACATTCCAATTAAATAATAACTTATTAAACTAATTAGTAAAATTTCAATTAGTTAATTAAATAGCAGTATTTTAATTGGTTAATTAAACAGTAACATATCAATTGGTTAATTAAGTACTAACATTCTAATTGGTTAGTTAAATAGTAACATTCCTATTGGGTAATGTGATAACATAATTTAAGTAATAACAAAAACTTTTTTTAATTCTAGCAGCTTGAACATTCTAGATTATAAGTATCATTTTACTTTTCTTTTAAAACACTAAAAGTTAGTTTTCAAATATATCAAAGATTTAAGTCTTAACTGTTAGTTGTTAGGTGATTTTTTTGATCAACTTATGTTTTTTTTTGTTGTTAACCATATTTAGTTTTTATAAATATTATGTAGTAAATGTAGGTAACAAAAAATATCAAATTTTTTGATGAAATTCAAAAATTTATTTAATGATGCTCTTTTGTCTCTATAATAATAATTAAAAAAATTAAATAACATTTATGGAGACATTTTTAGTTAGCTAAATAGATAATTAAAATAAGTAAAGGGCAACACAAACATGGCATGTTTTATGCTTAAATTTTCCTTTGTTTATGCTGTTGAGTCATCAATTTTTATGTTCCCTAACTTGAATAATTATAACTAAATTGTAAAATACAAAACATTCCAAAATATAAAGATTGTGTATGAGAAATCTAAAATAGATAGTTGTCGTTAAAAAGAAATTTAAATTTAATTTAATCAAACTTTTTTAAGAAATTCAAAATAGATGTGATTAAACTCAATCAAAATGAAATGGAATTTGATATGATTGGAATTGATGCTTCAATTGCTAATGCATTTAGGAGAATACTTATTGCAGAGGTAATTAAGTTTTTTTTTTTGGTTTGGGTTTTTTTTTTGAAGCCATGTTGAATTTTACAATGTATTCATTTTGTGTATTGTTTTGTTTATCTCTTAGATGTTATCTTTTTGGATTGTATTTTGTTATTTTTCTTGTGTTCTTGTTATTTTTGTCACTGTTTTGTCAATTAACAATTAACAGTTATACTTCAGAACAGTTTTTATGGAAACACTTTGTTTATTTTTATGTTTAGGTTTTTATATGGTAGGGTCATGGCTCCCCCTACCCCAGCTTTAAGAAAACTTTTAACTTCAAAACTTCTTTTCTCCAAAACCGTAACAGATTTTTATTTTGGGTTTTCAAATTAATATTTTGTACTCAATTATGAACTAATTTTTATCAATGAAATTTGAATAAAATTATTTTTAAATGTTGTTTTTAATTTTTTGTAAGATCTAGTATGTTTCTTCACCTATTGTGATTAAGCACTATCTACCATAATTGATTCACCACCAACCATGTATGAAAAAAATCGTATATTTTAATTTTAGTTTTACATAAATACATAAATTTAATACTATTACAAATCAAAGGAGACGTTGGATCTAAAATTATTCACCAAAGCTTTTTTCTGAGTTTAAACTTTTTTTCTTTTTAAATTCTTTTTTTTAATGTTTTTTTTTTTTTATTTTCTTTTGTAACAGCTTGTTTTCTTTAAGATTTTTCTTGTTTTTCTTTTTCTTTCAAATCTTTTTTTTCAGCAGCTTTATTTTTACATTCAATTTTTTTGATATCTTCTTCCTTTGCATTTTCTTTAGTTACTTGAATCTCTAACCATTTGGCTGAAGTTACAATGCTTGGTAATCATTCAACTTGTTTCAGCTTTTTTTTTGTGATTGGTTGTTTTGGCCATTAAAAAAAGTCGTGTGATGAATTTACATCTTTTATTATTTGTTTATTTGAATGTGGTGGATCTATTGCTGATTTACTTTCACCGGATTCATCAATTATTTCGCTTTTTCCAAATTTGCTTACACTACCACATTTTTATTTTGCATACTGCTAATATCTAAATACAATTCTTTATCGATTTCGTTGTTTGATACATTATTTTTGGCTCCTTATAAATTACTGGTTTGTTTTGAGCTATCGTTAAGTTTCAGTTTTTTCTAAGAATTAGATAACTCTCTGAAGTCAGTTTTTGCTCCCCATTCTTTATTTTCAAATGTTTTTTTTTATGTACAAATGTTCTGCCTTTTTTTTTTTTTTTTTTCATTGGTCTTAAAACTGACACATCTAATGGTTGTAATAGAAATCAAATGAATTCTTTCCGAAGAGCAATACATGCTGAGCTCTTTAGACAGATGCTAGCATTGTCCATCCATGAACATATATATTGATAATTGTGTATTAATAGATTTGAAATGTGGTATTAACACATTTTTGATGTACTCATAAAAGAATTCGCTGGTAATCCAGCTGCTGTCGCTTTTACCGAGACCCCAACCTGTTGGTGCAGCAACAGCAATAGTTTTTGGCATTCGAGCATACTTGTACAATGTTAATGATGGTGTAAATTCACCATTTCCATTTACACATAATAGAGTTGTAAGATTTTCCTTATCGCTGTTGTTCCATTCTTCATAAACATTTCTTCCTCTAATGCAAATTACTTTTCCAGTTTTTGGTGCTAACTCAAAACCAGTTTTGTCTAAATTAAAAACACGAGATGGATCATTAAAGTATTGCGCATCACCGCCTAATAGTTCATCCACCTAATTAAATTTTTTTTTATCGATGCATCAGTTATAAGACCTCTGGCTCAACTAATATGCTCTGCTCTCATTTTGCGATAATTCCTTATGACGGCGCATAAATTTATAAAACCAGTTTTTAATTGGGATATACCTTTATATGGTGTTTTTATACCTTTCCCTTTAAACATTTTTAAGTGCAAGTAAGTGCTAACTAATATAATTTTCATAACTACCTACCATGTAAAGGATTAAACAATGTTATACAAAAAATACTAATTCTTTTTGATAAAAATTAAAATATTCAATGCTTTTACAACTATTTTAAACTTTTATCAAAAAAAAAAAAAAATTTTAAGCCATAAAAAAAACTAGACAAACTTTTTTTTACTGTTAAAAATTTTCTTAAGAAAACAATAAAAATCATTTGTGGATAAAAAAACATCTCAAATCTTTAAAAATATATCTTTTTAAAAATATATTATTACTGAAATAAGTTAGTTTTGTATTAAACAATACTAAAAATATAAATTTAAAAAAGAGCATAAAAACCACGGTAGGTGCTTCATCATGGTAGGGGGTGCCATGTCCCTAGAACTTCTTTTAGTAATATAACTTTAGTTTTGTTTCCTTTTTTTCTATTTTATGTTTAGGTCCCTACTATGGCAATTGAGAAGGTTTTTATATTCAATAACACTACAATTGTACAAGATGAGGTAAATATAAATATAGTTCAAATAAAATAAATACCTATACAGTAACTAGCAATAAATATTTGCAGTAAAATGTTATAAATATTTACAAATACATACATAAATTACATATTAGATTCATTATTACATTACAATTAAATGTATTGAAATATTTTACATTTTATAAAAAAAATCTTTTTGAAATGATTCTAAAGTTTATATGGTCATATCTTAACCAGGGAGATAGGGGCACATTAATTGATTACTCAATAGAAAATTTGTTGGTGTAGGATTTAGTTTGAACAGAAATTCTCATCCAATTGGAATTTGTGGAAGTTGCAGAACTAACCTTTTAAACAGAAAGGTTATCAGAAAAGCTGTAAAGACTTTTCTGGTTAAATGGTCATCATCAAGTTAAAAATTCTGAAGAGAGAAGCAAGAAAATTACAACTGTTATTGTGCTATATGCTGGTATTGTACAAGAAGCAGTCATAAAATACTACTAGTAGAGCACCCTATGCTTGCTTTTAAGTCAATGTGTTATAAGTAGTCGCAAGTTTTCTAAATTCACTTACAAAGAAACTAAAATTTCCATTAAAAGAAAGAAATTAATTTTGCTCAGAATGTTGTCAATAGTTTAAATAGTAGTATGAATATCAGGGTTCACCCATGCAACAAAAAACAACAGTTCAAAATCTCCTTTATATGTTATAAAGTTTGAAGTGAGAGGTAAACTTCAGTTCTATTGATTGAGGAATAGGAAACTCTCTGAGATTTTTCTCTATTGATGCAACAGAAACCATTTTGTTTTTTTTTGATTAAAAAATTTGCTCTTTTTAGGCTTGTTTTAGAACAAAACTTTTTTGTTCTAAAACAATTTTCTTTATGTAAATGTTTTTAATTTTAAAAATCACTATTATAATACAATGTCTAATTTAAAATAATTATAGCCAATTTGCCTAGTTTACTAAAACTAATCTGTCTGAATTTTGATGTAATTTGTGCTAAACCTTTACTATTTGTCTCCAAATTAAAAAAACTTTGGTTTGAGGCAGGCACCACATGATTTGCAAATTAGAATAAAAATACCTCTGGAAAATGACCCCAGTATCCTTTAATTATTATTAAAGGTTAAAGAAAATTAGTTTGTTTTTTAAAAAAAGTTCCTTATTTGAATTATGATCATGGTTTATAATTAGGTTTCAAATGTCATCAAAATCTTCTGTCAAAATCAAGCGTCAAAATCAAAAATTTCTGCACTCAAAAAATATTCCGTATAAAATTTAGAACCTCTCGTATTTTGAATGTTTAACATTTTGATTTTGATTTTGTTTCCAATGGTTTCTATCTCATATCAATCTACTAGAAAGAGTGGCTTAGAAAAGCCTAAAGTAAAAATAAATTTATTGGAAAAGTTGAAGCATTACCATATGTAAAGCAGACATACTTTTTTATTTAGCCAACTTAAATAAATAAGTTGAAATTTTTTTTTCTAAGATTATTTTAAAAGATAATATTTTTAAAATATTTTATAATTTATTATACAAAAAGTTATATCGTCGGTATACAAGAGAAATGTACTTTTTCCCCTTGTATACCGGCGATTTAATCAAAAAGTGGACTTTTTTGAAATGTCCATTTTTTGATTAAATTATCCCTTAATTTCTTTCGTTACCTATACTCTGCATAGTGGGTATTAAAATGTTTCTTCAAAATACTACTATCCTGCATTGTGGTGAATGAAGGGTTTTGATTTCTGTTAACCCCGCTTTTTTTAAGTGGCTTTAAAAACTAGAATAGTTTTCTAATCAACCAGCAAAAACCATATAAAAAAAGCTCAGTTGTATTAGCAGATATTCAGTTTTGAAAAATGGCTATTTCATCATCCTCGCGCAAAAAATTCTCAAATATGGATGTAATTTTACATTTTGTACTTGAAGAAAGTGACGAAGATAGCATTCAATATATAAATCTTGGTAATTCTGACTTTAGTAATGATGAGGATGATGATTTTATAGAATTTGAAGTTGAAAACAATACGGCATCTACTGTTATTCAAAGAAAAATTGATTTACAGATAAAAATAATGTTGATCAATTGGAAGCTGTTAATACTTTATAAATGATCAAATGCCTTCTTCAGCAAGAATACCATCTGTGTCAATGGAACCTTTTATTAGTCATGGTCACACTCTTTACACAGACAATTATTGCACTAGTAAAGTATTTTTTTTGATAACTAGACACATCTGTGTGGCACGAACCAATCAAATTGATATAATTATTCAAATGAAAATCTTAATGAAGTTTTAGGAAAAAGAGATGCAATTTTCTATAAAAATAATTATGTTGATAATCAAATGCTGGCTTGTAAATTCCATGCATCAAAAGATAAAGCTTTGGATAAACAAAAAATTGTCTACATGCTGTCAACTTGTCACCAACCATCCATGAAACTTATTGATAATACTCACGGATTGAATGTTCAAAAAACAATTTGAGTAAAAGAATACAATAGCCACATGGGTGGTGTAGATTGTGTTAACCATCAACTCCAGAGCTTGCATATGTTACAAAAAACATACAAGTGGTATCAGAAACATGCATTAGGGATTATTTCTCAGGGTATTTTAAACAGCCATAAGATTTTTGCGAAGTACACTCACCACAAGAATACCATTCTTAGATTTTCTTTAAGATACAATTAAGTTGATGTTATTGTCTTCAAAGCTGAACACAATACTTGTTCTTGATGATACTGGCTTACTGAGTGACACTTTCTGGGAATTAAACAGCCATCACCTGATGCAAAAGATAGGTGCCCTTATTAATTATGCAGAGTTTGCAATGCTTGAGGAATTCTTAACAACAATGCGAAGCCACTAAAAACTGTGCATATATGCAAAACTAACCCATCCGAGCCAATACTATACATCGATAACTGCTTTCAAATATATCACGCAGTGTTAATTTTTTGTAAATACTAGTATATATACATGTTTTTTTTAATTTCTTGTCTTGCTGTTCTTTACTTTTTGATTTTCTTATTATTTGTTCTTTTTTGAAGAAAGTGCAATACTTGAAATTTTAGGCCAAAAGATTAGTTAACATATTATACAATAACTTTAGATAAAATAATGTTTGAGATTTGAAAATTTTCATAGTTATTATATATGTCTATTTGTCTATTACATATGTCTACAAGATTGAAAATAATCTTATAAAAGGAAGATATATTTTTACTTGATTGAGTTTACAATTTTAGTATTTTTTAATTTTCAAAATACTTCACTATTGATTACAAGCCTGATAAAATTATTTTTTAATTTCTTGAAATCATTTTTTGAAAGATAAATTACTTAGAAAAAAAGGAGTTAATTTTCAAAGAATTTAACATTTTTTAAACATCGTAGTATGTTTTAAACAGTGATTTTGAAGGTAGCTGGGTTGAGATATCACGGTAATATAAGGTTGCAGAGCCCGATAATGAAAAAAATTAAAATAGCAACAATAATAAAAAGTTATTTCAATTTCAAAACAAAAAAGTTATTTCAATTTCAAAATTAATGAGTATAATAAATGCAGAACAAAATGTTTTGAATTTATTAGAACAAATTTTAAAAATGTTTAAATAAAATATTTGTTATCATAACAGTCTTGAAACTTGTGTTGTATAAACCATTAAGTAAGACAGGTACAAACTTTACATAACAACACAGAGTAACAAATTTTCATTTTAAAAATACAATATGTGTTTGTTGTGAAAAATTTTTAAAGTATGGATTTATAACCTTAATTGATTTGAACTTTAATTAATTGTGTAAAGTTAACCAACTGATGCTATAAAACAAATATTCTTATATAAATATACCACTTAAAAGTTTTTAAATTGTACTTTGTGGTTGCAATTAATATTGTTTACATAAAAAATTTTTTGCATTGTTATTTTATTTTTATTATTTTAACATTATTTATGTGAATTGATGTTGTATAACAAAATTTATAGATATTGGCACATAGACTAGGCCTAATTCCAATATTAGCTGATCCACGTGAATTTAATTTCCCTCCAGCTAAACTTGAAGATGAATCTAAACTTACAGGTTTGCAATCTTTTATTGTTTATTGCTTGAATGTTATTTTACATTTTTATACAAGTTTTAGTTTTTAGATGAGGAGCGCTTAGCGGTTGATGAGCATCATCATCTTGTTTTTGAACTAAAAATAAAATGTTCAAAAAACCCAAAAGCATCAAGTGATGCCACAGATCCTGATGTACTTTACCTCAATAACAAAGGTATTTTGTTTTTATTTAAGTTAATTTGTATATATTAAAAACAATATCCAAATAACTTTCGAAATGTTCTTAACAGTTAAAAAAAAAAGTTATTTTTCTTTACTTTTTTTTTAAACTGAATAAAAATTGTCAAATATTTTTATTCAGTTATTTATTGTGCCATTACAAACTTTCTGTATTATTACAAATTTTTTTAATTGAGTTAAATGATCGAATCATTGAAAATTAGAGTTTTTATTTATTTCAGTTATGACCAAACATATGAAATGGATTCCAATTGGTAGACAAGCAGAAAAGGTAAGTTTTTAAGTTTGTTTTATAGTTAACTTCTCAAAATTTAATTTTTATCAAACTTTGGTTATTTTAAAATTAGTTTAGCACAAATATTGTTCGTCCAGTATTTGATGATATTCTGATTGCTAAATTGCGACCTGGACAAGAGCTTGATATTAGGATGCATTGTGTTAAAGGCATTGGCAAAGATCATGCTAAATTTAGTCCAGTTGGTATTTAATTTTGATTTGTTTTTTAATTAATTTTTCTTTGCCTCCCTCTTTTTTATAATTTGAGTATTTTTATATAAGGTATTTGTTGTTAGATAGTTAGGTATTTATTGTTAGGCAGTTAGGTATTTGCTGGTAGGTATTTGTTGTCAGGTAGATAAGTATTTAAATAAATGTTAAAAGATTTATTTATGAGAAAAACGTTTTAAGACTCAGTTTTTTTTTTTTTAATTAAAACAAAAAGTTTTTTTTGCAGAGAACAAATATCTATTTGAATAATTTTTTTATTTTTTAAATATTTTGATATTTCACCTCAATATCAAAGTGAATAAATTTTATTTTTATTTGGTTACAAAGATTTTTTCCCTCTTATGTGTTAGTTGTTTTAAAATTCAATCTTGCATTTTAGACTTGATATCATGCACTTAAGTTTTTAATTTTTTCAACTCATTTTATTCTTTTAAACCTTGAAATGTTGAATCTTGAGTAAAAAGTTCACAAAATTTTTTTTTTTTGACTTAAACTTGATTCTGATAAAAGTTTTATTTTTTATTTTTTTATTTTTTCAAATTAAAGAATATGTTTGCGCTTTGTTTTTTAAATTTACTAAAAGTGTGAAAAAAAAAAAAAAGGCTGTGAGTTATGGTTTAGCTTTAAATGTAATTTTCCCAAAAGAAAGCATTTTTGTCAGAAGCCATATTTTGTAAAAGTGTCACAGCAGATTTTTTTTTCAAAAAAATTGGATTAAGTTGTTTCCTGTGATCCTTGTTTTTTGTTGCAAAAATACATTGTCAACTCTATGCGTTTAATTTTAGGACTTTCATAGTATAAATATTTCATAACAATTGTATTGTATCTTAATTAAATTTAAGTTCATTATATATAAATGTTTTAAAAAAAAGAAATCAAGTTTAATCATTTATACTCAATAATTTAAATGTTTTAAAAGAAGTTTTGCCAAAACTCAACTATTTCTATATTATCTACTTTATATGATTAGTAGTTTGAAACATGCTGTACTGAATTTTTATCAAATATTTTTAGAGCCTGTTAACAATTTTAAAAGTGTTATTTATTTGTTACGTTACATTTTAGCTACAGCCTCTTATCGATTATTGCCTGAGATTACACTTCTCAAACCTGTTGTCGGTGAATTGGCAGAGACCTTGGCCAAATGCTTTTCTAAAGGAGTAATAAAAGTTATAGAAGAAAATGGTAACTAATAACTGTGATGGTGTATATATATATATATATATATATATATATATATATATATATATATATATATATATATATATATATATATATATATATATATATATATATATATATATTAGGGGTGTTCACATAAATACTGGAAAAAAAAAAATTTCTCTGATCTGAATGCACACTAGTTTATTTTGTGCCAATTGGCATTAAAATTTACTGTGCAAAAGATAATTAAAATAAATTAATGTTTAGAGGTTGCTCAATGGTCTTTTAGTTTTACAATAATAGCATTACGCCTTAAATAATTTTCTAATTTTATCCCATGTTCAATTTAGATAAAATATTAAACAAATTTGATGTACCATTGTTTTTTATGAGCAAACTTCTTTGGTCATGTGACAAGCAGCCATCTTGTCATCTGATGTTTTTGATTGAAAAACATTTTCATTAGTTGTAATTTTTTGCTGAGCAACTGAAATATTTAAAGATTTTGAGGTTCTTATTTATTTTAATCCTATAAATTAATAATTATAGCTGTTATGCCAATATCTTGTTTTTTAGTGCTAAATATTATTGGGTGACTTACCTTACTTTAGTGTTTGTAGTTTTGTAATACTTATGATTTCATCACATTCATATTGAAATATTGATCACATATTTTAAATTATGTTTGCAAATCAATATTTAATTTCTCAAGTTGAGTTTAATTTGGCATCATTTAATTTTAGCTTGTTGCTGAAAATGAGTGAAAAGATAAGTTCTTCAAATTTTCCTTTGTTACGTAATCGAACTGCAATATGGTTGATTGGTCTTCCGATCCTTCCAACAATGGTTGATGTGTTAAGGGCGTTTTTCCACTACACAAAGCATTGAAACAAACAGTTCCAGCCAGTGCAAAAGCAACATCTAATGGTTTAGCTCACATCTGGAAAAAGGCCAGAATTCCAATGACTTACCAGCCTCATATTGTATCAAAAGCGAAAGCATGTGTTGTAAATATAATTTAATTAAAAAGAATAAAGGAAGAGCTAGTAAGTCACAGATTGCTAGAGAGAAAGATTTAAGTATCAAATTAGATTTACTGTTTGACATTTTACACAAGGATGCAAACAAGCTAGTTAAACTTGATGAAGATAAAATATTTCTGGAAGACCAAAAGAATGCTTGTATGATGAAGATGGCTGGAGAAGATGTAAATTGATCTCAACAAGAAAAGCAAACAGCAGAGCGTCAACAAGCAGAAATAAAAAGAAAACAGAATGATAAGTGAGAAGATAACAAGCAAATGCTGTCCTTACCCGTAACTGTAGCCACTTTAGCTTGCTTGAACAAGTGGAGAGGACCTCCAAAGTACACCATTATCAAGATCAACAGTCCGCCACAAATGCATCATGCACCATTCATCAACTGAAAATCATATTCGGCAGAAATTTATGTCAAGTGAGAAACAACATATGGTCGTCCACTGGAATGGTAAGATGATGAGAGACAGCACCAACTATGAAAATTGTTGATAGAATTGCTGTTGATATGATTGGTCATAATCTGGAGAAAACACTGGGTATTGTAAAGATATCATCTGGCACTGGACTGGCACAAGCAAAAGCAACCTTCTAGTTACTGACCATATGGAATGTTGCAAATTATATTGTCAGTATGTGTTTTGACACAACAGCGTCAAACACGGGTTCCAAAAATGGTGTGTGCATCTTGCTAGAGTAGTTGATGGAGAAAAATCTTCTCTACTTTGTTTGCCATCACCATATGCATAAAGTAATTATTGGCAAAATATACTCAGTTTTGCTTGGACCCAGCAGTTGGCCCAACATAGCTTTATTTGAACAATTTCAGAAGTGTTGGCCAAGCATAAATCAAGCCAATTATGTTCCATTAGATGACGCCCATCTTGTTGAACCACAGCTTCAGCGACTTAGATCAGAGAATGGCTCTTTTCTGCAGCCTTTCTTATCAGAAGACTCTTCGCACTTACCAAGAGAAGACTACAAAGAGATGATCGAGCTGTGCCTTTTAATTTTGGGTTTTCGGTTATCAAACTATGCCACGAAAAAGTATCGCTTTCGCATGCCGGGAGCTTATCACATGGCTAGATGGATGGCTAAAGTCATCTATTGTATGAAGATATACCTCTTAAGAAATGAATTCAAGCTGACTATGAAAGAACAGAACAACTTGTGCGAATTTTATATTGTTGCTGCTCATATTTATGTATCAGCATGGATTGCCTGTCCAATTGCAAGTGATGCTCCAGCAAATGACCTGATGCTCTTCACAAGAATTAAACAATATTCTGAGATCAACAAGGTCATTTCGAATGCTGCTATGAAGAAGCTTTAAAATCACACTTAGTACCTTGGGTCAGAAATGATTCCACTTTCATTATTTTCTGACAGGGTTTGTGACACAGAAAAAAAGTTGATTGTTGAAGCTATGATTCAAAGTGGAGCTGATTGGAGTGTCAGGGGTATAAAAACTGAATCTGAAAAGCAGAAACTAATACAAGTTGTTGAGGACAACAGAAAACGCATTCCAGATTTCCGCAAAAGCATCTTGATGACATATGCCACTGTTGTTACAGACTAAACTTTTGATCTTGTAAATAGTTAAATTTAATGTTATTTAAAAATAGTAAATTTTAATGTTATTTGCATTATTTAAGAAATTTTAAATGATTAATTGTTTATCATAGCTATAACTCAAGTTTTTTTAATATTGTTGTTGCGGCGCATGCTTTCAACACAGTAAATTTTTATTTTCCTTGAGCAACCTCTAAATATTATCCAAAACACCTAAGATTTTGCACAGAAATTTTTTTTAATCAAAGAAACAATATTTAAAACTGTGCAACATTTAATTCAAAAAAAATTTTATTCGGACACCCCTAATATGTATATATATGTATATATATATATATATATATATATATATATATATATATATATATATATATATATATATATATATATATATATATATATATCATATATATACATATATATATATATATATATATATATATATATATATATATATATATATATATATATATATATATATATATATATATATACATATATATACATATATATATATATATATATATATATATATATATATATATATATATATATATATATATATATATATATATATATATATATATATATATATATATATATATATATATATATATATATATATATATTAGGGGTGTCCGAATAAAAAAATTTTTGAATTAATATATATATATATATTTATATATATATATATATATATATATATATTAGGGATGTCCGAATAAAAAAAATTTTGAATTAATATATATATATATATATATATATATATATATATATATATATATATATATATATATATATATATATATATATATTAGGGGTGTATGAAGCACCTTAATACTACCTATTAATTTAATCATAAAATGTAAAACTTTATGTTTTTCTTTAAGAGTAAATGATTTAGAAGGCTGGAAAAAATTTAAAAACTTAAAAATAATAGTTTTTTTAATTGATAGATTGCCTGCCCAAACTTAAACACTCAATGTAGCAGCACTCCTTGCTTGTTCTATTTATCAGTTGATGTAAACAGTAAAATAAATAAAAATAAAATGTTGTTTTCGAATATTTTAGGAATTACGAGAGCCGTTGTTGATAACCCTAGAAAAGATTCAGGAATGCGGGAAATATATCGAAATGAAGTATGCTTTTAAAAACCTTTAATCTTTCAACTCTTATTATGGTTAATATTCACATTAGTTTTTATATTTCTAGATACTAAAAAAAATTGTCAAACTTGAAAAGGTTCGCGACCATTTTATCTGTAAGATTCTATTATTCTCTGCATTACTTTTTTTTATTTTTTTTATTTTATGCTTGTTTCTAAATTAAATATTTTTGTATTATTTTTTCTTTAATTATCTTGACTAGTTACCTATAAAATTTAATTTTTTTACAATTTTTTCGGTGATTAGATTCTGTTGAGTCAACAGGTGCTCTACCTCCTGATGTACTAGTTGAAGAAGCTATAAAAATACTTCACGCTAAATGTCGATTATATATTCAACAGCTAAGGAAAAGTCACTCATGAGACGACACAAGAAAGAATTAACATTATGAATGTTTTAATATTTAATTTGAAACTTTTTGTCATTTTTATGTTTTTCTTCAGCATAGCGTTATTACTTGGAGTTTGCATAACATTTTTGGCGAGATGAAGCGACCCGATTTTATAAAGCTAAATATTTATACTTCCCAGATGTTTTTTGGTGACTGCGTCCTTTGTGCACGTGGTGATTTATCTTGATCTAAACAAAATAAAATTGGACGTTAATTTTAAATTAATTCGTCAATTAATAATTGCATTTGTGATGCTGATCCTTACCTTTTGAAGAACAATTAGCATGTGTTTTGTTATATTGGTAAAGTTTTGGATTTTGATCGAATCGTACAAGCTGAGGTGATTTTTGCACTGTTATTGAGTTTTTTATTGAGTTGTTATTAAGATCTTTATTTTGTGTTAAATCTGCGTCATCTGTTGCTATTGTTACATTTACGTCAGGTAGGATGGCATCTGTTTTGTATTCTGTATTAAGTAGGGTTTCAACCTCGCTTATTGTTGAAAAATGGTTAGAATTTGCTGAGGTTTCGTTTTTGAGTTGAAATTCTTTTATTGCAGTTGAATTTTCTTGAAAATTTTCTTCGGTATAGCTTTTCATCAAGTTTATAATATCATCAACAGTGTTCAAAAGGTTACTGCGTGATGGGTCATCTATTTTTTCTTTAAGTGTTTCAAACTTATTAGTAATGTACGCTGTTATTTTTTTATGCTGCGTTAGCGACTCCTTTAGGCGTTTTTTATCAGCTTTCCATATTTTTCCTTGCTTTTCATATAGCTTAATACTGTCGTTTAAATACAAATTTTCCACTTCCAATCTTTGCAGTTCTCCTCTTAAAATAGTATTTGCATGTTGGCACGCATGAAGTTTATCAGTTAAATTCATGTTTAACTCCTGCGAACGACTTAACTCACCTAATAAAATTAGTTATAACTAAATAAATTGTTGTGTTTTGTTGCCAGCCAACAAAACAGGAGGTATTTTACTCTTAAAAAAGAGTTTTTTAAAAAAGGAGTGATTAAGTCTCGAAAATATAACCTGTAAGAATGTAATTTGATTTCTGACATTGTCTTAAATCAGCAACCAAGTTTGAATAAGACTCTTCTAAAAACATAAGTTCTTCTTGGAATAAATTTTCCAGTTTGCCGCTAAGTTGCGGGCTTTGCGGGGGTTGCTTTTTTTGACCAGATACCTAAACAATATAAAGTTTTTAGAGTGATGCTATAACTGTTGGTTGTTTTTTGTATGTTTTTTTTTTTGTTGTTAAAATATTGCAAATAATATATAATTTATTACAAGTATAGACTTACTGCTTTGCTCGAGAACATTTTGCTTACTCCGTCAAAATCTTTTTGTTGTTTTAATAATTTGGTCTTGAAATATGTCAGCAAAATGTAAATACAACATTTAATTTGTCATGCGTCATGCAAACATTTTAATCTGCTAACAAAACTAGATAATATTTAGTTAAGGTATTTGAAAAATGCTTCAATTGAATTAGCATAATTTTTATTCAAATAAATTATATATATATAAAGTTTGTATATATCTAAATATACATACATTCACACACAAATTATAAAACTTAACCTATACTATTTACAACATGTAAATTGTAATATATGTAATACAAAACTATAATGGCATGTAAATAGCGTGGGCTGAGGAAGCAACGTGTTAGCAACTTAATTCATAATATTACTTTAAAAATGACTACTTTTAATTAAATTTTCGAATAGTGCCATTATTAAATATTTGATTGACAATATTCAGGATGAAATTTGATATTTAAGTTAATCCAACAATTGATTTTTCTCATCAATCATTGCTGTAAACATTCAATAAGTATATATCAATAATTATTAAACAGCGCATATGATACCACATCAAAAATATATATTTAAAGTAAAAAACTTGACTTTTTTTAAAATAGTATATGTCCGTTTTTTAAAAATCAAATATGATTTGGCTCGTGAGGTTTAAAACAAAAAAAAATGATTGTAAAACAAACAAAAATGATTGTAAAACGAGCAGACAACTTTAATAAAAAGAATTTAATATACTATTTTTTTGTTTGACAAAGCTTTAAATTAAAAAAGAAAGGGTTCTTGGGTTTGCTGATTAGTTGTTGTTTTTGTTTTACTTTTTCAGTTTTTAAATAAAAATAGGTTAAAATGAAATAAGGTGTAAATAAAGTTTTTGTCGTCCAGTAGATTAGCGTAGAAACGGGGAGGGGGAGGGGGCGATATCTCCTTAACTAAAACACTGGGTAGACACCATATTTAGCCCCTCCATTTCCTAAACAGTTTTAAAAAACTTTTATGATAGAAACAGCGGAACTATCCTTTTCCAGTCTGCAATGACTCAATCACAATTAAACATCACTATGGAAAAGTATATCCATAAACTGTTTAAGATACTAACTATTTTGTAAATGAATGTGTGCTGGCAAAAGATGACTAATCACGTTAAAAAGATGATTAATCACGTTGCGTGTAATAAATAATCGAATAAATAGATCAATATTATCAAAAAATAAAAGCTTGTCAAAAACAAAACCGTTTTTGAGTTGAAGATTCAGAAACATTTTGAACCACAGGTTTATACAAGTAAAGCCACAGGTTTATACAAGTAAAAAAACCACAGGTTTATACAAGTAAAATACGTATAAACCACAGGTTTATACGTATCTTTGGATCTTCAACAAAAATTTCCGTAGTTCCATCATCCGGAACATTTTCGACAATAAATCTTTCGCCGGTAATTTTTAAAAATGCGTTGTAATATCGACAAAAATTATTTACGCTGGCAAATTTTACCGTCAATAGCATTTTACGCCGGTAAAAAGTTTTATTACATCGACCCCTGATAATAAAATTTGCTTTACAAAATGAATTTTTCCAGATAAATAAAACAGATTTTAAACAAAAATGTTTAAAGTTCAATAAAAGTTAGTTTCTCCTTCACAAAAATATCCAGAAAAAATCCAAAGACCTATTCCGGACAAAGCACTTTTTGTTAAAAAAGAGATTTTTACTGAATGTCGTTACATATAAAGTAACTAAATAATGAAAAACAAGATTTAGTCAAATAAGAAATTTTCTGACTTTATTTAAAAAAAAATTGAGGTACAGTACGATCTATCAATTTTTGTGAAACAGAATGGTTATATCTTTTTTTTTTTATCTTATTTATTTAACCGTACAAATATTTACAAGCTCCATGTTTTATAATATATATATATAAATGGCAAGGACGAAGAGGAAAGCAGGTTTGCTTTATCACCAAGTCCCTTGTTTTTTCAAGACATTTATATAAAAACGTTGTAACTAAAATTAAAAATTAACAATGAGAGAAAAAAGCAAAATGTTTCAAAGAAGTTTATAAAAATGCAGAATAGTTTAATAAAGTCTTTCGAAGTTATTTTTAATAAAAGTTAAGAAAGTTATTTAATCTCAATAACATGAAGGTTAACTTACGGTATTGCAATGCTATATACTCAAGTTTCAAAGTTATTTATTAAAAAAAATTTTTTAAATTCATTCAAGAAAACAAAAACCAACAGCAACAACAATAAAAAAAAAACATAAAAAAATGAAAGCATTAAAGTTAATTTACAATCAAAAGATACTATATATACATATATATACACACATACATAAATACATACATACATACATACATACATACATACATACATACATACATACATACATACATACATACATACATACATACATACATACATACATACATACATACATACATACATACATACATACAGACAGACAGACAGACAGACAGACATATATGTATATATATATATATATTTATATGTATGTATATATATTTATATGTACATATATACATATATTTATATATATTTATATGTACATATATACATATATGTATATATATATATATGTGTATACATACATATATATATATATATATATATATATGTGTATATATATGTATATGTATATATATATATATATATATATATATATATAATATATACATATATATATATATATATATATATATATATATATATATATATATATATATATATATATATATACATATATGTATATATATATATACATATATATATATATATATATATATATACATATATATATATATATATATATATATATATATATATATATATATATATATATATATATATATATATATGTATATATATATATATGTATATATATACATATATATATATATATATATATATATATATATATATATATATATATATATATATATATATATATATATATATATATATATATATATATATATATATATATATATATATATATATATATATATATATATATATATATATATATATATATATATATATATATACACACACACATACATATACACATATATCCATAAACACACACACATACACATATACACATACACATGTATGTATATATGTATACATAAACATGCATGGGAATGTATACATATACTCATACACACACATGCGTACATAAATGCTGTAAATCCGTATAATTAATTTTTCATAATATAATTGACTATAATGTATATAATTAAAGATTTTAGACCTTTCCAGACAAATAAAGTATGCACTAATAGATAATTTTTAAATATAATATTTTCAAAGATAGATTTAAAAATAATTCTCTCTTTGTTCGTTATTTAAAAGCAATAGTTTTAGCTTTTGTTTAAACTGTTCAACAGTTGTAAGTGTTTTAATATCGTCACTAATTATCTTATTCCATACATTAGTCGATACATGGGTCCTCTAATAGTTATTGAGAACTTGGTGGACTCATATATAGTTTCGGGTTAAACAAACTTGTTACTTTAATATTTAGTCATGTATTTGCGTAGAATTTTATTAAATAATGGTTTTAAGGTATTTGGTATTGTATTATTATTAGTTTTATGCATAAAAATTAGCAGATGATATTTATTTATTTGGTACAAGTTTATTATTTCAAGATTGTTGAACAATGGTTTAGAATGTGAGAGGCGGTGTGCAGTTGATAATAATCTAATTGCATGTTTTTGTTTTCTAAATAGCTTTTTTGTCTTTCCTTCATTGGTACTGCACAAAGCAATGTTTCCATAATTAAGATAGGAATGAATAAATGAGTAATATATGTATTTCAGCAAGATTGATCTAAGTATGGTTTTGCTTTATAGAGTAATACGATATTTTTAGAAATTTTATTCTCAATCATGCTTATGTGGTCTTTCCAATTTATGTTTTCATCTAGAATTACACCTAGAAATTTCATTGAACATTCTCTTTTTATGATGTGTTCTCATAATAATAAGTTTTGGAAGTGCAAGAGGGATTTTATCTTTTTTATGGAGGCGATGAAAAATAGTATACTTGGTTTTAGTTAAATTAATTGAAAGTTATTCAAATTAATTGAAAGTTTATTCATATTTAACCATTTGGTTAGTTTTAGAAGTTCAATGTTGACCGTTTAAATAATATTGTTATATCACCATGAGAATAGAATAAATTTGTGTCATCAGCAAATAATTAAAAGATAATTATAATTATAATTAAAGAAAAATAATTGTATCGATAAAAGATAATAGATAACGGAATGGTTATATCGATAAAAACAACTTTTATGATTAAATTTAAAATAAACTTTTTAATTAAATTTATAATTAAACTTTTTAATTAAATTTAAACTTTATTATTAAATTTTTAACTAAATTTAAAATTAAAGTTTTATAATTACTAAAAATTAGTAATTTTACTGGTAAAGTTCACTGGTAAGTTTACCGGCAAATTCTAAATCGGAATGAGCAAATTTTTCTTAAAAAAATATTTTTTTCAAAGAAAAATAAAAATAAGTAAAATTTTTTTAAAGCAAATTAACTTCTAAGAAGCCCTTATGTTTTATCAAAGAACACAGTAACATCACATGGATATGCGAGTCGTTGAGAGCAAGGGTGGTGTAAGTCAAGAAAAATTGTGATTTGAGTTAAGTCAACGTCCGAGTAGTTTATTACTCAAGCTATTATTGGTAAAAGAGGTAACCAGCCATATTTGACTTCACAATTGCAAAGTTCAGAAATTATTTTGTTATTATTAAAGTTTAAGAAAAATTGTTTTAAATTTGTTTATTGCTCATATAACAATTTACAAGTTCATATGACTTTCTCATACAAAAATTTCATATTAGAAAGTCATATGAACTTTTAACTTGTTATATGAGCAGCAAACAAATCTAAAACAATATTTTTTCTTAAACTTTAATAATTACCAAACAATTTTTAAGCTTTCTGTTCAACGACATTTCATTTATAAATTTCTTATACTTAAAGCGACTATTTGTTTTAGTAGTAATGAACACTAATGTACAAATATTCGTTAACACATTTTTCAACAGCGAGAGGATTATAACAAGTTCAAACAGCAAAAGAAAAACAACACGCAAGTTACTAATTTGTTAGCAAATGTCTTCTTACAAAAAACGTTACGCGGAAAATTGCATAAAACTTAATCAAAAATAAAATTTCTGAAATGTTACTATACTTTATAAGGTAAAACCTTACTTAAATCGTATATGCTTAAAATACATCTAATTTACATTTACTTGTTGTTCTCACCAATAAAACAAACCTGAAAATCCTTTAAAAATATCACACTCTCAACAATAGTTTATTAACATAAAAATCTGAATGTTTGCTATAAATTTACAAAATTCGGTAAATAAATGCATACATATATTTACTAAATAAACATGTATCATTTTTTAATCTTTATGTACAAAATTAATAAAGAAACCTTAATACCTATGTAGGTAAGTTTTTATTTGAATCTCGCAGACTTTATTTTATTTGAATATACCTACCGAGTTTATTTTATGTGAATCTACCTACCAATTTTATTTTATTTGAATCTACTTAAGTAGGTAAATAAAAACTATGTTCAAGTTAAAACTCACTTTGAAGCCACCAAGTTTTCTATTAACTCTAGAGGCTTTTAAGTACAATAACCAATAAAACATCTTGTTACTATAAATTATCTTAAATCGAAACAAAGAAACATTTTTAAATAATGAAAGTATAGAGAAACTTTTCTAGAGCTACATTAACGGACAGTAAGATTGTTGATAAAATCTAAACTTAAAGAATAAAAAAATAAAAAAATAAAAAAAAATTTACACCAGGATTTACGTGACTGTATTGATTTTATGTTTTTCAAAAAAACTTTTATTGAAAAACAATTACAAAAAACTCTTTTTAACTCTATAACTTGGGACGATCAAATCTTTTCTAATTTTCAACAGAACCAGTTGTTTCATATTTTATTTCATATTTTATAAACACTTTCTTACACCGCTGATAATTTTTAGCACATTTGTGTAGGTTAGGCTATTTGATCGCAAATGACTCAAGACCTGGTGCCCAATGAACATGTTTGATGATCAAGAATTATTACTATTGGTTTTGTTTTATTAAAAAATATATTAAAAAGACCTATTGATAATAAATTAAAAAAAAAATTAACGATCTTTAATGAATTTCAATGATTTTTGTTGATTTTTTACGTAGTTGAAAAAAATTATGCAGCAAACTTTAATTCTTTTTTTAATAGTCTGTAACCGAATAAAGTTACACTGTTGCTTTTTGGTCAAACACTATTATTTATAAGTGAAAAAAATCTTTCAAAATGTTTTGGAGCAGTATTATAATCTATAATATTTAAGATATGCCTTATTTTTTTATACTTTGTATAAGGTTAATCTTACTTAATAATGCCTGAGACTGTATATTCATTAAGCGATCATCAATAATTGATATATATATATATATATATATATATATATATATATATATATATATATATATATATATATATATATATATATATATATATATATATATATATATAATAAACACATATATGCATATATAAATGCATATATGTTATTATGCATACATATTTCAACAATTATAATGAATCAACATTGCTGATGGGTATTGTGGTTTATCCTCCTCCGGGTAATTGCCATATATAGAGGCCACAGTTACTTTAAACTCAAAGCTGCTTGCGTAATTTAAGCCCTGTGACTACATTACGCCCCACAACTGATCTCAATATTTTGAATACATTGAGGTATTAATCTGTAATAACCTGATACAGATCAACACCTCCATTGTTACGTGGGTGTGTGTAGTTCTAAGACCACTTGAAGAGAGTTAAGTACATGACCACTTGAAGAGAGTTAAGTGAAAATTAAGTCATTGAGTCTTATTAAACAACAAGATGCCATAAAACTTTACTGTACATCAAAAAGCGTTTTTCTGCATGCTCAAGAGTAAGGACGGGTTTAAGCAAAGATCAATGGTATCTACAGTTTACATGTACTACAAAGATTAACTGTAAATACCGACTTTAAACTACAGTCCGTGGTTCGAAGGCAGCTCTGGCCATCTATGCAATACTGGTAAGGAAAGAGACGTGAACTTCCAGGTTAAATGCTATTCAGCAGTGCTCTGTGAATATACCGTAAGAACTTCTACGAGCACCTAAAAAAATATTACAGCATATAATATTACACTTTTACAATCTAGCCCTTCAGCAAACAAATTATCTTTATAGATGGTAAAACCTAGTATAGTGAAGGCGCTCGTTTCGCAAGTGCTGTCTTAGTAAGTAGCCCTCACCAAAAAGTCCTGTAGGAATTTAGAACAAAAAAAAAAAAAGACAAAACTTTGATAACAAAAAATATTTCAGATTTCAACCCCATTAAATTAAAACACGTGAGTTAAAAAGTGTTTACAGTTAACTATAAACACTTTTTAACTTGTGTTAATGTGTTTTAGTTTAATGGGGTTCAAATCTGAAATTTTTTTTGTTTCATTTCCAATTCTAATAGGACCTATAGGACTTTTTAATTTGGGAGCAAGAATTGTTTTTTCAAATTAAACTTTAAATTTTAAAGTTTTACAAATTTAAATAATTTTTTTTTTGGTGCAACGGAAATTAATTCCTGATTGTCAATATTCTTTCGAAAGATTTTTATTTTTTTGGAATTGTTCGAAATTTTCCGGTTAACAATCCTAATTCTATGCATAAAATTTATACAGCAGATGTTTAAAATTGTAAAGTACATTCTTTGTATTGTAAATTTAAATAAGTTTTGTAATTAAGGTGGTTCACTTGTATAAGAAATATATGTTCCTATATGATATAATTGACTAATGCACTAAAAATAACTTTAATGTCTATTGTATTGATTATAACAACTTTTTAATTTAAGAATTACTTATTAATTAATTTAAATATTAATTAATTTAAATTTAACTTTTTAAATTAAAGAATTACTTTTCATGAGTTAGTTAATTAAATAAAATTACACGGAACGGGTGTGTTCTGTAGACCCATCAACAGAGTTGTTAACAATGCCAAAAGTAGCAAGGCCAAGGCTACATGTTACAAGGCCAAAAGTTATAAAGCCAAGAACAAGGCCAAGGCAAGATCTTACAAGGCCAAGGCCAAAAATACGAGTATCAAAGCCAACGTCTTCGCAAAGATTTTCAAGGCTAAAGATTTAAATTTTTGCCTTACGTTAATAAAGTAATTACGTACAATAAAGATTAATTACGTAATTAATTATGTAAAATAAAGAATGAAAACTTTTAATTCTTTAATTTTATATATTTCATTATAAAGACTAAGGCCAAATCAATCAAGGCCAAATAATTCAAGGTTTGCATTTCACTGAAGAATTAACAGCTCACAGCTTTCATGCTTATTATTACCTTTTTTTTCTTGTTGCTAATTTTTCTTGCACGTTGAGTGGCTACAGCACTCAAGACGCAAAGCAGCTAGAACACTTGTAGAAATTACATCAGCTGATATCCCCTTATTTTAAGGAATTGGTCAGTTTACATGTTCATAACTTTCGAACATTTGAATATTTTTTTGATAAAACCTAAAATTTTTTGATGAATATAAACTTAGTTTTGATTAGTTGGGAAGACCAAGGCTAGTTGTCTCTATTTTAATTCTTTGAGTCCTGTCTCTTTTTTTTTTTTGTAAATAATAAAATGTTGTACTAAATTATAACTTTCACTAAATTGTAACATTTACTAAATTGTAACATTTACAAGCTGGATTCATATAAAAAAATTTTGCGGCTTTTTCGTGCCCTAAAAAAACGAAGTTTACCAATTTACCCCATCTCGCGCTTAGTTGGCTCAAACTAAAAATTGTGTTAATAAGTGCAAAATTTATAGAAATTTTTGTATTTTGCATTTTTTCTGTTCCTAGCTTCCAATCACATCAATTTTTTGCAAAGCACTCTCATTTGATAAAAGAATAAATATAGCCATATTTGAAGTTTGTTCCATGTCTGAAAATTATTTATCTTGAGTATCAAAAAAAGCTGCTGCGACACCTGTACTATCTGTCGAACTAATAAAACATACTTTTCGGACTTAAGTAAAGAAACGTAAAAAACTACTTTTACTATGTCCCTAATAGGTACTTATATCTTACATAAAACAAATATACTAAGTTTACATACGCCAAAAGAACTTAATTAATACAGCTAAAAGCTTTAAGTTTTAGAGTTAAGAAAGGGTAGGCTTGCTTGTCTAACCCCTACTCTGAAGTTAAGTGTCCTTTGCGTCCGCAACTCAGATTTACAGGGGTTTGGTAAATTGAGATTTATAGGGATAAACGCAGCGGAGCGTACGCACATCGATTTAATTAAATAGGGATAAGCGTGGGTTCGGATTTGGGCAGGTAGTCTTGCAAATGAAATGACAATTTTTCATATTTGCGTAACTAAAGGACATTGGAACGAGACGGAATAGTAGTTTACAAGTGTTCTTTAAAAAAGTGCTTTGTTACTTTGAAACATGACTAAAAGTGTTCATAATTATATAAAAATACATAAGTATATAAAAATTCATATTTACAAAAAGGTCATATAAATAAGTTTAATATGGAACTTGCTAACCGATTTTTTGGTCATTAGTACGTCTTTAAAATACATATTAAAAGATTTTGTTTTTTAAAAAACAAAAAAAACTGAACTAGATCTAAAAAAAATTTTTTTAAATAAACATTTGCACAAAAATCATCCAAATACAAAAAAAGTATTAATTTTTTTTTTACGAGCCGCCTTAAAGCGCAGAAAATCTAGGAAATCCTGTATACGGGATCGCCTACTTTTATAGTTCCATTTTTCTTAACGCCATAATTAAAACCAAATATGGGTTTCCCTGCAAAATCCGGAAATTTTTCTTTTGAGGCGGCGCAAACTCTAAAAGTAAATAATAATTTATACAACACCATTATTTTTCACAATCATAATCAAACAATTAGACGAGTCATCAAATAAAAAAAAGTGAAAATAAAGTTCTAAATATAATAATTACTTTTAATTGTAGACTTATTTAAAATAATTCGACTAGTATTCAGAGTCCTTGGTCTTGCCTTAAGGCCGAAAATTGAGGTCTTGGCCTTAGAAAAAAATACATTTTTCTTATTGGTTTCGTTGATTTGTGTCCATAACCTTGGTCTATTTTTACAAAATGTGGTTTTATTGTCACAGCACTTGCTACTTACAGTTGTATTAATAATTGGCCTTAACGTAAGGCAAAAGTTAGATAAGTTTTTTTTTGATATTTCAATGAACTTTGATAAATACTTAAAAACTTATATTCTTTCAAAATAAGCTTTTAGAAAAAATTTATATATGTTTTAAAAAATTCTTTTATATTTGCATTCTTAAAAATATTTTAACCAAATAATTTTTTTTTTATAAATGTAACTACAATCTAACTAACTTATAAGAACTAAAATGTCAAAAACAATAACTAATAAAAAATAAAATAAAAAAAAATACAAGTAATAACGAGTTGTGGAAAAGTAAAAAGATGAGTTGTATTAAGCTATTCCATTTTTAGTGAAAAAGTTGTAAAAGGAATTTTTTATATACCACTAAGTTAAGCTACTTGAGTAATTTAAATAAATTTAAGTGTCATTAAATTTATAAAAACAAACCTTTGTATTGTTTTTAATGGTTCTCCATCAGAGTCTAAACATCCAGAAAATGGATCCACAGTAGTTGCAACACATCTTTACAAAAAAAGAACTATTGGCTCATTAAAGTAATTAAAAAACACATTTAAAAAAGATTAAAAAACACTTTACCTTACACAAAAAAAGAACTATTGGCTCATTAAAGTAATTAAAAAACACTTTAAAAAAGATTAAAAAACACTTTACCTTACACAAGGGTATAATGCTTTTATTATGCTACTCCCTATTTTAAGCAAGTGCCAATCATACTAAAAGTTAGCAATCATACTAAAAGTTATTTACTTAAAAAATATAAACAAATATATTACAAATAGAAAAATAATACTAAATTTATTTAAATTTTCCAAATAAAAAATTTATAAGATTTTCTTACTTCGCTTTCTGGTTTGCATCCTGTGATAACAATGTTTGGTCGAAAGTTATTTATAGTAACTGATTGTGATAGGTTTTCATTTAGCTTTTCTACTGTAGATTCAGACAAAACTAGAAGAGGACAACCATCTGCAAACATTAACTAAAAAATTGCAACTATCTTTTAACATATGTTGATGTATGCATATAGATATATATATACAATTTTATATATATATATATATATATATATATATATATATATATATATATATATATATATATATATATATATATATATATATATATAGTGTCTAAAAATTATGCGACCAAACAATTTTTAAAAAAAAATGTTTACCCTCTAAATTTTAATAAAAACAATGAATAACGGTAATTACTTTGTTATTTTATTTCTATTGGGAATAGGATGTTGTCCTAAAAAAAACTTAGTATTGAATTACTTGTTTTTTTTTAGTAAAATGGCTGGAGGTAAAGGTCACTGGATAATTGCTTAGAAAAATTAGCTGTTGATCAAGTCAATCAGGGTAAAACAAGGTGCAGCAAAAAGAAAACTTCTAAGAATTTTGATAGAAAGTTAATTATACAAGTCAAGAAAAATCCCATTTCCGTCCATTTCATCTCAATCCCATTTCTGCTCAAAAACTGGCTGAGAAAGCTAAAGAAGATTAAGGAATCAAATCAGACAATCAGAAACCGTACCCGAGACCAGGGATTTCAAGAACGACTTATGAGTAATAAACCATTTTGAGTAAGAAACACATGAAAAGAAGATTGGAGTTTGCTAAGAAGTTCAAAAACATGCCATTCAATTTTGTGAAAAAGATCCTGTGGAACGAAAAATCAAAATTTAACTTAAAATCATCTGATGGAGTCCAAAAAGTTTGAAAGAGGTAGAAGCAAATTAAGTAAGACTGCTCAAAAATCTTGTGATTTGCTCAAAAACCTCGGATCTATATATCTAGGATATATATATCAGGGGCTATTCTAGGAAAATAATTTAAGCAACGGTACCCCTATGTAGACACCTTTCTGTTAGGAAATTAGCCATAAGTAATCATTTTTGTGACTGGTTCTTTAATTAAAGTTATTTATTTAAAACTCACAACAACTAATTATAAAAAAAGTCATTTTTATGACTAAGTATTCTCAAAGTTTCACATACAAAGTGCTTAATACTAAGTATCTTTTTCCTATATTGTAAAGATCAAATAAAAGTTAGAAAATTGCTACAACCTTTTTATCTTGAAAACTTAGTAAAGAAAAATAATAGCTACAATAAAGTAATATCTTTAAAAAAAGAAAATTAGTTTCACATTATTTTCTTCCTTTTCTCTTTCAAAATTTAGACTTCCTTTTCTAAAGTTTTAATTTTAATTTTTCTTTGCTTAAAACTTCTTGTTATTTAATTAAAAGTTAGTTCCTTGCCCAGAAAAAGCCCAGAATTTGGTTTTATATTTTTTTAAATATGGCAGCAAAAGGATCGCAATATAGCAGAAAAAAAAAAGCTTTACTACGATTACTTCATTCATTTTTAAACAGCCAAATAACTCTTTAATGATTGCCTTTAAAATGTTAGTAGGTTCTGCCAGAAATTTGTAAAAAATTTTGATGATGCCACCTGTTGATTATCGAACTAAACTAAACAGTTAAGTATCTTGAAAATATTTTTATTTTTTTAGAAGTTTGGAAAAGAAAAATAGCACAAATAAAATGAATGCTTTATGAAAATACTGATCAAGTTAGTTTGATCTTTAAGAAAATTCATAAATATGTATAATCAGGGTCATGCAAAATATAATAACATATACCTCATTCACACTAAAAATAGAACTAGTTTTAACAGTAGCTTTTTACACAAGTTTTGTATTTTTTCGTTCACATCAAATTTAGAACTGGTTTTAATTACATGCAGAAAGCGCAAAAGCTATTTAAATAAAACAACCTTGTAATGTTGTTTTAAAAAGATATGCAGTTTATTTAAGCACAGATTTGGTGTGAATTCTGTAATAGATAAAACTAAATCAAAATGTAAAAATGTAAAAATGTTTAATATATAAAAAGATTTAAAAAAGTGAAAACATAAAAAAATGAGATGAATATCAAAAATAAGAGATAATTATTATAATTATGATAATTATTAAGAATTTATTAAAGCTTAAAATTTATTTAGGAGTAAGATTTAAAAATATTTAAAATACTTATTTAAAGAATTTTGATGAACATTAGAGGTAGATTCTTAAATTTCATAAAAATAGAAAATTAAAAAAAAAATTATTAAACAGTCAATAAAATAGCTTATATTTAAAATAATTAAATTTAAACATTACCAACATTTAATATTCAAATTCTAAGTAATATTTACAATTTATTACAATCATGGGTATAACAGAAATTTAGAATTTTTTATTATACCATGACTCACTAAAAGAAATTTTTTTTTTTCCCCATGACCACTATGAGAATCCCCTAACATTGCCTGACCCAGTTGAAAAAGACACTTTTACACCTGACTTTCCCTGACCATATAAATCCTGTATGTATATATATATATATATATATATATATATATATATATATATATATATATATATATATTATATATATATATATATATATATATATATATATATATATATATCCTTATATTGTAGTAAAAAGGACTTTTATGCTTAAAAAAAAAGTCTCTTTTAACAACATTTAAGCGACTTTAACAATTAAGCTACATTTTAATGTCATCTAAAAGTTAAAACAATTAAAATAATTTGGAAGTATTTATAGTTTTTTTAAAAAAAGCAATAATAATGAAAGTTTTTATAATGTATTTGTAGTTATTGTTTTTTTAAAACATATTTTTAAACATTTACTGCATTTATCTATAGATATATCTATCTATAGAATATCTTATAGCCTGCTGCTACAAAAGGGTGTTGCTACATCAACTATCTTCAAGCTGCTGCTACAAGGAAATGCTGATAAATCAACTATTTTATAGCCTGCAGCTACAAGGAAGTGCTGCTACACTGACTGAGGGTTTGGTTTGGGTAAGTAATCTATCATTAAAAAAAAAAAAAAACTTTATTCAAGTATTTAAACTTTTTCTGGCCTGGTTTATAAGTGTTCTCTTAAAAACTACAGTTTATGAAAAAAACTTTTCAATATATATATATATATATATACATATATATATATATATATATATATATATATATATATATATATATAATATATATATATATATATATATATATATATATATATATATAAATATATATATATATATATATATATATATAAATAAATAATATATATATATATATATATATATATATATATATATATATAAATATATAAATAAATAAAAATATATATATATATATATATATATATATATATATATATATATATATATATATATATATATATATATATATATATATATATTAGGGTGGGACATAAAATTTTTTTTTAGAGTTGCTAACTAGAAACTGGTCTAGAAAGTTGTTTTTTTATGTATTATTTTAGGAAAGTATTTACTTTTATAGATTGAACAATGTCTTCCACTCGCAACTTTAATTACAAAAACTAGCAGGTCCTATTATTATTCTAAAAAAAAGTTTTTCAAAATTATGTGATGTAGGTACTCAAATAGAGCGAAATTTTATAAAAATTTCAAAAATAATAATTTTTTAATATAAAAATTATTATTTTAGATTTTATTGAATAATAACTATGGTCATAACCTACTTTATACACGGCCAGATATGTTGCATAAATAGGCTGAAAATTAGAAGGCCAGTTTTTAACATTTCGGTTATTTTTCATACTGCCTGTTAATATTGTTTTAATTTTATTTTGGGAGATGATGATTAAATTGGAAAATTAGTTTTGGATATAATGGTGAACAAATGTGCTGTTTTTAATTGTCGATCTGGGTATAAATTTAATAAAAAATGAATCTAGTTTTCTTAGTGCAAGTAAAGCTGTTTTTAGTTTTCCTAAAGATACTGTTTTAGAAGAAAAATGGAAAAATATGGAAAACGAGTTACCTTAAAATATGAGCCTAACCCTGTTCCAACCATTTATTCTGATGAAATTTCTATTCCATCTTCTATAATACCTAAAATTCCTACTTTTCGTAAACTTTCAACTGACCGACATTCTACCATCCCAGATGAAATACATAAATTTCAAGAAATTGATAAAATAAAAAACAATATGAAACATGATATGCTTCATGAATCTAACTCTCCAAATGGATTTAGTTTTCAAAGATATGAAAGTTTTGTTTTATATTATCGTTTATTTTTTGTAGACACAACTCCATTTATTGAATCAATATGCATCGATAACAATTTGGAAGTAAAGTTGCATTACAAAAGTTCTCCACTTCCACTCCTTAAATTTTTATCGATTTTAAATAATTTGGTGTCTTATATGCACAACCTTGTTGAAGAAAATTCGTATGATTTAGTTAATGAACTATTAAATTTAATTTTTTACAAATCCAAAGGTTGTCCTCCATATTCTTCACAAGTATTACGTTTTTCACTTTTGCAAAGATATTCATCATTTCAGGCTTATTCCCTTCTTTTGAAACAACTCCCATTGTCATCAATGTCACTACTAATTGTTCACTACACATATATTCAGGTATATAAAACAACTCCCATTGTCATACAATGTCACTACTAATAATCGATTCCACCAGAAACTAAAGAAATTAGTTTCTGGTGGAATCGATTCAATAAAATCATTAAAACTGTTATTAAATGAAGGAAAAATAAGCAATGATTGTGTTCTCCTTTTTGATGAAATGTATTTATAGCAATCTTGTGAATACCACAGTGGTAGATTAATTGGTCAAAATACTGAGGGTAATCTTTACAAAGGAATAATTGTGTTTATGATTGTTGGTCTTAAAAAATCAATACCATATGTTAGTAAAGCTATCCCAGAAATTAGTCTTACTGGAGATTTTATTAAAGATGAAATAGAAGAAAGTTTAAATACATAAAGATCTGCTGGTTTTAACATTCGTGCATTGATTGCTGATAACCATCCAACTAATCTGCCAGCTTATTCAAAATTACTCAGCGCTTAAGGTTCAGAGAAGCCAGAAGAAAATTTTTGTATCACTTTTAATGGTCATATAATTTATTTGATGTATGATAGTGTACATTTGCTCAAAAACTTAAGAAATAATTTGATTAGTACCAAAAAGTTTATTTTCCCATCATTTTAGTTCACTGATTACATTTTTAATATAAAAGTCTCTGCAGGTGATATATCTTTGGGATTGCTTCATAGAGTGCATGAAAAAGATGAAACTCTATCAGCAAACTTAAGAAAGGCATCAAAACTAGGAGAAAAGACATTATATCCAGGTAACAATAAACAAGACGTCAACCTAGCATTAAATATATACCATGAAACTACATTTGCAGCAATTTAAAGTTATTTTCCTAATGAATTTTCAGCATCAGAATTTTTAAAACTTGTTAATTTATGGTGGGTAATATCTAATTCTAAAATGAAATAATCTAATCATAAGTTTAGAAATGCATCTGTTATGGGGGACGGTAGGCCACAACTTTTATGTGCAACTTTTACCTGCAATTTTTACGTACTCACTGGATTGATCAGTGGCAAAATTTGCAATACAGTTCCACCGAAAGATATTCTCTTACAGCTCAGACTTCTAAAGCCCTTATTGTACACTGCAAAGTACTTCTAGTTTAATTGAAGATCTTCTATTTGAAGGATATAATTATGTTCTAACTTTTTGTTTTCAAAAAGATCCATTGGAGCGACATTTTTCAAAGTCAAATGAGTGGTGGCAGATTTCTTGTCGGATTACGTGAAGCAATAACTTCTGAAAAATTTTTGCAAATGAGATCATTATTAAAAGAAAATTTTGACTTTTGGAAAATGGATTTAAAAACTTTCAAGTCGGTTGTAAATTTAAATTTGATTTCTGAACTTTTTATTATTCAAGAATGTGATTTAGATGATAACAGTAAAGAAGTTGCTATTTTTATTGCTGGATATATATGCCGAAAATTACTCAAAAAAGTTAAATGTGAATTATGTTCTTTATTGCTAAAAAGTGATCTCATTGATTTAAATACAGAATATATTGAAACACTACCCAGAGGAGGTCTCATAATTCCCTCAAAATTGCTTGCAAATCATGATATTATTTGCTTTGCTATGCTTAATGCAGTAAAAAAAAGTTTACTTACAATAGAAGTTCTTGACATCAGAAAAGTTAGCGAATATATTATATATGAATATAACTTGAACCATAGCTTTATTTGTGAGGATCATTTATATCTCTATATCTCTATCTCTCTCTCTCTCTCTCTCTCTCTCTCTCTCTCTCTTTCTCTCTCTCTCTCTCTCTCTCTCTCTCTATATATATATATATATATATATATATATATATATATATATATATATATATATATATATATATATATAGATATATATATATATATATATATATATATATATATATATATATATATACATTTATATTTATTATATATATATATATACACACATAAACTTTACATTTTTTCTTTTCTTATATATATATATATATATATATATATATATATATATATATATATATATATATATATATATATATATATGTATATATATATATATATATATATATATCACATATATACACATATATTCAGGTATATACACATATATTTATATATATATACATATACATAAACATATATATAGATATATATATACATATACATATAAATATATATATATATATATATATATATATATATATATATATATATATATATATATATATATATATATATATATATATATAGAGAGAGAGAGAGAGAGAGAGAGAGAGAGAGAGATACAGGGATGTAGATATATAAATAGATATATTTTGTATATGAAATCTTGATGAAACTTGCTATTAGTATTTTTTGATTTTTGTATTAGTATTTTGTCATATTCCTAATTTTATATTTAAAATATTAAGTTGTTCAAAAGAAAAATTTATTTGAAGTGAACTAGGAAAATCAAATAAACAAATTAAAAAAAAAACTACTAAATGTTATTAATAAAATCAACCTAAACGTTTTTAAATAAGGAAAAACTAATAGGAAAAGATATTTTACTATATAAATCTATTTAATTTAAATAATAATAATATATTTATTAACTTAAATTAAAAAACCTAGCAATTTAATTATATTTAAACCTATTTAAACTTAAATCCCGAAAACTTGTAATATTGAAAAACTGGCCTTCTAATTTTCGGCCTATTTATGCAACATATCCGGCCGTGTATAAAGTAGGCCATGCTATGGTTTTTTAACTAAAATTAAAAAAAGTGATTTTTTTCATGTTTTTTAAAGACATATTTTTTCGGCAATATGATTTTCATAAAACAATTATTATTTTCGAATTTTTTATAAAATTTCGCTTCTTTTAAGTACCAGGTTGACCTATTTTTAAAAAACTTTTTTTCTCCAAAATATTAGAGTACTGGTAATTTTCCCAATACAGTTGCGCCCTTCAAATCTATCACAATCATATATATATATATATATATATATATATATATATATATATATATATATATACATATATATATATATATATGTATATACCATAAAATGTAAACTTTATGTTTTTTTTTTGAAAGAATTTAGAATTTAGAATACAGGAAAGGTTTAAAAATATTAAAAAAATTTTATGTTTAAATTGATAGATTGCCTGCCCAAACCAAAACCCTCAGTCGATGTAGTAGTACTCCTCTCATGTTCTACCTATTTGTCAGTTGATGTATACAAACAGTAAAAAAAAAAAAAAAAAAACATTCAGAATTATTTACTTTTATTAAAAACATATATATATATAAATTTATTCCAGTCTGTTAACAAGCAGAAACTTATTGATACACACACACACATACACACAAAATTTAACATTAATCACCATATCTTGATCATCAGCAAACTTTTTCCTTTTTATACTTTTTTCTTGAGTGAAGCGAGGTCGACCATCTTTTGGAAAACAATACAGTTTGCAACCATTGTGTTTAAAATATTTCTGAAACCACAAATCAGCATCCTCAGAAACATGAACCCCTTCAGCTGAAAGTCCAAAAACCCTTAATAAAGATAATAACTCTTTATAAAAAATAATAAACTAAAACTTCTAAAATTAAAAAAGATATTCATATATCTCAACAACTAAGGTGTCTTTATACATCACACTGTATGTAGATCACTCTAACAGTGTACATAGTTCACTCTCAGCTCACTGTACATAGTTTACTCACTTATATATTTGATATGCACAATATACATAGTTCACTAACAATACATAAAAACTTGCAAATAGTTATTGTTTTTACTTGATATCAGCAACATGATCTCCATCAGCTTTTAGCATTTTTAAAGGTAGTAAAAGTTTTTCATGACCATCGGCTTCAAGAATAATCCCATCAGCAGTAATCTTTTGACTTATCAAGACAAATGTGGGAAACTTACGTAATGTCATTACTGTACCATGCTCATTAAGAAGAACAAACTGCCTATGATGATTCAAATAAAAATAGTGTTTACTGTTTTTGTTATTTTGTTCAGTTGTTTTGTTATTTTGTTCAGTTGTAATAACTTTTATATTACCGGTCATATGTCAAATAAAAATTTACACAACTAGATTATTTTAACTTTGTTTTTAAAACATTTTTTTTTTTTTTTAATTTCAAAAAAAAAACAAAAAAAAATCTAAAAGCATTAGTTGATTTAAAAAAATTAATTAATTCCATAATATTGTAAATGGTGTTTAGTTTTTTTTGCTTTAATGGTGTTTGTTTTGTTTTCAACTAATTTACTTCCATGATTTTCATGAGAGGTCAGTAGTCATGATAATCAAAGAAAATAGGAGGGAAATCAGTAGGGTGTTCCCATTCATCTATATAGGAAAATCAATAATATTGCGAAAGTGGATAGCAATAACTAAGTTTTATTTGGTTTAAAAAAACCATGGCAACCTCTAAGCTGTCACAGAATAAAGATCAGATTTAAGATCGGTTGCTAAGCGATCAAAAAGTGATGAGTTTTGTCAAGACTTCGGTTTATAGTTGTGATACTTGTGTCTACTACTATATACTGAAGACACAACTGCGGTATATAGTTGTATCTTCAGCAAATAACTTATTGCAAGCACAGATGCCATTTTCTTGCTAGTAGGGAAACAAGATTCAGTCAAGTTCAGTCATACAAGATTTAGTCAAGTTCAGTCATGCAAGTTCAGTCAAGCACTTATTAAATAGTTTAGACTGGGGTGAGTTCTTAAGTAAACTTTTGTAAAACTCTAATAGAATTGCTGTCATGACATCAAGCAGAAGGGTTTAAGATAGAAATAAATTTACAATTGAAAAACTTTCATGTCTAACAATGGCTTAAAAGAGTTATTAGATCTAAAAGATAAATTAGAGGAAAAGTTTTTTGCAAATAGTTTCACCTTATTCTTGGGAGAGGTAATAAGATCAGAACCATGTATTAGAGATGCCTTTTTAAAAGCTTTTAAAACTTAACTTCTGACAAAAAAAGCAATATTTGAAAACTGAGAATGAGGGAGCTTAGCACCAAACAGCACCTTTTTGCATTGATTTTAACAGTAAAAAGATATTTTCAATTTGTTCTCGTAAAAAAAATGAAAAAATAATTACAACCAGAAATAGGAGCTAAACAAGAAGATTAAAATCATGAAGATTAAAATCATGAAGATTAAAACCATGGAGATTAAAACCACGGGACAGAACAAGGCTAAACTTGAAATGAACAAGAAGGAATAAAAGTTTTCAAAAAACTTTCTTTTACACGTTATTAAATTCATCATCAGTTAAGAACAAACTATTTAAAGTAACCTTGTTTTTTTTTTAAATATAATAGATTTACTTCTTCACCATATTTTTGATTATTTTTTAAATATATTAAGATTTACTTCTTCACCATATTTTTGATTATTTTTTAAATATAATAAGATTTACTTCTTATATCTTTACCATATTTTTGATTATTTTTTAAATATAATAAGATTTACTTCTTATATCTTTACCATATTTTTGATTATGAAAAAAGGAATTTTTATAATCAAAGAAATGAAGTGTTAAACTATTAAAAAATAATAAAAATCAACAGGTTTTTAGGTTTTACTTTTGAGTAATCTTTTTCTCTACATAATTATTGTTAATATTATTGTTATTACTATATAAAAATAATTAATTCAACTAATAATGTTATAAAATTAGTGTTTTAAGTAATACATATTAAATTCTGCAAATATTTATACAAATATAGATAACCTATCAAACTCAATTCCAAGGTCGCTAATAACCGCATGCTGAAGTTCTATTGGTTTAGCTGATTTTAAAGGATGTGTTCGTATGCTTGAAACGTATCCGACCACTTCATATTTCTTACGATTGATTAACAAAAAAATACCCACAACAAATACAACAACAATAAAAAAAAGTTCTAACATCCTCTATAAAAGCAAAAAGCAATTAAAGTAGTAATTTAAATGTAAAAAGAAATAAAATATGGTAAAACAAAACACAGTGAAGAAAACATGGCAAAATACACAGTGAGAACATTAAGAAGCTATGTGCATATTAATGAAGAATCAAAAACAAAACAAAAAACAAAAAAATTTTTATTAAAAACTAAATTTTTATATTTTTACGCAAATCATATTTTTATATTTTTACTCAAATCATATAAAAAAATCTCTTATATATATATATATATATATATATATATATATATATATATATATATATATATATATATTATATATATATATATATATATATGAGTTATATATATATATATTTTTATATTTTTACGCAAATCATATTTTTATATTTTTACTCAAATCATATAAAAAAATCTTTTATATATATATATATATATATATGAGTTATATATATATATATATATATATATATATATATATATATATATATATATATATATATATATATATATATATATATATATATATACTTGTTATAAATATATATTTAAAGGTTGTTATAAATATATTAAAAAGTTACTTGTTATAAATATATTATAAAATGCTATTATTAGGGTCCAACATTGAAAGTTATAATAACTATAGTTAATTTTATATATATTAAATAATTATAATATAGTAGCTTTATTAACTGTTAAAACATATTATTAACATGTAAAACATAAATATAATAAAAAGCAATTTATTTAAATTGGTTTTTAAAAGAGTTCAAAAAAATTAAAAGTAAATTAAAAATGTCTTTAAACATTGATTGGAAAAAAATTTCCTAAATGTTATGGTTTTAAAAAGCTTGAAGAAAATTTATTTAATTTTATAAATAATTTGATTCATTTTTTAAACATTTTTTAAATTTGATTTTCAAGAGTGTACAACATTAACTTGTTATATATTCATTTGTTAGGTATTTTATATATAAAATTTATTAATGGATGTGACAATATATTTAAATATTTAATAAAACAATGCTTGGTATACTAATAACATCGATAGATATTTTTTTCTTAAATACACTGTTAATATTGAAAAGTTTATTACCTACTACTGCACAAATACAAAAGATTAAACTTTTTTTTTTTGCAGCTCATACCATTTTAAATTTATTTAGTAGACAATTTTTATTATACATATTTTGGTGCTAGAAGTTTTGAGAAGTAATGTTTGTTTTATATTATTGTTCATTAGTATTTAATAATTACATTTTCTGTTTTATTCTAAATGTTATTTATGTGCTATATCAATTTTAAATTTGTCTATATATTTGTTTATTTATCTATATAATTTATGTTTGTTTATGTGTATGTTTATCTACATATTTTATGTTTTTTATAAGCTTTACCTATTTTATATTTGTCTATATATTTTTTTATTTATCTATATACTATATTATATCTTATCTATATATTCTATATATATATCTATAAATTTTTTTTATAGTTAAATATAATCAATAAAAATGTTCTTCTATTATTTCTTATTTTTATCTTATTCTTATGAATCTCATTCTTCCCTTGGCCATTGATTACTCGTGTGTAACCATTCTTCAAATTTATTAGCCAAAATTAAAAAATAAATAAATTAAAAAGAAATGAAATGAAAGATTATGTTTGGTATAATAATGACACTGTAAAAGTTTTATGGAATTTTAACAACCTTTTTTAAACACAAGGTTTAAAAAAGACAGATTGTTGCAAGAGCATGTTGTACAAAGACATAGTAGGGAGTGTTGATTTTTAGGGTAAAATGCACTTTTACAAATTCAGAATAAAATATTAGTAGTGAAAAAAATTTAATTAAAAAAAATTTTTTATTTTTAAACTTAAATTTTATTACTTTCATTAATACTCATTTTTTTTCATTAGTCATAACCACTTCAAATTTTCCATTAGTCATAGCTACTTCATATTTTCTATTAGTCATAGACAGTTCATATTTTTCATTAGTCATAGACACTTCATATTTGGACAAAAAGGAAACCACTAGTAAAGATGTTTATTAAAAATTTTAACAAATTATCAGCACAATTCCAGTAGAAATTTTAAAATTACCATTATTTAAAATAGCTAAAAATGTAAAATAATCAAAATTTAATAACCTAGAACTTAATTTAGCTTTTAAAATTTAGGTTATAAAAAACCCTTCAAATACAAGATTTTTCAATATTTGTGCAGTATTTAACTATTTTATCTAAATCTGTATTTGACTAATTATTCAGCAACATTTTATTTACTACCTTTATAGTATTCAAAAAAAAAAAATCAACACTATTATAACACGGTCATTGTAAAACATGCTCATCACATGCTAAAATATGGTAAACTGACTTTAAATTGTAGTAAACTGTCTTTGCATTGTGTGAAAATTAAAAATGAGTTTAAAACAAACATGTTTTCAATTATTTTCAAACATAAATAGTATAAATGGCAATAAAAACAAAATATAAAAAGATCTTGGTACTAAGTACATAGAAAATAGTAACAAAAAATTAAGGCAAGAACAACAAAAATAAATTAGCTGAATATTATTTAACTATATTTGACCAAATATTGATAATCTTGATAAATTAAAACAAATATTTTTGCTACATTCTATAGTGAACATCATTATTTCCATAAAAAAACTATATGACTTCATCTTTCTCTTCCATAACAAGCAGCTCTCTGTTTTCATATGTCAAGAAACCATTTACATCAATTAAAATATTAACAACTGTGTCACCTTGACCACTAAATAAAAAAATTGAATTAAGTAATAGGTAATTTGTTTTTTTGGATAATAAAAAGAAAATCAAAACCAACCTATTTATAAGGTCTTGAAGCGTTATTTTCATATTGTCAGCAGGTTTTACCATGTCAAATATCTCATCCTATTGGTTAGAAATTTAAAATATTTTAGTATCTCATTTTATTGGTTTTACTGTGAAACTTAATGATTTAAATTTTTTTACAATTAATAGTAATACATTTAAACTATTACTATTAAATAATTATTTTTATTTAAACCAAAACTATTAATGTTTAAAACTTATTTTTAAATTTTATATAACTAAAAATAAAGCATAAATTGTTGAAAAATGTTTACAAGATCAAAAGCATCCTGTTTTTGAACTAAATAGTTTTGTTTAACTTCATAAATTAATTAAACTTTTATCCTAGCAATCTATAATCACAGAAATCCAAATTTGTAATTTACAAATTTGTAAAGTACAAACTTTGTCATATAACTAAATTTTATAAAACTAATTTTTTATAAAGTTAAAACAGAAAAACTGCGAGAAAGCAAATATTTTTATATTGACTATAAAAATTAACTTTAAAAATTTAGATATTATATTAATTTTTACAGATTAGGGTTGTTTTGAAACAAAATTTGTAAAAACTTGATAAAATAATTGCAGAAGCACAAAAAAAGAAAATCTCTATTAAAAGAAAAAGAAGTCATGAAGGGGAGAATAGTACTTTGAAAAGCAAAAAAAAATTTTGTTTGGACTGTGTCATCAAACAAGATTTAATTTTTTATTAAGTGTGATAAGTATCATTAATGTAAAAAATTATTTTCTTATAAGGAAACAATTATTTTCTTGTAATTTAAGTAAATATTTCCTTGATTTTAATAGTTTTTAATTAATAATATTTGTAATTATGTTAAATGGATTGTTATACAATACAAAGTTTAGGTTAAATGTTGTAAAAGGCAGAGTTAGATTTAGTGATTTGACACAATGCAAAATTAAAAGTTTGTGTGCTTAGTCTGCCTGAAAAAATATTCAAGACAGCATACTGCTTTCCAAACAAATTTAATCCAACTGTAAAAGATCAAGATTGAATCCAAGTGTACTAGATCAAGATAATTCTTGGGTACTACAAAAACTCTGCAAATTGTGCAAAGCTTCTTTGCACAGGAAACAAGAGAGAAAAGAAGTTGCACTGTATTTGTTTGATTTCATATCAATTAAAATGAGACCGGAAACAAGATGCAAGATGTATTTCCGTCTAATCTTCCGAATTGGTTGTTTAAGGCTGTAAGAAAAACATTCTCTTAAAGAGCAAACCATCATTGAAAAAAAATCAAGTGTGCGCTTCAGCACATGTCTCAGCCCTTTAGGGAGAAATTTTACAATTACCTCTGATAAATATTTACACTTAAATAATTTTTACATTTATATTGAAAGTCTTAACTATTAAGAAATAAGACTAAATAGATTTCAGAAAATTTTAACAAGTTTCTAATTCTATTAAAAACTTGAAAGTTTTACACAAACTTTTTTAACAAATTTATTATAAAAATAAAATATGTATGTTTTGGAATCTGGTAAAAGTAGTGCCGAGCTACCATTAGGTGCTACAAAATTGAACACTCTAGTCCTTGTAAATGTACATCGAGCAGCAAAATGGTAGAACCAAATTTTTACATAAATTTTTTAAGAGCAGTGCAGGAATTTTATCTAGTCATGTAAATTATGTTATTCCATTTTACAAAACTTCTGGTGACTACATTGTTAAACTAGGAACTGGTGGCAAAGGTTTTCTCAAGTTTAGTCTAAGCAATGCCAGTACTGTTTTACGGGATGAAACTGCTCACTGCCACAACAACAACCTCTTACTCAAAGAACTGGCAAAGACACGGGAGTCGAGAGACAAATAATTGATGACACACTCCAAGGTTGAAATCTGGCCACTGATTAATGGATATGGAGTTAAACTTATTTTGGCTTGTGATATGAAAATTGCAAATAAAACTTGTGGTCTTCAAACCCATTCAAGTGCAAACCCATTCAACCTTTTCAACCTTTCAATCCTATTCAACCCTTGCACGTGGTGTGACGTCAAATCATAGTGTCTTACTAAATCTGTAAACTTGCAAACATTAAGCTCAATCAAACTAGCTTCAAATCTTTTCAGAAATCTAGCAAGGTTGTTGCTGATGCAAAGCAACAACCTTGCCAGATATTGTCAAGCCCACTGGTGTTTGCCAATATCATTAAAAAGGCAATCACCAGTGGGCTTGACAATGTTTTAATTTTGGAAATCATCTCTCCAATAAATTTGCATCACCATAAACTCACACTGTCTTCTAAACATCAAGAAATTCATTAGTCACAAAGGATCCCCCTTAGGACCCTTAAGTGAACAAACTGTCAAAACTGCTTATTAAAATTTCTATCAACATTGATCTAAGTATAAGCGAAACAATAATCATCCAAAATACAAAGAAAGATTGTTGCTCCACATAATTGGTCTGTATAGCAAGCATCTTTAAAGAACTGTTAGCATAATTTGAATTATTATAGCTTTTATTAATAACTTTTTTGTAAATTCAAGAACATGTCTTAAAATAAGATGCTAATATTATGCTAATGATGGTAATATAAGAGTATAGTAGTAATTTTAAATTAAATAGTAATTTTTTCACTAAACTTTGAAGGTAAACTTTTTTAAGAAGAATTCTAAAGTCAATAAAAATTTTTTTAACAGAGACATTTTTTTTGTTTGTTTTACCAACTGGTAAACCTTTGATCAGGTTTTACACTTTTTTTAACATTTTTTGTATTTCCACAGTAGTTTATACATTAGGAAATATTAATATACACAATATGCACAAGCTACTTCAAACTACACTTTAAACAGCAAATCAATATTTTGGTCTATAAAATGAAAATGGTACATGTACCAATAAAACAAATATAATAAAAATTGTTGCTATTACCAGGGGCTATTCTAGACCGCTTTTGATAGTGTCAACCATATTTGGACGCCGCCCAAATTAAAAATTGAGGACCTTTTTTTTTTATGTTTTTTACAGTAAATATTTGTTTTTTTGCAATAAAAACGATGATTTTCCACTAAAGTTTACCAGAACGAAAGGGTACCGCCGCACTATGCGTTGCTCTTATACAAAATGAGGAAATAGGCATATAAATAAAGAAGGACTTAAAATATTTAACTTATTTTTTCACAAGACATCAAATTTTTATTTATATTTCTATATTTAAAAGAATCATATTCGGTTTTCATTAAAAAACAATTTATTGTATTTTTTTTCGGTTAGTCCGGACTAATTCTAGATTTGTCCGGAAAACTACACAAGTCCGGATGATTTTATTCAAAAAAAAGTAGGCGCCTATATTTTATAGAATTTTATAAACTATGTATATGAACACTATTTCAAAATAAACAGTATCATTGAATATAATAAACAACTCTGCTATCATATGATACTTGGCTCTTTGCATTCTTTTACAGTTTCTCAACATTCTATTCTAATAGATGTTTTTAATAACTTGTGGCTATGAAAATAGCCGTTTTTTAAAAATTCAACGCAGAACAGCTCATCAGTATGATTCTTCATGGTCTTACTTCCTAAAATAGTTAATTACTTGTTAAAATTGATTAAATTTTTTCTTAAATATTTTTTTAAAAACATAAAAAAAAAAAAAAAAAAAACGCAACTTTGAATTGTTAATTAACCAAAATTATGAGATTGCCTAACCAAAAAAAAAATCAATCAAAACTATTAACAATATTAATAATAAAACTATTTTACCTTTATTTTAAGCAGTTATCAGAAGAACTGTCACTTTGCTTTCTTAAACTATTTTGTTTTCACTCTTTTTTTATCCATTTTATTTTTTTTGCAAAAGAGGTACATATCAGATGTCATAAACAAATAATTAGCTGTATCCCTAGTGTTTTCTGCAAAAGAGGTTAAACGAGCATGACCAATTCGAGCAGTTTTGTTTTCCTTATTTCTGGCTTCAATAGCACTCTCAGACAAAGAACCTATCGGATACTTAAAATACCTTATAAAAGAAGTACCATGAACTATCACTCTATGCACAGATTGTGACATAGGTATGGTTTTTAAAAATTTATCATTAGTTATGAGTGCAAATAGATGTTCAGATTTCTGTTTGAAAACCTTTATATCCGGTCTTGTAGTTGTTCTGTTTATATCAATGAGTAAATCTCGAAACAACTTAATCATTCTGATATCCAAGTTTAAAATTCTCCCTGTCACAATGGGGTTATTAAAAAATTTGCGAGCAACATTTCCAGTATTGGTTGTTCCACATCCTTTCCTGACAAAAGAAACCCTTATATTCAGTTTTATCTTGAATAAATGCTGGAATTTTTTTTTGTTTTAAATAAATTCTTTACTCTTTTGTGATGGAATATTTCTTCCTTGCTTAACAGCTGGGAGTTTACAAGCAGTATTGAAAATCCACTCCATACAGCGCATCCATAGATGAAGACTGCAAATTCCAAGTTTCAAAACATGCTTGTTTAAATTAATATTTTTTTTCCAAATAGTTTTCAAGTTAAACTCCTTAGAATTTGCAAGGCATACATGGCAGGACTGAGATGAAATTCTTTTTTTAAGCATATTTGATACAACAGCGTTTAGTGTTTTGCCATCATTCATTGTGGTATAAATAGTTGACAAACTAGACTTTACTACAAAAGTACTTTCACCAAGTTTAAATTCAATATTCTTCAATAAAAAAATTTCATTTTTCAAATTTTCAAATTTTTCCTGAATAAAACTAGCAGTCTCTTTTGCAAAACAAAAAAGAAGATGACGGGTTGCATCTGGACTATTTGGAATTAAATTTTTCCATATTATTTTTTCTCCACTTCGGATCTCCAGCAGTACAAACACTATACTATACACAGAGCGATCATCTACACCTCTTTTCATAGTTGCTGAATTTTGAAACTCCGATTGATCATTTTGACCATCACCTCCTACTTTGCAAATAATTTGTACATTATCACGCTCTTCTTGTGATAAACTCATTATGCAGTTACTTTCATAATCCAAAAGATATTCAAACACTCTAGAAACTGAATGCTTTATCATATGGAAAAGACTACATTTTACTTCCGTTTCAGAATATTCAACCTGTTCTGGATATGTCAATTTTTTGTATTGCTTCAACTTGGTTAAACCTGGAGGAACAAGATGACGATTATGAGTCACTATATTTTTAAATTCAGTCCATGTTCTATCTGTAAGTTTCAAATTACAAAGAGCTTGCAATGACAAATTTGAACCATATAAAATAGCCCTACCATCAGTAGAAGAATTAGATTTAAACCTTTTGACAGCATGTTGCAGTTCTTCCACCTCTCGTTCTCTAAGACTATCTGTTCTTTTACGCTTCATCCTGTTTGTAAGCTTAATAAAAGACTTTCTAGGTTTTGGTGTACAAGATGTATTGACTGCAGATGATTTAGGCACTCTACATGGTACACTATAAATAATAAAAAAATACATTGAAACATATATACATTTTGAAGGTTTTGTGAAACATAGTCAAACAATATGTATGTGTGTGTGCAAAATAAAAAGAGGGAGATACATTTATCTATGCATACCTGTTTACATTGGATCCATGAGTACGAAGCAGTAATTCCCCTTCTTTTATTTTACGCTCACCCTGCTTGATGAGTTGATTACCCTGTTTAATCAGATTTTCACCTTTTCTAATTAATAGCAGTTCTTCCTCATGTGTTCTAATCTCTTTTTCAGAATCTTTTTCTAATCTACACACACAAGTATAATATATATATATGTATATATATATATATATATATATATATATATATATATATATATATATATATATATATATATATATATATATATATATATATATACTATAATGCAATATTTATTACTTATTTATAATAAATCAATATAGAATATATTATACTCACAAGAGATATTTGCATTGTTGATTTTGATCCAAAAAATGTTTATATTTAGTAAGAAAGAACTTTTTTCTTTTTCCACACTCATTAAATTTTTTTATTAAGTTAAAAGCCAGACTTTTGAAAATGTTGAAATTCACAGTGCAATCAGTATAAAGTGATAAAAACTTGGACTGCAAAAATTTAGCACATTCAGATACGTTTTTACTCTTGAAAATATGCCTTGGAGGAAAATTATCAGCCAGAAGTTTGCTAAGATTAAAAGTAACCATTTTTAAAAAATTCTAAATCACGATGAGAGCCAAACTGAGGTTATAACTTAAAGACTAGAAAAGAATGTTCCGCCCGCATCCAGTTTCTTCTTGACAAAAACTAACTAACCGGTTTTTAATAAACCACCTCTTTTGAATTGATTTTATAGCATGTTACTACAGAGGTAGCCAGAATATTATTTCACTTATAAAAAGTCAATTTGTTTGAGAAAATTTTAAAAAAATAAAAAACTGGCTACCTCTGTAGTAACATGGTCTAATCGATCAATCTTTACAGACACCCAAAAACAATGATCCAAACATTTTTTTTTCTTTTCTTGGTTTTTAATTTACGAAATGTATCATTTATTAGAAAATGTGCAAAAAAAATAAAGAAATTTGAAAATTATCTTATGTAATTTAAAGATTTAGTGAAAACATGGGTTTTTTTACCCCTGAAAATCCCGCACCTAAAAAAGCAAATTTAAAAAAATTAAAAAAAAACTTTTTTTTATTAATTAATACTAACTTGTTTCAGTTAAAAAATATTTAAAATATTAAAATTGAAAATTTTTTTCTGAAAAGTAAGTAAAATCCTATTTCCGCTTCGCGACGCATAGTGCGCCGCCCAAACTTTTTTCCTAGAATAGGCTCTGATTACATAGTAGAACACTCATGTAACCATTATTTTGAAAATAGTGACTGAATATCACAGTAATAGGTAACATTTTGAGGTATAAGCATCAAAAAAAATTTTAAACTAAAATTATCACTAACCCTTAACCAGTAAACCAATTAGACTGAAATTTTATCCAGAGTTTGGTGTGGCCATAGGCTAGATTTGCACCAATTTTTATCAAATTGTAGTGGTTCTCATTCTACAAGAATGTATTTTTATTGGAGCACTATGCAGTCAAAAATTTACTCAACTTGAACACTCAAATTAATTTTTTTCACAGGGTACCTTGATGAGTATGTCTTAATGAGTATATCTTTTCATGTAGTTTTTGGGTCAGCTAGGTTGTTGTCAAGATCCATGATAAAGGTGTAATATGTGGGAAGTTATATAGCATTATTGCTTGGTAATATCATTTGTAGATGAGCCTTAATCTGATGTCAACAATATTTTATTATATGATACATAATTACATTTGATAGTAGGGATGCGTCGAATCCGTATTTTGGCCGAACACCAAATTCGAATGTTCGGCCATGATATTTTGCCAAACCTTGAATACTTCGGCAACCGAACTATTGCTAATTTTAAATATAAACATTAGTTATTGAACTTGAAGTGAAAACCAGGCCCTATGAGAGGGGGTGCAGTCAGTGCGCCACACCAGGCCCCAAAAGAGTTTAGTAAATGTGGTTTTATAAATGCATTGTAGTGGTTAGTTACTTATAGAAAGAAAGACATTACACCGCAATTATAAAACTTCTCATTGGTTGATCTTTGCTTACGCTATCCTAACTTGTTAAAGTAATGTTAAACTGTTTTAAATTTAAAAAAGAATTTTATAAAATATAGGAATGTAAAATGAATGAAATTAGTATAAATTTTTCCTTTTTTTTCTTCTAGTTTATACATTTCTTTAACATCTTAAATTTTAAACAATGTTATTAACAATGGTTTATCGACTTAATATGCAATATTAAATTATTTCATTTTCAATATTTTTGAATTATTTTTTTTTTCCCTCAATTTCTTACTTTGTTGATTTCCATGTTTTTAATCCTGTGGTGGTTGATACAAATTAAAAAAAAGAAAATTTTGTTTAAATTTATTATAGGAAAATAATTTTTTTATATTTTTTTTAGATTTATCAACGATATTTTTAAGATTCTGCAAGAAAAATCTAAATTTATAAATCGGGAGCACAAAAAAGTAAAGAAAAAAAGAAACACATACAATGAAAGAAAAGGAATACTGACACTCTTTCAATTAGGTTTAAAAAAACAACGAATTGAATCAGAAACAAATACTAAATATGAATTAGAAACAAATCCTGATGTAAATTTGGAAAAAGAGAATAATGAAAATGGCATTCATGAACAAAATAACCATTGCAAAAATGAAATAGCAACTAGTAAAAAAAAAACAAAAAACTTAGAGCCTTTTACAAATATGATTGACATAGATATTGGTTTAGAACCTATACCTGGTGCTACAGAAAATTTTAAGTTAAGTAGTGAATCATTACATCAATAAAGTACAAAACTTAACATTTGACTTATCACAGCAGAATTTTTTTCTCAATAAGAAATAAATAATATTGTTACCAGAGGTAACAATATTATTAAATAAATTTGCCAAAAGATGATAATAATCAAAATTTTCAAGAAGGCATATTAATGTTTAGAAACATTAATGTAAAACAGCGTACCCGAGACTGGCTTGTATGGAGCAAGCATAAGACTTTGTTATATTGTTTCCCTTTGTTATATTGTTTTCCTGGAACAATGTCTGTTCCAAGCTAAGTATTGCTTCCCAATCTGCATTAACTACAGCTAAAGGTTGGCCAGCGAGTTCCAATTGGCAGAAGTTATGTAACAAGATTCCAGATCATAAAAAGAGTAATGGGCATTGAGAAAGCTATCTAACATAGGGTAAATTTTAACCCTTTTTATTTTTTTTAGATATCGACAGAATATTTTCAAAATTAGGGTCATAACAGATCAAGCTACAATGGTTTCGAAAATGTAATCCGTTTCTGGTGTACTTTTTTTATCGTAAGAAATATTTCCACTATGGTATTCAATAGGTATAGATCATACGTTTACAATTTAAAAATGTTCAAACATGTGCCGATTGTAAAACCCTCTTCTTCTAAATAAAAATCTCCTCTAAAGGTTTTTCACTCTTATTAAGATCAAAATATGAAATTCATATTAAATAAGAAGGGTAAATTAGAACGACGTCTACCAATGCAAGGCGGTATTGATAATTTTATATAATCACCAATTAAAGTAGAATCAAAAAATGGTACCAAATTTTGAGAATTATTGATGTTATCCTTTTCTTAAGAAATTGTAGCCTTGCTTTTCAGGGAACTTTGCAATGCATTGGTGATTAAATAATGGAGACTTTTTAGGTCTGATAAAGTTTCTTAATACATTCTTAAAGTAGCTGAGTCACAAAAAAAGGGAAAAAGACTCCAAGTACATTACCTCTAAATTGATAACTAAAATGAGTTAATAGCAGAATGTTCTGATCTTGTTAAGCAGAATGTTTTGGATAAAAGACATTCTGCAAAGTACTACGCAATAATTGTAGAATATACAACAGATTCATCACATGTTGAGCAAACAACACTTATTTTACGTTACCTAATTCGCCATGATTTGTGATTTAAAATTGTGGAACGATTTTTAAAATTTATAGATTGTAGTAACAAAAATGGCTCTGAAAATTGCTCAAAGGATTACAAAAACGCCACAAAGTAATATTATTCCACTGGCTTGTTGTAGGGCTCACTATATAACTTAACTATATAATGTGCCAAATATGTCAGGCAAATACAATGGAGCGCAAGCTATAATAAAAGAACTGTGCCCTACTGCTATGTTTTTTCCTTGTGCCTGCCACACATTTAACTAATGTGGTAATGATGCTGTTGAATGTATTCCAGAAGCCATAACCTACTTCTGAACTATGCACCTACTCAGGTGTAGTCCGAAGAGGTGGGAAATATTATATAAGCGTATTGGTTGTTTCCTTCATGGCATATCTGGCCCCAGGAGGTCAGATCGAATAGCTCATCTTCCAGGAGTAAAGCTGGGTTTTTTAGACTTGTTCCAGCTAAATCTTACTCCAAGAACTAAAAATAAGATTCGTGTGGCACAGAATATTAATTCCAATTGACATTTGCAACAAAGTCATTCAAGCCAGTAACACGACTTTAGAGATAGAAGTTTCAAATATAGAAAGCTTACTTTCATTATTAGTAGCTATTTGTGACAGTTGGAAAGCAATGTTGAATAAAGCTAAGCATGTTACACCTAGCCTTGATATAGAAATAAAATTGTTTAAAAAAAGATAGCAGAAAACAATTTCACAATAAAAATGTGAGTAAAATGAACGAGGTAAGCGAATCTCCCTTGAAATCCCAGTTGCGAAAGCAAATTTTTTATGTAATATTGGATAATGTTTTTGTAGGACTTACAGTTCTTTTTAGCGCCATAAAACAGATCTCTTCAGAAACCTTCAGCTTTCTTTGGAACTACCAAAAAATGACAATGGAGGAATTAATACATGAAGCAGTTAGGTTCGGTTAACAGAACATTAAGACTGATGTCCGAATGATGGTTTGTTGTAGATGACTGATATGTACTTTTTTATTTACTCTTTATTTAATTTTATTTATGGATCTTGTGCTTATTTATATGTACATGATGTTTGAATTAAATACATTAAATATAATAAAATAAATAATTAAATTTAAATTATTTTACCATAGCTACCAGATACGGCATAAATTAGTTAAATTTGAAGTCTACTCTAAGAAAACATATGATATTTTCCAAAATTTGCATTTTTTGCATATTCGGCATTGTTTTGCCAAACGTTCGGCGCATCCCTATTTGATAGTTATTATATATAAATCTGTGCAGCAAGAAACAGCTATAAAGTAGCAAGGGATAGTTATAAAGTACAGTGCTATATGACGTTATTTAGATAAATTTGCAATCTTTGCTTGCTTTACACAAATTTTTTTGCTTACTTTTTCATTAGTCCTAAAATAGTCAAAACAAAAAAAAACAAGTTCTTCATGTACCAAATGGGAAGGTACATCAGCAGTAAAAAATCTGATTTTCATTTTTTCCAAACATAAACTTAAACCATATGTGCAACATCTAGCAGCACATTTACAAAATTACTAGATATTTTACTTTACAAAAGACACTGACAGAAAAATTGCAAGCAATTTATTTAAGAACACATAATTGCCACCAATAAGTGCTAAACAAACCCATGTTTTAAAAATCATTACTTATCAATATCCAATATTATACAGTTAATTTGATACTTCTAAAATTAAGTTAAACATAAAAATCCATTAAAATAATCTCTAACTACAAATGAATCCATAAAAAAAATCTCTAACCATACATTAACAAAGAAAATATGAGAGTTAAATTACCCTTAAACTGCACATTTTGTTTGAAAGCTTTTACAAATTAAGACAAATTTCTTACTAACCACCAAGTTGGCTCCATTGAACTTACTAGTGATTTCTGCTATATAAACACTACGCACTAATAAACACTAAGCAACTGATTGACTAAAATTTCGAACTTGTTAATTTTTTCTTTCAAAAGAAATCTGGTCTGTTTAAAGAGAAATTTAGTTTGTTGTTAAATATTTATCTTGGTTAATCTTCAGAAAACATTTAGATTGGCATACCTATGTTTGCATTTTAAGCATTTTTTGCACCTTGTTACTAAAAACCATGAGCATATTTTGCGCTTCAAAACACAAATATTATGCGGCTTATCTATCAAATTGTATATGCCATTTTCCTCAAATATATGCCATAGGTACCTCAAATATATGTCATAGGTACCTCAAATATATGCCATAGGTACCTCAAATATATGCCATAGGTACCTCAAATATATGCCATAGGTGCCTCAAATATATGCCATAGGTACCTCAAATATATGCCATAGGTACCTTAAATATATGCCATAGGTACCTCAAATATATGCCATACGTACCTCAAATATATGCCAAAGGTACCTCAAATATATGCCATAGGTACCTCAAATATATGCCATAGGTACCTCAAATATATGCCATAGGTACCTCAAATATATGTCATAGGTACCTCAAATATATGCCATAGGTACCTCAAATATATGCCATAGGTACCTCAAATAGATAATTCTAAATTTGTATAGTTTTTGCGTTATGCAACAACATCTAATAGATAGGTGTGCACTTTTACAAGTTAATAGAGGCTTCTTTAGCACTTCTGTGAACTTTTACAAGTTAATAGAGCTTCGTAGCAGTGGTTAAGTAAACTAACCTAGAATAAAATCCTAAATTAAAAATCTTTATATAATTGTAGGTAAGGATAAAAAAGGCTCATACGCTTCAGATCTGGTAGTAAAAATTTTTTTTAACTCTTCCAAATTATTATATTTGAGTAAGAAAATGGTAATTTAGAAACCCATTTAAATCACACAAGTGTAAACCCATTTAAACAACACAAGAGTAAAACCAAGTTAATAAAATGATTGTGACAAGTTAAGAAATATTTTACACTGGCTTTATTTTCTGTTTTTCTGGATAAAGCCGAATAATTTTACAAGTACTGTTACATGAGATCAAGGTAACAACAGAGATCCTAAACTTCAGATTTATACTTTTTTTATAATTTAGGTATTTATTTAAAACTTACTTTTAGATCGTGTAACAAGACTTTTTCATGACCATGTTTATCCATTTCTTTCTGAATTGCCTATAAAAGAAAATGAAACCATATCAAACATATAAAAGTAAAGTATATTAAATATATAATTACAAAACATTATTCAACAAGTTTTTTTAGTATTAAATTAATAATAATCAGAATAAACTTATCGTAACAATATATTACAAAAATATGTGACAACATAATTAAATATAAATACTTATGTACATATAATCCATCAATTCTTAAAGGAATTATTTATTTGTTTGTGTAAGATAAGAAAAAACAGATCACTTTCTATTAACATTTGATAGATAAAAAATTGCTAACTTACTCTGAAAAAGTAATTTATTGCAAAAGTGTTCAAGTAACCATTGTGCTAAATTAAAAACCAATTAGTTATTTTTAAATTAAAAAATAGTTAAACAATTAAAAGACAAAAAATTTAAATATGGACATAAATATTAGTTTGGGTCAAAAAATGTATACTAGAAACTACTAAAAAAATGTATTTAGAAATTGACACATCTGTTAGAGACTCCTTTATGTAAAGATTTAGGAAAGTTTTAGCTTCTATGGATTGAACAATATCTATAATCCATTTTATTTTTATATTTATTTGAATAAATACTGTGACCCTAAGCAAGATTACTTAAAAAAACTTTAATTTTTAAAATTAGAAACAAATGTTTTTTTCAAAAGGAAAAAAAAAAAAAAAAAAAATCTAATTTCACTTATGCCAAAAACAATAATTTCTTTCCAAGTTGACCTACTTTTGAAAATATTTGAGCGAACAGGAAAGGTTTCTGGAGATAAGATTCCACTTATTTTGGTTGAAAAAAAATTCTTGTGAAAATTTTGTTTAAAGTCCATGATGCTTTTTGAGAAAAGAAATTCTGCTTATAATTAAAAATATTTATTTACATATATATATTATTGATATAAATTTAGTTTAATGAATCAAATTTAGATAGGATGATGAATAATGTTAATTAATCCTTTATCAATAATAATGCTTAATCCAGAATGTAGAAGCCATGAATGCTAGAATAAAATGAAAAAGTTACATTCTTGAATGTAATGAATAAAGCCATAAAACCAAAAAAAAAAAATTTTATTAACTATTACTAACCACAAATTTTGTATTAAAAAAAAAACAAAACACAAATTCATAATTACCTGGACATCAAGAATTTTGAATAAATATTGCAACGACTAAATAAATTACATATATTTCATAAAATATATATTTACTAACACTATTATCATAACCCCCATTTCATATCAGTCTTATTACCCCTATTTCATATCAAACAGTAGTATGATGGTTGATGAACAGTCTGGTTGATGAAACAGTCTTATTACCAACATTTCATATCAAACGGTAGTAAAACTGTAAAAGCCTTAGATTTTAGAGAAGCTTTACATAAAATTTGTTTTATGTTTCTAAAGCTATATTTATTAAACTGTCTGGAAATAAATACACTTAATATAGAAGAATATATAAACTGTCTGGAAATACAGAAGGAAAGAGACTATGATAATATCAAAGAACTTTTGACAAAAATTATTATTCTGAATTCAAGTGGGATGTTTGTGGTGATTTCAAAATGCTTTCTTTTATGCATGGCTTGCAAAGAAGATATACAAAGTATTTATATTTCATTTGCTAATTGGACAGCAGGGCTAATGATGATCATTACAAAAAAGTTGATTGGCCACGACAAGTGGAACTACAGCAAATATTGTTCAATGTTCTTAAGCAGCCTCTAGTAGATTCCAACAAAGTCTTATTACTACCACTTCATATTAAACTATTAAAACTGTTTTTAAGTCAATATTGATTTAAAAATATGAAAATATAGTCACCTGAGGCTCTTTTTTATTTTCCAATGCAAGCACAAAGTCCAAATATGTTTTGTAATCCTTAAAAAATATATAAAAATATTTCATACTTTCAAAAATAAGTTTTTTTAAAAGTATTTTATATCTTGCATAAAAGATAAAAATTACCATTTCACCTTCATAGGTTAAACACTCTTGAAAGACTCTATCTAAAAATGTATTTGTGAGGGTACCAGTGCCATATCTAGATAATAAAATAAAAAACAAAATAAAAAATCGAAAATTTCTTTTATTTTAACTTTTCTCCTACTTAAAAAAAAATGACAAAATTTAAGAAAAAAATCTATATTTATCTATATCTATTTATGACTATCCATATCTATCTATCAATGCAGCAGAAATTCCTCTCATGCTCTACTTATTTGTCAGTTGATGATTGTAAACTGTAGAAAATAAAAATAAAAACATTCAGGTTGTTTTTATTTTTACTAAAAAAGTATTAGATTTTAAATAATGTGTAACTTTGTCATTTTTAAAGACAAAGAGTTATTAAAAGCTGTTTTTTACCATAAACAGTAAATTCATATAATATATATATATATATATATATATATATATATATATATATATATATATATATATATATATATATATATATATATATATATATATATATATATATAATATAATATTTTAATTAGGGTCGGCAATGCCAACCTAAAAGTGTTTGAGGTCAGCAAAAAATTGGTAACCTTTTTGTCTCAATTTTTTTTGCTGATCACTAACAATTATGTATGTATGTATGTATGTATGTATGTATGTATGTATGTATGTATGTATGTATGTATGTATGTATATATAAAATTAAAGATAAAAATAACCATTTCACATTAGACAAACCTTTTTACAATAGTTTCTAGCGATTATAAAGAGTAAAGAGATGTTTATTTTCTGGAGAATAGTTTTGGCGATATATATATATATATATATATATATATATATATATATATATATATATATATATATATATATATATATATATATATATATATAACATACTATGTAATCATAACTATTTAATTTACACTTGTGTAAAAATAATAAATCACCGTTTAAGTTCTTCCTTGCTCAACATACCATTATGATCATTGTCAAGGTTTAAATACTGCCCTAAAATATTTCTATAACAATTTACATATCTATTTATTTAGTGGCTACAAAGCTAAAAAAAAAACATCTTTATTTAATCCTTAATAAGCAATATATAATCTTTATATAACACATGCTAAAACTTTGTTAGACATCATAGGTGTTTTTATAAATAAAATTTTAATACAATAATTTTTTTTAAATATCATTTATGCTATTATTTTTTTGAAATGAAATTCTATTTATTGATTAAAAAATTGTTTCAGCATTTTTAACATTACCTTTACAAAAATAAATAATCTTATAATAACTAAAACAAAAGTTATATCGCTTGCAAAACTATCATTAATGTGTTTATGTTGAAGTAACCATCTAAAAGAACACTTTGGTGTCAAGTAATAAAAAAAACCTTTTTATTACATGATTTAAAGATTTTCCTGTAATTTATCACACATAGTAACAGAGAGGTGATTTGAGACACTACATAATAATTCAGACTAACCATATACCCGTAAAGCAGATGGAGCAGAAAACCAATTAGATTCCTGTTTGTCTTTCGATAAAACATCATCTCTAAGCTTAAAAAAAAATCATACACAATACATTTATATCATTTTAAAAAGTTTAACAGAAGAAATAAAACAAAAGTTTTTTAATTTACCTCAAGTAAGTCATCAAGAAAGCTGCACGATAAAACATCTTGGATCTTTATTTTACCTAAAACAATAGTAAAAATATAAAGTTTAACTAATCATGGAAAAATATTGGAGAACTTTTAAAGTTTATACAAATTGAGTATAAAAAATTAAAACCTAAAACACAAAAAAGTATTAGAATTTTAAATGAAGTATTTTACCAGCCATACAAGTTATTTTTATAAAAGTATTTTTTACCCGCCATTTTACAAGTTATTTAAAAATCTTTTATAATTACTGAAGAAATGTTTTGATATTAAAAAAAAATTAACTTTATAATTCAAAATTTACATAATTAACTATCAATTAACATAACGTAGTTAATGTCATATAAATTTTATAATCTAATTAATATAAATATAAATTTTATAAATTAAAAAATAAATAAATGTTTTGATTTGTAGTAACTAAACAACAGCTTGTAATAGTGCAGTGGGACAGTTCTATAAAAAAGGGGCACCAAAATTATTTACTCCATATTTGTACTAAGCTATTATTATTTTCAAAAAATACATATAGGGCATTTCCAAAAAATCACAGGCAGAAACTTGGATATGTTTTGTTTATTATTTTCATAATAATAAAACTAGTAATCTCAAATATATTTTTATTTAATTCTAATCTATATAAACATTTTGTAAAACAAAGAATGGTATACTTTAATAATATTATCAAAGAATTTTGTTTGAAATGAAATTCTTCTAAAAATAAGCTTTAGCAGTATACTTTTTTTTCAATATTTAATATAATTATTTTTTTCAATATTTAATATAATTAGTATAATATAATATATTTATTTTTTTAAATATTTAATATTATTAATAAAGATTCACAGAAAGATATAGGATTACACTATGTATCAGAGTCACAGCAATCGTTTAAATGCAGTTCATGTATAACCACGAGTAGAAATCATGGAAAATATTACATCTCTACTCATATTAAATATAATTTCAATGAGAAATAGTAATCATCAAATATATCGAGCATTAAGAAAATCATTTTTAAAACTATTGCAACATTAACATACAACTAATATAAAATGATAAAAATATATATATAATTAATCATTCAGGCAGCCTAAATGATAATAAAAATATATTTGTTATAATTTTTCTTTAATTTTTCTATAATTTTTCTCATAATAGTATGCATATTGCTTTAAGTTCCAGCTTCTAATTGTAAAAACAAAGAAAAATGAAAAATTACAGAAATGGAAATGCCCATTTGATCATTAACTTAATGTATTAAATTTTATTTTTAGTATATTGAGACATTTTCAAACCTGCATCTTTTTTCAAAGCAGCTCAGGGAAGTCAATGTTTTTTGGCAGTTAATTAAGGACATATTGAGATTTAATCTTTTGCAAAATGAAGGAGATGTTTAAAATAAAGGAGATGTTTAAAATGAAGGAGATGTTTAAAATGAAGGAGATGTTTAAAATGAAGGAGATGTTTAAACATTGTTTTTGTTTTGCTTCATTAAAGTTGACTTTTAATGTTTTTGTAACAATGTATTTATTAAATGGCTGATTTTCAAAAATTTATGCGATTTGTTAAAATTGTTTTTATTGTCACTGAAAAGTAAATTTGTTTAGTTTTTAAACAATATATAATAACCAACTCTTTATTTAATTAAATCACCTTAGCAGAAAGTATCATAAAAACATTAATTGACTAATAAAGAAATTGATGCAAATTAAAAAAGAAAGTATGATATTGCTCTTGAACGTTTTTTTTTATATTCTAGTAATTCTCATAATATTAGTGATTGTTTGCTGTTTTGTTGAAAATTTGTTGAAAAAAAAAACTAAAAAATGCAGTATCGAAGTCTACTTTGATGGGTAATGCTTTTCTTCATTTTCAGCAACCTCTGGGTGTCACAAAGGTTCTATATTTTGTTCCTTATTGATTTTTTGTCTATAATAAAGATTAAAGAGTTTATCGTCTTCCCAACAATCTAACCTCTAAAATGATTCTATTTCTAATGATAAAACCAAATATTATAGTTTTGATGACATATTCACTAATTTTCAGAAGACTCATGCCAAATAGAGATTTTGATAATTTGTAACATCTAATCAAAGTGAAATTACTCGCAACTATGCAAAATGGAAACTGTTTGAGATATTTTGTAACAAAATCAAAAAGGTACAATATAGCTGGAGGAAAAACGTAGTAAAAAATGTAATTTTTCAAGGAACTGTATTTTTAGTAACATAGTATTCTATAACAAACAGTGTGATTCTCATAATTAAAAATTAGACAATCGCATTTCACTTATAAAAGAAAACAACTGTTGATATTGTTTCAAATCGCCATAAGCAGTTAAAGCATTGTAAATAAAATAAAAAAAGTTTAGAAAAAGTGGTAAAGGATTGTCCATAAATTATGCAATGCTAAACTTCAATTATAAGCAAAACAAAAAAGATCAAAAGATTTCCCTTGCAGAGCCTTAAGTTATATAAAAAAACAAAATAGCACATTAAGTTCAATGAAAATTGCTGCATAAAAAAGCTTAAAATATCCTTTTTTCTGTTTTTAAATAAACTTAGCATTGCATAATCTATGGACAATCCCTAATGTAAAAAACTTTATTGGAAGTGACAAAATGTTTAAATTCTTGCTGTAAACATCAATAACTCACCAGTTCTCATAGGATCAAGAAAGAAAAAAAACTTTCGAACAGCAGTGCATACATAAAATGAATAAAAATTTTTCTCCAAACCATCTAACTAAAAAAAACAATATAACAGTTTTCACACAAGATTTGATTAAATGCAATTATCTTAAACTAATTTATTTTTGTAAAAACTAAGCAAATAACTCATTAAAAGTTAAATAGTATTTGTAAGTCTCACTTTATGCAGTGTTCTAAATCAGTTTTTTTTTCCTTCCCATTGCACAAAGTATGGGAAAAATTTCACAAATATTATCTGAGCAGTTATTATAAATAGCTTATAAGAAAAAATATACCTGAGGAAGAGTTGGAATCAACTCTAGAATGTAATTTTCTAAATCCTAAAGAAAAGCTATTTGTGCAAAACATATAAGTAAAAATACTGATTCTCATTAAAACTTTCATAAAATAAATTTTTATTTTTAACAAATAACAAAATCTTACTGATTCTCTTAAAAAACCTTGACCAGCAACATCATATAAACTTAAACCAATGCGAGTCTGATAAAGCCATACTGTTATTTTTTAAATATAAAATTTTACTCTTTAAAAAAATTAACTTTAAAATTAATTATTATTAATTTACAATTACTTTTTAAATATAAGTATTATAAATACCAATTTTTTTTTGTTTTTATTTAGTGAAACAACAATAATTATACTATAGTCAAGTTACAGCATAAAAGAAGCCATTCAAGTTCTTAAAATTTTTCTATTTAATAATAACAATAATAATAATAATAGCAAAAATAACAACATTAATAATTATTAAGATATCAACAACAACAATATGAATAATATAATATGATATATTAATTAAATTGGAAGAAAATCCTAACCAACCTTTTCTCATTACATAATTGAAAAACTGCATGATTGATATTCTAAAATGTAATTTTTTTTAATAATAATAAATTTTTTAATAATAATAAATTTTTTAATAATAATAAATTTTTTAATAATAATAAATTTTTTAATAATAATAATTTTTTTAATAATAATAAATTTTTTAATAATAATAAATCTAAAATGTCTATCAAATATTGGTTTTCACAAACTCAAAAGAAAAAAATTTAAAAAACTTTTGGCTTTGCTCACAAAAAAAGAATTACATAATTAAATTTCGAAACAAACCTTCCAAACCTATCTTTTTGAAATAATTTTGCATATGTAATTGGTTTGAAGAACTGACTAAAGAAATATCAACAAAGAAATATCAGATTTGAATAAAATTCTTGAATTATAAAAATAATGAACATGTAAACACAACAAAACCTGCATTTAGAGACAGCTTCTTCTTTAACTTTTAAAAAACCTTCATAATCAATCATCTAAAAATTAATTTTTTTTTTTAGTTTAATTCATTTTTTTCTTAACCTGAAAAAGGCCTTTACATAGAACTATTATGAAAAACCTTAATAAAAAGAAGTAAAAGAAGAAAAAGGAATATAAATATAAAATATGTACATTTTTCAGTATTAAAAAAACATTTAAGAAATCACTGGTTTCTATTAACATGCAATAATTCTTAGATTAAAATTTTAAAAACAATAATTTAATACAAATGTATAGAATATATTTTAAGTAGTAGAATTAATAATATAAAATTATTAAAAAATTATTAATTTTAATTATGACAACAATCATTTCAATTTATGACAATACACAATGAATAAAAAGTATAATAATTTAATTAGGTTAATTTAATGCGACATTTTTAAAACAAAGATAAAAACCAGACAGTATTGAAAAAAATTTGCTTTAACATCTTTTGAAACCTTTTTGAAACATATTTCTTTTGAAACCTTTCACTTTAATGATCCCTTAGCAATTAAAATAGCATATTGTAAACAATAAAACTATTTTAAACGCTTTTTCAAAAGTTAAATGATTTTATAAAATTTTAGTATATGCATTTTCCAAACAACATTCTGATTCTTTCTCAATTCTTGTTTTTAAAAACTCTTTTTTTCAACCGATCAACCATGACCATCAAGAATACAGTTTGGGAGGTCAAAATAGCAATTTTGACCTCCCAAATGGTATTCTTATATATATATATATATATATATATATATATATATATATATATATATATATATATATATATATATATATATATATATATATATATATATATATATATATATATATATATATATATATATATATATACATATATATATATATATATATATATATATATATATATACATACTTAAATATAGAAAAAACAACTTTTAATGGAACTCAAAGTTTCAAGCCTATCGGCAATCATCAGCCATGAAGTACAAAATCAAAAATATAAAAAACTGTTTAAAAATTACAAACTACGGTAGAATGAGTTCTGACGTTTTAGTTCAAGAAGATGTAATGGATAACAACAATATAAACGCTCCTTTCAGTTGAGCAATCTAATCAAAATTGTCCAAGATGAAAATAAACTTTAAATACTTAATCAAAAATATACCATCTGAAAAAGAATTTATACTGCAGTTACTCGAAAAAACTGAAGCTCTTTTAAAAAGAATGAGATAGAAAACGTTATTTTTTATTAACAAATAACGTGATACGTCTAAGTTCAATGATTATACTAACTATGGAGTAAAATCTTCAAAGTGGCCTCCACAAATTAAAGAAATGTCACTATTTGAAAAAGATTTAAAAAATCTTATTAAAACTATCAAATTTTGCAATCTCAAAAACACATTTCAAGAAAAATAAATAATGACATTAAATCTTTACATAAATATAATAAAACTTTAACTCCAGCTGACAAAACATCCAACATGTACAAAATATCTAAAGATGATTACAACATCTTCTAAAAAACGCAATCACTTTTATTTATAAAAAGGCCAATCCAAAACTAAAGGACGTAGTAAATAAAGAAAGAAAGCAAATTTTAAAAAATCATGATATTTTTAATAGAATCGAGATAAATGGAACTGCTGATTGTTTTATAACTTCAAAAGACCATAAAAGCAACTTCCTAAACAACCCTACTGTGTGTCTTTTAAATCCTGCAAAGAATGAGGTAGGATTTATTTTATCCAATATCAACTCGAATTAAGAACCAGGCTCTGTTTAAACTAATGGCAAAATACGCAGAATGTAATAAATTGGTTCTGAAAAATTGATGATAAACACCTTTGTAAATTTTTAGTATTTGACATAAATGATTTTTATCCGCCAATTGATGAAAACATACTTAATAACGCTATTACTTTCGCCGAACAACATATCATAATAGACGAGCAAAGCAAATCCATATTTTTGTCATGCAAGAAAATCTTTCATTTTTAACGGTGGCATATCATGGATAAAGAAAAAAGCAGGATTGTTTGATGTTTCCATGGAAGTCTAAGATGGTGCGGAAGTTTGCGAACTAGTCGGGATTTTTATGAAAGTTGATCTAAAATAAAAATCCCAATTAGTCTGGATTTTTATTTTAGATCAACTTTCGCAGTTTTACAACAAAAATGATTTCGGTTTATATCGAGATGACGGGTTAGTTGTTTTTAAGAACAAAAAGGGCCATCAAATGGAACAAATAAAAAAGCATGTCGTTCAAGTTTTTAAATGTAACAATCTCACATCTCTATCAATTACAATGTTAAAATTGTTAACTACCTTGATTTAACTTTTAATCTTACTCAAAATTCATTCCAATTATACTGCAAGCCTGATAATAAGCTAAGTTATGTACATGCTGATTCTAACCATCAACCTAACATAATAAACAATCTTCCAAAAAATATCAAGCTAAGGTTGTCCGCCAACTCATCAAGTAAAGTTATTTTCAATAAATTTGACACATCTTTATGAAGACGCACTAAAGCAATCGGGATACACTTATAAGTTGGCATATAAACCAAAAAAATGTTCCAAAAAATGTTCCAAAAAATAACCACAAACGAAATACAATCTGGTACAATCCTCCATTTAGTAAAAATATTACAACCAAAATTGTTCAATGCTTTTAACCATAATTGACAAGCATTTTCATAAAGACCACAACCTACACAAAATATTTAACAGAAACACAATTAAAATAAGCTACTCCTGCATGCCAAACATTAAATCTATCATCAACTCACACAACAAAAATATTTTATATGGTGATGTAAAGTTATCAGAAAAAGCCTGCAATTGCATTAAAAAATCTCTTTGTCCACTGAACAACAATTGCTTGTCTAACAACATCGTTTACCAAGCCACTGTAAGCTCAAATAAACCTCAATACAAAGATAAGGTATACATTAAGATAAGCGAAACCTCTTTTAAGCTACGTTATGCAAACCATCTAAAATTGTTTAACATAAAAAAGTACAAGAACGACATGGAGTTATCTAAGGAAGTATGGGAATTAAAAGATAACAATTTTTCATCTTCAATCAAATGGAATATAATTAAACGCTGTAAATCATACAATCCTGAATCAAAAATTTGTAAGCTTTGTTTAAATGAGAAATTTTAAATATTATTTTACAAAGGAGATAACCTGCTAAATAGGCGAAGTAGTTTCTAAATGTAGGCACAAAAATAAAATTTCTCCTTTCATTATTTGATAGCGGAAATTAGTTTTCCATTACATCTTCTTGTACTAAAATGTCAGAACTCATTTTCTTTCTATTGAACAAATTTATTAAATATTGAGCACTCTACAACGATCAAGAGTTTAGTATTTTTAATACTAAATCATACAACAATTTATATATATATATATATATATATATATATATATATATATATATATATATATATATATATATATATATATATATATATATATATATATATATATATATTAGCCCACCCCATTTTGACCCTCATGAACAAATTTTAATACGCGGAGTGTCATAAAATATTCCCAAGGTATTGTTTTCTTAATCAATTTTTATTTTGGATGACTATTTATACTTGCACAACTCTTTTAAAGTTTTTAAGGGCATTTTTAAACAATCAGCACGAGTAGAAATTTACAAATCATTAACTATATAATAACAACATTACAAGTAATGGAAGGTTTTTTATCTATACAAATTGTGCGCATTTTTATTACTATTATTTTTGTTAACTGGTGGTATTTTAAAAACACGCATTATGAAATTGCGCGTTTTTAAAATACCCCCACGTTTTTTTAATTTCATAACAATATGTTATGAAATTTAAAAAATGTGGTTTTTAAACACAATAGCGCGAAGCACAATTCACAGCAATTAGAAATTTGTTTCATATAGCCATAGCCGTAAATAAATCTGTTAAGCCAGCAAATAAACTATTTGTTTAATAAAACCACAAAGGGTTAAAAAATAGTATTGTAAGGAAAAAACTACTTCACTTTAAAATACCTTTTTGCAAAAACAAAATGTGTAAATTTCTAATCTTAAAATTAATTACATTTGTATATCTTTGTTAAAAATGTATACAAATGGGGAAAAAAATCAGACCATTATAAAAAATTAAAAGGTAAAAATTAACAAATATGGAGTTGTTTCACATGCCTTGAATTTTATGAAATTCAAGTTGCGTTACTCTAAAATCAGGCTTTTTATTCTGAGTAATAAAATACTTAAAGAGATCAATAGAATGGCTGACTACATTTCTCTTTTTAAGGCATCGCGGTTTTCGCGATGCCTTAGAAAGAGAAATGTAGTCAGCCATTTTCGCGATTCTGCAATTTTTAAAGCAAAACTTAATTTCATAAGTTTTGATATTTTAGTCTTAAGAATAATTTAAGCCATAAAAAATTTTTTAAGAATAATTTATGCCTTAAAGTAACTAATTGTTTAAAAACAATGGCTTACAAAATGGTTTAAAATGAGGTGTAAATACAAAGAAAATAACTCTAAACCAATTTTTTTTTCCCAATGACAGACTTTTTTAAAAATCAGTATAAATATAATAAAAATGAAATCGATAGAAATAGCACTTTGATTTTATCTTGTCAAAATTAAATGTAATAACTTTCTAGCAGTGCAATTTTAAATCTTATTTTATCTACATTGCATTATTTTTAATTTAAACCTTTAAGATCAACAAGACTATTGGCAGATGTATAATGAGCCTGCTACAGAGGTAAAATTCAAATAATGGTAAAACCATAGTTGTGTTTGGTGTTGGCATTAGCATCTTTTAACTGAGATCACAATATAAAAATGGTAAAAAGTTCTGTATTCAAAAACAAATGGAGTTCCAAAAAGATGTAAAAATGGATAGAACCAAAGCTGAAATTCTTCTGAAAGCAGTTTTTATTGATAAAGACCAGCCACTAGGTCTTCAATTATATATTTCCCCAGACTACTGGTTAATTTTAGATATTTTAAGT